CCATCATTTTTTTTTCACTCTCTTCTTCCTCCCCCAACCATTCGTTGCAGTCAATCCATCAGCGCCAACCGCGACGACCTGGCCTTGAACGATCGCATACCGGTTCCTCTACTTACTACCCGCACTCGAGTCCGCCGCTCGACGGAAAGTTGCTCAACCAATTGTCCCAGTTCCGCGTCCTTGTCGAATACACATCGGGCGCGCAGCTGCGCTTCTCTCTGTCGTATATACGTCGTCGTTACTTCTCTGCGTCGCTACCCAGCTGCGGCGCTCCATACCGCTCGCCTCCGACGTCTTCCCGCCTGATAATGTAATTCGACGCAGGCCGTTTGCGTACGGTTCTGCATCGACACCATGCCCGCCGCCATTGGTGGCTACGAAATCTTTCACTATGTGACTGATGCCGTCCTCTTCGTCACCCTCGTCGCCTCGATAAGCTTCACAATCTGCGCCGCCATCCGTCTGCGTCGCCGTCGCGACCAAGCACGCAGATTCTTCTCCTGGGTCAAGATATCATGGCTCATATACACCATGTACGATATGCCGCCCCGACACGCTCAGTGACCAGTCCTCGTCTCAATGTGCTAACATCGCCCCCCCAAACAGCGCCGTCTTCATGAGCCTTCTCGAAATGGCCACCGTCACCCTAACATCCCGCATCTTTCGGACAACTTACACCTCCGACGGCGACTTACCAGATGATCAGGTTGACTTGGTTGCTCGCATAGCCACTGGTGCCTCGGCACTTTGCCATTGCTTCAACGTCTTTGCTGAGGTCCTCGTCTTTCTCACTCTCGCCAGCTTCATCCGATGCATTCGCCTTATCGGTCCCCGCGACGACAAGCACCCTCGTCGTCACAAGTGGTCTCGATACTGCTCCTATGGTATTGCTTTTGGCATCACCATCCTATCTCTTGCCGTTTTCAGTGTTGGCATCTATTGGATTGTCCTGTCGGAAATCTCATCCTCCAGCAGCGGTATTGCCTGGGATAGATACTACGGAAACTACATCTCCGCCGCGAGTATCATGTCTCTATTCTGCGAGTCTCTCCTTGCCTTTCTCGCTATATCCATGCTCATACGATCTTGCATCCTGCGGCGCAAACTTCGCACTACAAAGTCGCTGCACAAGCCTTTGAGATATCTCATCGCTTGCTGCAGCCTCTGGGTCGTGCGTGCTTGCTTTGATATCTACTGCATCGTCTTTGAGACCGTTGCTCCCGACTATTTTGCTCCATCAGTCGACGCTGCAACCAGCTTCAACGAAATATTAGTCGTCGTCTTCATGACGTGGCCTCTTTTCATTATCCTCGTTATTTTCTATTATCTCGGTCTAGACAGAAAGAACGGACTCTCGTCTACTGCCAGTCCCCTGCTCAGGGAAGACGGCGAAAGCCATGTAGCTTCCTCGGAATTCTCATCGTCAGAACAGCCGAGTATCACGCCGATTATCACGCCAATGAGCGAGCGAGCCAATGCTCCAGCTTTGACGCCCGTGGCTCCACGCCCTGAGAGCTTGTTCGCCTGCGACGGTGTCATTGATGCACCTCCCGAATACTCGCCGCCAGCTGCCCAACCAGCCGTCTCTGGTATCGCAGCTCCTCTTTCGACTCAGACGCCCATTATCAGAAGCCCTGTCCCCCGTTCTGCTTCACAGTTGACGGTTGAACCGGTACGATCATCTGAGGAGGAGTTACATGCAGTGTCGACTCATCAGTCCGATATCGCATCACAGCGGGCCGCCATCTCCCCCCCGGTCGACAATGCGCTGCAAGCAACACAAACGCCACACCATCACAGTCTAGAAGAGCACGTACCGCAAACAAGCAGTGCTTCAGCAGCGGAAGAGGATGAGTCCATGGGCCTCTACCATCAAGCAGATGGCCGCACTCCAGAATCGGAAATGTCCAATCCATTGCCGTCTCATGACGAAGCCATGGGCTTATATCACCAAGCCGATGGCCGGCCTCCAACATCCGAAGCCAGTCTTTCAAACATGCTTCCTTCACACGAAGAGACCATGGGTTTATTTCATCAGGCGGATGGCAGGCCACCAGGAACTGGCAACAGTGTTGTGCCACCAGCCAGCTCGAACCCCGTCATGTTCCAGCCCACTGGGGATAGACCGGAATCAATGACCGCCCCTCCCTCGCACGATGAAGCTATGGGCTTGTATCACCAGGCGGACGGTAGAGTGCCCCAGTCGGAAGTGCTGCCGCCAGAGAAGGAGACACAGAAGAAGTAATCGGCGTAATCAACAGATAACTGGCGTTTCTTTTCCTGGGATTCTAATTCATGTATCATCAATCATCGACGGCTTTTTACTCTTGTGCCGTTTTGGACACGAGCCTTTGCATTATTGTTTACTTTGGGATTGGCGCTATGGTGGAGGCAGCAAGATATTCGGGCACAGAGCCCCTGTATATATATTCATCGATACATAATCGCGATCTATCATGATAATGGCCATGTTGGCAAGGTTATACCTTCTCTCCTATTCAAAAGTCTTGGAATGTACGCATATGTCTATTACGGTGGCACGTTTAATCAACCTCGGAGAACTCCTCGGGTACAACGTACTCGCCCAGCTCATTCTCCGTGCCAGCCACGAATCTTTGCCGTCAGCATGAGACGTGTGCCTAGGAAGCGACAGACTTACTTTGTGTGACTTCCGCGGGCTGCTAGCTGACCCTTGCTGTTGAAGAATTGAACCGTCGTGTACGCCAACGTCTTGCCGACTGTAATCACAGTGAGCTAGCCGCGCAGGAGGATGGCTGATCTGGGGCAACTTACTCTTGTCGCAGACGGCTACACCCTTGAGCAGATCACCGGGATTGCCGCCGGGGTTCAAATAGCTAACTGTCAGAGGAGATTGGTTTTTGCATTCTTCAGTGTGCCTTGGCAGGGTAGCACATACTGTTGATGTCAGTCGACACGCCCGTCTTCCATCGTCCGTGGGACGAGACGGCCAAGCTGCCGCCCAAGTCGACAATCGCAGCCAATGTACCTCCATGTATGGTACGTAAGCGGTTCTGTCAAAAAGGTCAGAAAGGTGCCCCGAGGCTGTGGCTTTTTTCGTCGAGGTAATCGTACAGTGTGGTCCTTGTGAATGTCCAGTTCAAAGTCAACCTTGCCCTTGGCGGCACTCGTGACACGAAACTGCAAAAGAGTGAATCAATAAATTTAGTGGGATGAAACTTTCACAACAGTTATATGAGATGTCCTACCCGGCTGGGCCCAAGTAGTCTAATAGGCGCGTTAGAACGTGAAACCGCTGCGCAGTCACCTCATCTGGTTTACTTACTGCGGCTCCAGGCCGGACTGGGCCATGAACGACTTGACCACCTGCTGCGGCATTAGCAATTGGACACGCATAGTCGAGCGAAATGAACACACAGCCTGTGTAAAGGCCAAAGGTGATAATTTCTTGGCCATGATCGAGGCAGCTTGTCGCTCAACGTTGCGGCGCGGAATCGTCTACAAGGTGACTTTGTCAAAGCAGAGTTCGGGGAGCTCGGTGGCTCCAGCGCGTTCCCTCAGCGCATCGATGCCGTCACCCACAGCGAGCTGGCCACTATAACAACCGCCAAAGGAACCCGCCGCACCCGGAGAATTATCCGATCATCATCCGACTTGCTTGATAGCTCGCTTGCTGCGTGCACCGTGAACTTTGCAACCCGTTACCGTCTTCCCATCCACGAACCTAGCTACACTTGACGATTGTGGAAGCGACTCACTGAGCTACGGCGACCGTTTCCAGACCATGATATAGTCGTCCTCTTATCCCACGGAACGACCTTGGCATCGCCGTTCCGGCGCGCCGCGCATCGAAACGACGCACAACCCATCCTATTCCACGACCAGGAACGAGGCGAGAGAAGACAGAGAGAGAGAGCAAGATGGCCGCCAACCCACAGCCTGCGCTGCAGCTGGCCGACTACCTCGAGAAGCTGCCCGGCACGACCTTTAGAAAGCTCTATCAGCAGCCCTCGACAGCGTTTGCCATTTTCCGGCGCATGCTGCCCCAGCTGGGTACGTGCCTGCGACGTCCCGCGCGGGTCGTGAAGACACCAGCACTGACATTTCTCCCGGATGCGCTGCAGCCAAGACCTTTGTGATGCGCATGCTTTACATGCCCAACCCAATGAGCCTGAATGATTTGGATTCTTGGGTCAAGCCCGAAGCAAAAAGGTACGGGCAGCAGAGATGAAGACGTCTTTTTACAAACGTCGCACAATCTCGGTATAACTAACCACGCCACCCTAAAATAGACAAAAAGACCAGATGCTCTCGACGCTTCGCAGCCTGCACATTGTCCAGATATCGGCGCCTTCCAAGGACAAGACGCAAGAAGTGCAGCTCACCGCCAACTTTCGCACCTCGATGCGCCTCGCCCTCACAGGCGGCGGCAACCACGGCTCCTTTGGCGTGCCCTCGACCCTCGCCGTCCCCCCCGAAATAGACCTGCCCTTTCTCGACCGCTACGCGCGCCGCCGCTGGGACGAGATTCTGCACTTTGTCGTGTCCTCGGTCGGCTTTAAGAACGCGGGGGGCGGCGGCGCCGCAGCCGACGGCCCCAACAAGAGCGTGCGCGACATCCTCGTCGCCGGCCGCCTCGTCGACCGGCGCCCCAATGGCTCCATCGGCATCACACAGGCCGGCTTCACGTTTCTCTTGCAAGAAGCCAACGCGCAGGTCTGGACGCTGCTGCTGCTATGGCTCGACGCGCTCGACGCCGACAAGAGCGCCGCCGTCGACATGCTCTCGTTCCTGTTTGTGCTCGCGAGCCTCGAGCTCGGCCGCGCCTACGACACAAACGCTCTCACCGAGCACCGCCGCGACATGCTCCCCGCGCTCGCCGACTTTGGCCTCGTGTACATTCCGCCGCAGAAGCGCTCCATGTTTTTTCCAACGCGGCTCGCCACCACGCTCACCAGCGGCGCCAGCAGCAGCCTGCGCAGCATCAGCGAGGGCGTCGTCGCCGCCACCTCGGCCGCCCTCTCCGCCTCCTCCTCCTCCTCAACTCATCAAGACCAGAACCACCAGTCCCGCGCTGGTCCGCTCGGCGCCGGTGCCGGCGATCAGATCGGCTCCATCGTCATCGAGACCAACTACCGCCTCTACGCCTACACCCAGTCGACGCTGCAAATCGCCGTCCTCGCCCTCTTTTCCCGTCTTACCATGCGCTTTCCCGACATGGTTGCTGGCCGCATCACCCGCACCTCGATCCGCCAGGCCATCCAGTTCGGCATCACCGCCGATCAAATCATTGCCTACCTCGCCGCCCACGCCCACGAGCAGATGCATCGCTCCGCCGCCCTCGCCGCCCGCCCTGTTCTGCCCCCGACCGTCGTGGACCAGATCCGCCTCTGGCAGCTCGAGAATGAGCGTATGAAGACGACGGGAGGCTTCCTATTTCGCGACTTTGACGACCAGAAAGAATATCAGGACACGCGCCGCTTCGCAGACGAGATTGGCGTCTTGGTGTGGAGCAGCGACAAGACGGGCATGTTCTTTGCTAGCAAATTTGAGCAGATTCGGGATTACCTAAAGAGCAGAAAAAAGGCTGAATAGGTAATTATGAGGGCCATGTTTTCTCTGCGGTTAAGAGAGCCATCAAGGCAGGCAGTGCTATTGATACGACACGAATAAGTCGACAAATGGACTTTGGGGCAACAAAATGTGTTTAATGGCGTTGTTACGGGAAAATGGAGTTTATACGTAACTTGGCAACGATTCAGGGCTGGAAACGGCCAGATGTATGTAAATTAAAACCATTATGATAAAAACAACAATCAAGCATAGCTTGTACTTCATTATATGGCACTCCCACCGAGCCATAACTACTCCTTCGGGTATCTGCTTATCCATGCAAACCAATCAGCACCATGCGCCATTCGAGGCAGAGAGCTCCGGGCCATAATATCATCCAGCAATGGCAAAAGAAGAAAACCGAGGACAAAAAGCGAAAGCGTGTTCCAATGCCAAAATCAAATACTCCAATTACCAAGACCTCCCTCCAAAGTGTCCGTTGCCAAAGTTGAAACCAGAAAAGGGAAAAGTCCAAAAGAGTGTACCCGATCGAACCGAACAAGGACTGCAGCAACACTGCAATATTAAAGATGCGCCTTTGTATACGTCCGATGATTTATCGAAAATTTAAATATCGCCCCTCGAGGCTGTGTGGATGCGTCATTCCAAAAGCGTTGGATGCATTGCTGTAATATGCATCTTCTAAAAAAGCCAAGCTTTGTACATCTTGATGACGGCCTGATGATGCAAAGCGTTTGGATATCTGCGAGTCACCAAGAAAACCACCGCGTTGCGGTAAAAGATTCGGGCGACAGCGGCGGATAGCAAATTTTTCCCTCCAGCGTGTCAGAGACATTTTGGCGGCTTTGGTGATGCACTGTGATTCGAGAATGGTAAAGACTTGTCGACAAAGATCGTCCTCGTCCTGGAGTGGATATGGCGGGTTGCCTGAAAGTTGAGGATCGTGACTTCTACCATCTCTAGTCGAGTCACCTGAAATGCCTGTTTGAATTGTGTCGGTCGCTTTAGACAGCACGCAAGCCATGTGCTCGTTACATAGATGGTCTCGGAGCGTGGTAAAACGCCCGGACCAGTAAGCTGACGGCTGAGCATGAACGATTTGTCTGGAATTTGGTGGATTTTCCACTGCGCCATTCATCTGTTTCGATGAATCTGGCGTTGTAATATTGGTTGTGGAGGAGCGTGTGCTCGAGGATACTGACTCTTCCTGTGAATGGCGCGTGAGCGAGCGCAAAACGACGACGCGTGGCGCGTCCGATGGTTTGAGAGAGGCGTCTAATTTCTTGATGTGCGGTTTCGAGATAGTAGATGTCACATTTCTTCGATAAGGGACCGAGTTCTTTATATCCTGCAAGACATTCATAGTTTTTGATTGTGGAAGTTTTGTGGCGAACTTGAGTTTGCTCTTGTGCAGGCTACCATGGTCTGGTAGTCTGGTGGCGTGGGTGTACTCGTGATCTCCAGTATCCGTGAATATTGTGGTGGTGGATGCGGAGGCGCTTTTGAGTTTTGAAAGAGACGAAAGGTCGTCGTCGACCCGACGGCGTGGCGTTGTGGACGAGGCCTGCATAACACCTCTTGATGCGGAGGAAAGACTTGCTAAGCTTTGTGTTTTAGAGAGTGTTTTCCTGGCAAACACGCTGATTGCCATCTTCTTCTCAGGAAAGACTGCTCCCGGGACTTCGAATCCATCATCATCTTTCGTTGGGCCACAATCCCTGATGGCATCGACAATGATCAAACCGTCACTGCGTGTAAAGTCCGCTCCTCTGGAGTTCTTGACAGGCCCAATGGGCGAGGATATTACCAAGGGCTTCTTTGTCCGTCCCGTATGCATATCATGTTTGTGACTTGAGAAGAGTTGAGCAAACCCCATTCTGCTTATGCCCATCGTGAAGAGCAGGGGCGTGGCTCATTGATTTCGACTTGCTTCAGCATCAACGCCCATACCGGGTCGTTTTAAAAGTAGAGGGCAGTGGGTTGATGCAAGTGCTGTATGATCCAAAAAAGAGATTGATAGTCCAATGCTTGGATAGCAGCATATGATTTTGAAGCAAAGAAAGCTCTGTAATGGTACTGATGGAGAGGGGGATGCACGAGCCCGCTGGATCGAAGTCCCGTCGAGGATGGCTACAAGCAAAACGCGATGGGAAGCGCGCCTCGATCGCGAAGAGCTGATGCAGCTCGCATACAGGCTCGCTTATTCAGTGGACCTGCAGTATGCATAGAATGGAATAAATGGAATAGATGCGATTGGTAGCAGTTTCGTTTATTTTTGGTGCAGAGAAGCAGTGACTCGACGGCTGCCTGCCACTGTTGGTGGTGCGCATGCCAGGATGGTGGTCCTTTCTGCCAGCTGGCAAGCATGAACAGAGCAAACGGCCGCCTTCCAGAACTCTACCGTTCATGCAGTACAAGTCTCCAGCAATTTCCTTTTCCATGCTCCTGTACTATGTTGGGTGGACTGTGATACGTCTAGCCTTCCGTTTCGTAGTCGTCTTTGGCAGCGCCATTTGGGTCAGCTGTACCTCCAAAGAGTCTGCTTCTGGAACAGCTGACGTACTGCGGTCAAGGCGCCTCGCATTCTTCGACCTCGAATTCTCAGTTATCCCATCCATCCACCGTGAAGTTGACTATGACGTCAGCCGCGCCTCGCTCAATCGCGTTTCCGTTTGGATCGAACAAAGCTCTCTCAATGTACTTGACATTACCCTCCAAGTCGACCAGAATAACAGTTTGACGTTGAGTTCCATACAATCCAGACGAGTAGCCCCCAACCGGGTTAGCGGGCGCATGGCTGGCCGCTCCATTGGATGTATCGGCGTCATTAACCCAGCCAATTGGTCCCTTGGCTGCAGATTCGGCAAATTCGGCTTTTTGCTGCCTAGTACCAACGGGCGGTATGAAAATGCTGTGCCGGAACCTCTTCATGCTGTCCTGCACAGTGCCTTCTTCCTCCTCAGCTACCGGCAGTGTGTCGCGATTGAGCACATTGAAGAGAGACTCGACAAAATCTGTTTCGCTTTGATCCTTGGCTATGGCGTTCTGTATTGCCTCGCCAACTAGCTGCTCACCCGCAGATACCTTCGGCCACTTTTCCGGATTGGTGTACGTAGTGTTGCTCAATCCCCAGGTCCTTCCCCTCTCTCCGTCAACAATCGGAACATCGTCCACATGGTCTGCTCGATTGCTAATGATGGATATGTTTTCCGCATTTTTGCGCAGTCTTCCACAGATCATGGAAAACCCTCCGACACCCTTGACGCCGCCGTCCTTGACCAAACGATGGACACGTTCAGTCAATGACTCGTTTGCGTCGCCACCAACCCAGAGGCTAGGCATACCGCCTCTGCTTCGTGAAGTAGAAATTACAGTCGGCTCATCAACGATTTCTTGATAGTTGGTGAGCACGGCAAAGTCGCCAGCTTTATTCACAGCTAGCCACGTGCCTTGCTCGGCCCTTTGAAGGTCCCGGGACGAGAGGACCTGCTGGCCCGAAGTTGGGTGAGCCCACCAATGCGGACGAGAAGTCGGCCTCAATATGAACTCATCTCGGTTGTCGATGATAATTAAAGAATAACCTGGGTGGGCGGTAGATAGAATGGCGATGCACATTGCAACGGCGCAAGCTGTATTGCTGGCACTGCAAAACACAGGTTGCGGGTCGTCGCGCCTGGGAGAATATATATAGGCTGAGATAGTGCGGCTCGCTTCTGTGAGACGTATTTACGGTGAAGGAAGAAGATGGCTGCTGCTCGACGGCGCCGAGACCGAGTCGCTGCGGGAGGCGAACAGGTGATGTTCTCCGCTATGCACCGCGCCATTGGCTACAGCGAATCGCTGCTGCCCAAAACTCGCCCAACCCAGTAATCCACAGATGCTTGTCATGATGCCGACGAGGCGACTTGTGGTCTGACAATATTCTTGGCGGAAATACAACGTCAATAGAATTACAAAAAAAAAATCATTCATGCTCATATTTTAAGAAAGCTTCAGCCCTTTGAAGGGACAGTACGGCAGAAGAATTCACGGCTGGTACGCGTTTGAGTAGACATTGACGATGCAGCTTTGCAGAAAGTCGGGTACTTGAAAATCTGCAGGCCCGACATCGCTGCGCTGCGAAGCGGAAAAAGCAAATATTTTTGAGGACGAAAAACAATTAGCTCGACGCCATGAAGTAATAACGCATTGCCTCAACACAAGTCATGTATCATCCAAATTCATGATACAGCCCATTTGCGAGCGTGTTTTTTCGTGCGTCGTCGCTATGTACAGTTGTAAAATGCTGCAGAGCAGAGCAGGACAGTCAGTGCAGTTTAAAGTAACCAGGCTGCAGGCGTTGCAGAACCTGATCCGGGTCGTATTTCTTGGAGATGCTTCGAAGTCGAGCAAGATTTGCCTCGCCGTAGCTAGCAAGCACATGCTGCTTCTGTGAGGCATAGTTTTGATACAGGTAGGGGTGTTCGAGCCTGCGAACCTGGGCCGCCGCAACAGCGCGATCTACAATGGCTTGAGCTGCGGCCATGATGCGATTATCGTCACCAGTCTCGGTCCATGAAATGTCAATGTTTGCCACTGTGGCAAATGAATTAGCCGTCTATAGGGCCATGTCTGAAAGGTGGTATACGAACAGGTGAGCGGGCCTTGGCCTTCTAGACCCAGGGGATTGCCTCCATTTTTGGAGAAGTGCTTCGTCATAGACGTGGTGATGGGTTGAAAAATCGTCGACGGCACGATGCCGGGAGCGTCTTTGACCTTGTCTACTTCCTCCATGTATATGGCCACGATATCGTCCATGAGCGCAGCGCTGTTCTTGAAGGTAAAGGTCCAATAAGTTTTACTATACAGGTTAGGCCGCTATTGCGGAAGGTCTATGCTTGTCATGAGGGACATACCGGAAGCCATAAGGATTGCTGGCGTTGAACTCTTGTGTCAGTGATGGCAGGTCAACCACACGCAGAGTGTTGGCAACAGCGCCGGGAATGGCTGTGAAATTTTGCAGAATGGGAGGGTTCGGGACGGGTTTGCCGTACTGAAGATCCGAAGCGATGACATACACGCCTTGGGATTGGGCATATGCATACGCAGTGATAATCTGAGCATAATCATCTTCGGGAGATCTGATAGCAAAGCTTTCAAAAGCCTTGTTGATAGCTTTGCTCGTGTCGGGCGTGTTGAGAAAGATCTGCGAGCCAGCCCACATATCCCCTTGTGGATAGGTCTCGAGGTCGAGTCGTGTGACGATGGCGAAGTTGTTTCCACCGCCACGCAGAGCCCAGTAGAGATCCTTGTTGCAGGAGCTGTGATTGATATCCCGGATGGAGCCGTCCGCAAGTACGGCCTGGTAGTTGTAGACGTTGTCGCAGGCCCAGCCGTAACGAGCTGAAAAGAACGATATGCCACCACCCAGAGTCAGTCCTCCGACGCCAATGGGAGACACTCTCCCGCCGATGACGGTGAGATTGTGTGGGGTTAGCTGCTGATACACATTGTACCACGTGTTGCCGGCACCCACAGATGCCAGTTTCTTGTCTGCTGATAATTGCACGTCTGTGAGATGAATGAGATCAATTGTCACGCCATCTTGGATATTGGAAGCACCCGAAAACGCGCCGTGGCCTCCGCTCTTGACAGCGAACTTGCATTGGGTTGCGCGAAACGTGAGGATGGCCAAAGAAACATCCTCGGCGCAGGTGGGTGAGAAGCGGCAAGACGGGCGAGTAAATTCTTGCTGCTGAGACCAGTATCGGTTCTCTTGGAAATCATAGATTGACGAGTTTGGGAAAGCCACTGCATGGGGGCGTGCAATAGCAAGGAAAGCACACTTTCTCACAGATCTGTCAGCCGCTTGTCCGTGGGATGATGGTGCGGAATCTGCCGCCGCGAGGATTTGGAGCTGGACTCACGGCTACATCGCAGCCAAGATTAGACACAAATTTTGATCGCTGGGTCGAATTGAGGCCTATAAAGGATGATATGTCGGCTTGGACGCCGTCCAGCGTAAACGGCGAGAAGGAAGCAGCTGCCGAAATGCGCGCCAAAAACGGCAGCGCTACAAGCAGACAAAGACGCATCGTGAAGTCTGCGGTGCGCCGGAGACGCGGCCGAGCCTAGTGGACTAGTGGCCAAGGACAAGGAGCCCGGGGGCTGATGGGCGGATCAGTAAATGACTGGATGCCGTGCGGGGAAGCGAGATGTCGATGGCTTTGTTGCACATGGGGAGAGATGTGATGAGGAACGCTGGCTTTTACTTATTTATATCGGGCAATCTTTGACCGAATCGCCCGCCGCCGGTGGTTCCATTAACCATTGAGCAGCAACGCCATCGTTAATAATTATGGAAAGGTGGAAATTATCACCGGACATGACTCCCTTTGCTGGGTATCCAAACCAGGTTTTGGGGAGAGACGCTCAAGGGAGGGCGCTAGCTGGCTTGGGGCAATTCGGCCGGGGATCGAACTAGTAAAAGGTCCATTCGGAGAGAACACGATCCGAGAGGCGATTTTGCACCTTCGCTGCAACATCGTTGGGGAACGCGTGCGTTGCAAGCGAAATGGTGATGATGCATCTGCAGAGGTAACTTGACATAGCATGGCTGCCCGAGGCTGCGATGTCTCGCCCTTTTCACGTCGGTGGCTGGCCCTGCCATGCTGCTCGCTGCCATGTAGGTAATTAGCTACTTTGTTACTAACGCACGTTTTTATTTTGCGGTTGATATTTATCGTACGGGCAATGGTTGAGATACCAGCATGGCACCTCAGCGTGCCGAGCTAAACTCCCCCGCCCCTCGGACGGCCCAATCGGGTGTAGTGCCAACTAGTCGTGCAGGGAGCTAGAACGAAAGTGGAAGGGTGTTTTTATGAAATCTGGTTCGGGTTATTGTGACATGCTTCCTGCCGCTGTGCCCTGACTTCAGTTACCAAGTGACCGATGATCTCCCGTAATTGGACTATCTCGGCTGACTGGTCACTTATTCGCTTCTCAAGCTTCTGCCAGAAGTCTATTGGAGTACCTCCATAGTTGCACATGTAACAGGCATGACAGGCTTGTTGGGCATCACTACTTGAGATTCCGCCCTCACCGCTCGAGGTTGCACCCTCGAGATCGCTGCTCGAGGCTGCGTGCTCAATATCCCTATTCAAAGTTGTGCCATCAATATCCGTTGGCCTGGTTGCGCCCTCAGCCTGATCCTTTTCGGTTGGCGGCACGAGGATTGTTGCTATTTCTGGGTGCCGCTTGATGAATCGGTTTAGCCAATTCTTGCCAATGGTGGTTGCTTGCCCACTCGAGGCTAGATAGCTCTTGGCAACGGCTTTAATTTGCTGATGTGTGGGCGTGCGCCCGAGTTGGCTTTGCTCGACGACGTAGCTAACCAAAGTGCGCTCCCATTCTGCTGAGAGCTTCTGCTGCTTCTCAAAGGCCTGTCGGGCCGAGTTCCTGCCGTTTTTTCGGTCATACAGGGTGCTTCTCGGCACGCCGGCTAGCTGGGATGCTTTGCCGAATGAGAGGCCACTTTTGAGGAGATCAAGGGCTTTCTTGACGTCTGATTCGCTGTACGGAGCCATTCAAAGGGGTTTTTGATGTGGAAGGAAGAACATTGAACAGGTTTGGTAGCGCATGCCCTTTAATCCACTTTACCGGCTTTGAGATCCGCTCGCGGCTAGGAAAAACGTGTGTCCGCCAGGGTGACCCTAATGAATTTCACCGCGTTATTAGGACAGAATGCATGGTGGTCCGTACCGAAACTTAAGTTAGTGTCCGACACGCTGATGTGCCCTGCTAGTTCATTTTGAATTTTGGCGAGGGTCAATTCCGCGCCCGATTCTTTCATCGAGGGCGCGGCAGAGGTCTACATAGTTACTAAACTGCCTATGAAGTAGGCTCTAGTTATTCCGATACTTCTAAACCGAGCCCCCCAATGATGCAGCAATATCACACCACTGGATCGCCGGAATAATGGTGACTCGCCTTGCGACGCATCATCACGAGTTCCTCGTCGCCAGACTGGCTCCAGGCTGATGTTGCTGTCCCCCTGTCCAAACCCCTCCCGCCCGACAGCGTGGAAATTGCCGATGCCAATCGAAATCATCTTCTAGACACTGTGGCTGGCTAATTGGTGCTTCTTGGAAGCAACCATCAGCCTCAGTTGTAATACGGATACTGAAAGTTTGGAGTCGCAGCGCAGAAATGGAGCCCGGAAGCCCCTGCGCCGTCATCTTACTCAATAGTTAGCCATCACGGCTTCCTCCGCCCCCTTCCCGTCGCGCCGCGCCTCAACCATCATTTCGTACTCAACCATTATTACTCGTCGGCAGCGCTGACGGGTTTGGGATAATTTGACAAACAAGGTGGGGGCGGGGGCACCGTCCGTCGGAGTCGTCAACTTGTGTTGATCTTCAGTCCAACGCGAGGATGCTCCAGCGCCAGCGCCGCCTTTGTTCCGCGGTCGTGGGGTTTAGCACTGTTTTAGCGCGTCCCCAACCACACAATCCCCGATTAGTTAGTTTGGATCCCGAAACAAGAGCCAACAGTCGTCGTGGTTGCTGCTGGCATCTTGACTTTTTCATCCTCTAGGCGTGATTGCTGCCGACATTTTGGCTTCTTCATTGTATAAACGTGGTGGCTCACCTGCGCCGGCCGCATCTTCGCAATGAGCACGCAAAATGTGTCAGAAAAGGCCGACAAAGTACGTCTAACAAAATCCGATACCAGCTGCCCATCCTGAGTTTGCAGTGCCGATTGGGCTTTGTACTGATTCGAATCGTTGCTCTGCGTACAGGAGGGACTTATTGCATGTTTATGCGTAGGCATCGTCTTCGTTATAACGCGCACCGCCGCACGCTGGTATAAGCTTCGCAAGATACCCCATCAGATGGAAGACATTTTCATGTACCTTGCTCTGGTATCTTTCATCATCACAGTTGGGTTGTACTATGCAACCATTGATACGTTCTTCAGAGTCAACGACATCTCAGACGGCCAAATGGAACCTGAACTCGACGTGATGCTCAAGGAATTTTTTGTCGTTCAATTCTTCTTTTGGCTAACACTATGGGCTGTCAAATGGAGTTTGCTCTTCATGTTCAAGCGACTCACAAAAGGGCTGCCTTGTTACACACATATCTGGTGGGGGGTCTTGGTTTACTCGGTTATCGTCTTCATCGGCTGCTGTATCAGCAACTATACGAGCTGCTCTTCGTTGAAGGCCTGGTTCACTGCTGGCGAATGCACCAGTGCACGAGATACGCGAGCCAAAGAAATCAGCCTGTGGTTTAGTTTAGCCGCAGATTTATCCACAGATGTTCTGAGTACGCCGGCTTCCATCTTCCAAAGCACACGGATGCTAACATATCTTGCAGTCATGGCCATACCGCTTCGAGTCCTCTGGAGCCTCAGAATGGCTCGACTCGAAAAGATGAGAATTGGGCTCATCTTTGTGGTCGGTCTCATCACCATGGCCACCGCCATCATTCGCAGTGTCTCGCTCTACTGTAGCTCGAGTACTGGACAAGTGAGCACGACGTGGCTCATGCTATGGGCTGGCATCGAGGGAGTAGTCGGTAAGTGCAATCTTCTGGCTCTACGTGTGCCGGCAACGCTAACATGTCTGTAGCCATGATTGTAGGCAGTCTTCCCTCCTTTGTCATCTTCATTCACGGTCGGGTTGCCGCCTCAAAAGTACAAAACGAGGAAAAGTCGCATCGAAGCCCGCTAGACGGCAACTCGAAAGCAAAGTCTTGCGAACGGGCCAACAGTTTAGGGTCCCGGAATTCCAGTCCGCTATGGGCCGCTCTCGACTATTCTAGCGACAAGAGCCTTGTGGACGGTGTTGCCGTCACTCGGCGGCACAGCCCGGATCGGCGGCAAGCACTCCCTTGGAAAAGCGAGGCCGATCATGAATTACGTCCCTTACGACCTTCGTAGCGGGCCGATCCCGGACATACCCACCCCTGTTTCATGTACATTCTAGCACAGCGAGCGATTCTTGGTTTTGTGAGCGTTTATGTAACGAGTAATGGGAAATCATACAAGTGGCTCAAACTTTCGCCCATTGCAAATTGTAACGTGGAAAGAAACTCGGCGGTTGCCCATGTTATTACGAAATTCTCAGCATGATCAGCGGCACTGGAGGGGGTAGTTTCTTGCTTGCAGGGGTTCTTGAAACCTCTCAGAGCTTATCATTTACAGTTATTTTGTTCGAGTTTGGTCCGAGGTGCAGGATGCACGTAAGATGGGCGAATTACAGTGATGAGTGTCGGGTGAGATGGCACATGATGACTGTCATCTGCACCTGCAGGAAATAAGAGCAAGATTGTGTCTTGCTTCGGAACTGCCAGGGGACTCGACAAGGTTGCGACGGTATTTGCAGTGCCCATTGTTGGCGTAGAATGCAACGCAAGTAGGTGCCCAATTCCACCTCAACGAAAATGTTCTCTCTTGTGATACGGCCCATTTGCAATGCCTCTCACAGCAAGCAGCTAATTACCAGTTTTTCTGGTAATTAATGATAGTCATGATAAGTCGGACGAGAATGCGCACGGATTTACCATGATGCACCGACAGCAATTAGCGTCATGTTACAGCGCTCCTTGCCTAGCCCAGCGTCGCAGTGCAGCACCATCTCGCATATTGACGTGTCTCGAAAATAGCCGGACGCTTCAACGAAATCAAAAACTCACTGTAAAATCTCAAAAAAAGGGTTCCCGTTCTGGATATTAGAATTAATTTTGCTTTATTTTTATATATTAACAGTGGTATCATAGCCGCGAAACGACGTTTCTCGTATTTCCAAACATTGCGCCAAAAAACCGTGGGTAATTTACAAAATCAAGACTCCCGCAACCGCCATGGCCAGCCATCCGTAGACCGGAGACGCCAGGAAACCAGCCGCCGCATTCTTTTTAGATGTCGGGTTGGGACTTGCCGTGGAGCTGGCACCGGCGCCGGCACCGCTGCTGCCTCCCGACTTTGCCGTGCTCGTCGCCGTCGCCAGGCAGTCGGTGGCGCCGCGCGAGACGCTCGGAATGGGCGCGCCGTTGCTGTTGACGTCGCAGCGGGCCACGCCCGTCTTGTTCTGGATCTTGAAGTCGATGCTGGCGCGCTCAAACTCGTACGAGACCTCGTCGGTGTTGTTGGCAAAGACGGTCGTCAGCGCAAACTTGAGCGGCATGGGGATGCGCCCGCTCTCGACCGAGTCAATGTACTGTTGCAGGTTCTCCGTCTGCTTCCACACCTGGATCGTCGCGTTGCGCACTTCGCGGCCGCGAATCTCGGGCGACTTTGCATCGTGGCTGTTGGTGTCGTCGGTTCTTACAAGCTCGCCCGAATCATTCACCGTCAGGTTCGTCCGATACCAGGCGAAAGCGTAAATGACCTCGTCAATGGTGTCGCCGGTCGGAATGAAGGATATTTCGAAAAAGGCAATGTAGCGTCCCTTGCGCATCTCGTCGTCGGGCAGCGGCAGGCGGATGACGGCGGGTTCGTACAAGGCTGGGCTCGCCGGGATGACGTCGCCGGCTTTTGGGAAACCATTTGTCGTGAAGAATTGGACCTCGTCGTCGCCGCTGCTCGCCGCTGACGCTGTCCGGGGCCCAAGACCCCTGAAGTCAACCCGAAAGTCGAAATCGCGGCCAGACAAGGGAGGATCGGGCCAGGAGGCCGCGGCCAGCAAGGCCAAGCTCGCGACAATTGCGATGCAGCTTCGAGGCGCCATGGTTTTGTGTAGAATGTGAAACGGCTGATTGCAAGACGATGAAGTAGGAAAAAAGAATTAAAGAATTAGTTCGAGGCCGGCCAGTGGCGACACTAACGAGTTAGTAGAAAATCCATCAGACTTCTGGTGATGATCGGTGGAGACAGGAGCCTGATATCCCCCTCCGCTTGACCTGGCGCACTCCTGGAGTCCTGGATGCCGTTTTTCCCGTAGCCTAGCGTGCGTGCGTGCGTGGCCGCGTCATGCGCCTCCCACGAAGCCGCCGTTGCAACTTACCAACCAAGTCCTCATGTTACTTGTATCACTAAGTTATTTATTTTATGCGGCCGTAGATGCCATGTCGCTTTTGCGCACTTCCAAAGCTAAGAGAAGAAACTTGTGGGTGCGATTGACGACATGACAGGCCTTGACCGCTTTCTGATTGTGCAGCATCATTTTGTCGAGTCGCAACAACATGACTCTTTCCATATATTGGCCTGCCTTTTTTATAACACATGATGCATTGTGATACAGTCTTGGCCCATCCCACGTAGGTCATCTAACAAGGGACCAATTTCCCCCCCTGTAATAAGAGGCGTACCGCTCCTGTACTTTCTAGCAACGCCGCTGACGAATTTCTGCCACGTTACGATTAATTACCCTACGACACGAAATAGTTTGCGTCTTTTTCAAAAAGCATACCTTTTTGTCTAACGGCGTCGATTTTCCCTGTGCGCACCAGCGGATCAGTATAGCTTTTAGATTGAGCTCTGCATCAATAGCAACCAGAAACGAGCAACAACACTGGCACAACCGCCATAATTACCTTGCTGGTATGCAAAAATCGCAGACTCGGTGTTTGCAGATTTTGCCGCCGTCATCAAAGCAGCAAATCTGCTGTTCGTTTGGCCCTCTCCCGCAGTGGCAACAGCGCCATTTCCATCCGTATTTGCAAAAGAAACAGCTTTCCAAAGGGCATGGCTCACTCGATATATCATCCGGCTCTATCCACGATGTCATCTCGCAGGTAAAGCGCTGGCCTGTGTAGTGGTTTATGACGGATTTACGGCAGTATCTCGTCTTCCTGACCGTATCAACACCACAACGGTGCTTCTGTACGACAAGTTTACACATAGGGATCGATGGTTCGTTCCGACTTCGAGGCTCATGCGGCAAGCCCTATAGGATTACTGCTTCGACCACTTGCTGAGCGTAATGTGTTCTTCGCGACATGCTTCATAGCTCAAAATATATGAAGCAGCACTGCAGCTGCAGCCTCGTAGATGTATTAGATATGATGGGGAATTATGTTTGTGATGAGTGACGTACTTGTGATACGCATTCGAAAGTTTGCTGTATTCTGGTGTAGCATGACTAAAGAGAAATTCGTTTCCGGGGCTCACACATGCATGAATGAGTCGGTCGTGTCACATTGCATATGAATGCTCTCATCAGCTACCAGTACACACATGCAGCTATATGGTTGAATATGAAGGATAAATCGAAGCCTAGAAATGATAGGTTGTAAGAGCGCGTGCTGATAAGAGCCCAATGTGCCCGACAAGAGAGTGCCCGAACCAAAATGATGTACTAAACTTTTGTGTTAAGAAACGAGGTCACAGAATGAAGAAAATTACTAAAAGAGTCGAAATAGCAGTACTAATAGGTCTTACAATACTGTAAGCCTCGGAGCTCATGGGCAAACAAGTGGTGCTCCGCAGCGCTGTCAATTTACTCCGTGCACTGCGGGAAGAGATTCATGTGGATATACACCGATTTGAATCAGTATAGCTTTCTCATTGATGTCTCTGCCGATGTAGCTGAGATGGAAAAATACAACGATCAAACAAGCCACCAATGTGCGACGTCGGTGATTGCAGGCGTACTAGGCCTTGATCTTTGCAGAGATCACCATGGCATGCATGCTGGATATGAAATTGCAGTAAAGCAATACGTACAATCTAGCCTAGCCGAATGCTTCATAAAGACGAATTGTGGTCCGGTCAGAATGAACTGGAGCGAATAATCTGATCTTTTTATCAATTTCCGCGTTGACTACTGCTGACCCCAGGTCGGGGCTGTCGGCAGGCCGTCTGTGGGGTAAAAGCATATAGCCGGGCCGTTGTGACAAGTGCACCGATTTAGAATCTTCAACTTTGTTTCCGTCGCGGGAAAAGGAAGCCATTCATCTTTACGGGCCCAAAATAGACTAGCCAGGCATTTGGTTCCATTGTTGATGCAATGCCGCGCGCTCTGACTCTCAATGCAGGCCAAGGTGGCCGCCCAGGCAAGGTCTACTACCCGTAAGTTACCGTTGCTCTGGCGAGGGGCAGCGCTGGAACAATGCTAACATGAACAATGTGTCAGTCTACAAGTAAAGCAGGTCCCAAAGCCGAAACCAGGCCCCAATGAAGTCCTTGTTCGCATCAAGGCGGCAGCTCTCAATCACCGCGATCTATGGGCTCGCCGACATCTCTACCCTGGGCTGTCCCTAGAGAACCCACTGCTGTCCGATGGCGCTGGCATTGTCATCGAGGTTGGAAGCAAAGTCAAGCGCACCGAGTTGCTCCATCAAGCTGTCATATTGACTCCTATGCGAGGCTGGGAAAGCGACCCTGTCTCGCCCGAGGACCCTCATCGGTTTGCCGTCATTGGCGCTACACTCCTCTGCGAGGATGGAACCGGGCAGGACTACCTGGCTGTTGACCAAGATGAGGTTGTGCTCGCACCGCGCCATTTGAACCCGGTCGAGTGCGCTGCACTTCCCCTTTGCGGACTGACTGGTTGGCGGGCGCTTGTTTCCAAGGCTGGTGTCAACGGCCCCGGGAAAAATGTGCTGATTACTGGTATTGGTGGCGGCGTGGCTCTGCAGGTATTGCAGTTTGCCGTCGCGTTTGGGAGTAATGTATATGTTACATCTGGAGAGCAAACGAAAATCGACAAAGCCATCGCAATGGGTGCCCGAGGAGGCATTAGCTACAGGGACACCCGCTGGGGCTCTGCTTTATTAGAGCTGCTTCCAGACGAACATGCATATATTGACGCTGTCGTTGATGGTGCAGGCGGGAATTTGATCGCCGAGGTGGCACCCATCATGCGCCCTGGTGGTGTCATTGCGCAATACGGCATGACGGTCGGCAACAAGATGGACTGGCAGATGCGGGCCGTGTTGGCCAATCTCGAGCTCAAGGGTTCGACCATGGGCTCAAAAAGAGAGTTTCGCGATATGGTTGCGTTTGTAGATGCGCACAAGATCAAGCCAGTTGTTAGCAAGACGGTACGAGGACTGAGCGATCTTGAAGGAATCGAGACATTATTTGCCGACATGCAGGCCGGGCGACAATTCGGCAAATTGGTTATTGAGATGGACGATGAGCCTCAAGCCCAATTGTGACACCTTTCAAGTTGCAATATTATCGAGGTTGCCCTGAATACACCGTTACATACGGCGGGTCTTTTGGTGTGTTGGTGGCGAGACTTTGAGTGCTCACACTCGTAAACAACAAATATACTGCGTTGTCTACCAGAGTAGGCATGTCCAGCTAAGAGACGTAATAAAATCATCACTTGCCGTTAGATCGAATTCGCGGATCTGATTACGGATGGGACTAGGCGCCGATACGGAATGGCACGATTCGAAATACAGTGCGATTCAGCCCTAGAACGTCTCAATGCGGCGCCCGCATGCAGTTGTAGCTGATCATGTGCTGCCCGATGCATCGCATTCACAAGTTTCTTCTCTTGGCTATGAAAGTGCGCAAGTAATCTACTATAAAGACTTTCTTTTGCTAAAGAATACGCAGTTATTAATAGAAACTTGCAAAGTAGATGCGATTACACAAGCATGAGCGAGCCAGAAAAAGGCCCGCCCGTGAACCCAAGGCTGACGGTTATTATTGGCATTTTTGCGTTCGGACTCTGGGTCAAACAAAACCCGGAGAGTTGCTGCTTCTCCGCACTGGGCGGAAATAGTTAGCATGTAACTACTGCAGTGCATCCTGCTCAAACCTTAGAGACGTAGTGCGGCAAGTGCGGCCACTCTTGCGGGGTGGTTACGTGCTTCGATGATGTGATTTCGTCAGCTATTTGCTACAATGTCAATTCAACCTCGCGCCCATTTAAGTTCATCCAAAGATCCAATACAAATTTCAGATTCGGGAAACAAAAAAAAAAGCCAAGAATTTGATTATATCTCAAAATGGGGGTACTGATTGACTCGCATCCCGCCGTGATGGACGCGCATATTGAGGAGCATGCCGGGAATGGCAATGGTATTCCCATTCTGCCAAGTCTATCGGCTTCCGGGGACACACTGAGCGAGGAAGAGAGAACTAATCAGAGAAAAGACACATCCGCTGCAACATCGGCTCTAAAGCAGACAACGCCACTGGAGATTGTGGACAGGTATATTGATGAGCCGCGGCCGCTCAAAGTCGCAGTCATTGGAGGGGGCCTGGCGGGCATCCTTGCCGGTGTCCTTTTGCCTACAAAAGTGCCCGGTATCCAATTGACGATTTACGAGAAGAATCGTGATTTTGTGAGCCGGCTACACTGTTTGCTCTGAATTTCGCCACGCTCACCACTTGTACAGGGAGGAACGTGGCTCGAGAATGTATATCCTGGTGTGAGATGCGATATACCATCGCATGTCTATCAGTCGACCTTTGAGCCCAAAAAAGACTGGTCCGATGAGTTTGCACCCGGACACGAAATTCGCGAATATTGGCAGTCCGTCGCCAAAAAGTACAACGTGTACCAGTATGCCAAATTTGAGCATCTTGTACAAGGGGCGACATGGGATTCCGATGCTGGAAAATGGCACGTTGCAGCCAGAGACTTGACAAACAATGAGGTCAAAACACTGCAATACGACTTTGTGCTGACATGCATTGGTCGATTCAACGATTGGAAGCTACCAACGTATCCTGGCATTGACAAATTCCAAGGAACACTGAGGCACACCTCGAACTGGGACCCTGACTTTGACCCGGATGGGAAAAGAATCGCCGTCATTGGAAACGGGGCCAGTGGTATTCAGGTTGTTGCTACTCTACAGAAGACTGTGGCTCATTTGGATCACTACGCCAGAAATAAAACGTGGATTGCGACCTCGTGGGCAGGAGATGAAAGAACGGTCGGCCCCCAACCTATTGGAAACGAACTGCAAAACTCCTTTCAGGATCCCACGGCATACACGGAATACAGGAAAAAACTCGAGGACAAATACTGGCGGGGTTTCCCAGGAGTTCTTCGTGGAAACGCTAGAAATGTGAACTTGAAGACGAATTTCATCCAGGTGATGCGAAAGAGATTATCCAAAAAGCCGACCATGATTGAGCACATGGTTCCCGACTTTTCTCCCAACTGTCGACGTCTGACCCCCGGCCCTGGCTATCTGGAAGCAATCACCGAGGACAACGTGGATTATATACGCACACCAATTCGCAGAATCACTGCTACGGGCATCGAGACGGAAGATGGCATCCACAGAGAAGTTGATGCCATATTCTGTGCCACCGGCTCCAAGACGGATTTGGTGCCTCGCTTCCCAATCAAGGCCGACGGGAGGACACTGGCCGAAGTTTGGGCCCCCGAGGGAGAAGAAGCCTTTCCATACACATACATGGGAGTAGCGACGCCCGGCTTCCCGAATCTACTGTTTGTCCATGGGCCGTTTGGCACCGGCCCGTCCGGTACCGTGCCCCAGAGCGTCGAGAGCCAGCTGACGTACTTTGCCAAGCTGCTGCGAAAAGTGTCCAGGGAGGGAATCAAGTCCATCGATGCCGACCCCAAGGCGGCTGACGACTTTAATGAGTTTGCCGAGGCCTTTTTCAAAACTACCGTCTTTACGGACAACTGTAGCTCGTGGTACAATGGTGGCAAGCCCGGTGCCAGGGTGCACGGCATCTGGCCTGGCAGCGCTGCGCATCTCACTATTGTGCGGCGCGATCCTCGCTGGGAGGATTGGAACTACAAGTATCTGACTGGCTCGGGCAATCGGTTCCATTGGTACCTGGGCAACGGGTCTACAAAGCAAGAGGCAGACCCGGCGTCTGACATAACCTCGTACCTCAGGAATCCAGAGGAGATTGACTTGAAAGATGTGCACGAAAGCTGGTGGAGCATCCCATAGAGTAGAGACAAGACAAGTTTCTACCATTAGTTTTGCTAGACAACATCGGACGAAAGAGTTGGTAATTCAGAGCAGCAACCCGTTTCAAAAGCCGTCGTGGTTGCCGGGTGTCGGGAGAATGCCGAAGCCGGAATATACCATCGTTTGCAACTTTGACCCTCTATGAGCTCTTTCATTCGAAACTTTTATTGATCAGCCTCTTTTAAGCTTAAAGTGGCAGGGGTATGTTGTTTCACTTCCTTGAAATGACGTGCTTTTTGGCAATGCCGCAGAGCGGAGGACTGAGCCAACTAGCCCACACACAGTTAAAGAATACGGCAGCCGCGTGCGTGCCTTTGCACATTGGCTGAATGATTACCCGTTTCGGCCTCATTCAGATGATACATTGAAAACTTTGGTGATATACCCAGATTCTTCGCATCACTGTCCACCACCTGCATCATACGCGCTCTCAGGCTCGTGCAAAATGGCGTCCGAAGTTGTTGCACCAGGTATGTATGTGGTGACAGGTTGAAGGTTGGTTGGTCTATGAGCGACGTCCTAACTCCTCTAATCACAGTGAAATGGTATCGATCAACATTCTTCAACATCACGATTCTCGGCCTATGCAATTTTGCTGCGCCAGGCATATGGGGAGCTATGAACTCCCTCGGCGCCGGAGGAGCCCAAAAGCCATACTTGGTCAACACTGCAAATGCCTTGACATTCTGTCTCATGGTTGTTTCCTGTCTCTTTTCCAGTGCCCTGGTTCGGTTGATTGGTATAAAGGGCGCTTTGATCTTTGGCACGTATGTATACGCCAGATGCAACAGCTGCAACAACAGATAAAATTACGCTGCTGACCAAGATCGCCCCCCCCCCCCCCCCAGACTTGGCTACGCACCTTATGCCGCAGGCTTATACACAAATAATCGTTTCGGCATAGAATGGCTCGTCATTCTTGGTGCTGCCCTGTGCGGCATCTCTGCTGGTGTATTCTGGATGGCAGAGGCAGCCATTGCGATTGCCTATCCGGAGCCCTGGAACAAGGGCAAAGCACTCGGATACTGGCTAACGTACCGAGTCAGTGGCCAGATTCTGGGTGGTGCCATCAATTTGGGCTTGAACGCGGATCGCGATCAGGCCGGAAAGGTGTCTTATGCGGTATACCTGGTCTTCATTGCTCTTCAATGCCTTGCTCCCGTGGGCGCGCTCTTCCTGACGCCGCCTGAAAAGGTGCAGCGCCAGGATGGCAAGAAGGTGGAACTGGGCATATTCAGCAACCCTTGGCTCGAGATCAAAGCAACCATCAGACTGTTCTTCTCTCGAAAGTTCCTGCTAGTGCTCTTGTTTATTGGGCAAGCCGTGTTTGCCGAGGCCGTATTCTTCACATATCTTTCGTGTAAGTCCGACTCTCTCTCTCTCTCTGCTCCAGCCCGCCGAAAAGGGGAGAAGCGAAACAAAATGTCTGACAAAATCTCTTCTTTGGTTCAGTGTGGTTTTCTGTTCGCGCGCGTGCCTTGGGATCATTTCTGTCGGGCATTGTGGCCGCAATTGGGGGCAATGTCCTTGGGGTAAGTTGCGCCTCGAAGCCGGCCATTTGACAACGTGCTTATAATCATGGTTCAACAGTACTGGCTTGACAGGACCAAAATTCCGCTCAAAATCAGGGCCAGATCTTCGTTTTGGATCATTGTCACTTTGCAAGGAGCATGGTGGACTTGGGCGACAGTCATGTCTGCACGATATCGTCGCACACAGCCCACATACGACTGGTCGAGCCCTGGCTTTGGATCCGGGTTCCCTGTATATCTCTTCTTGCTACTCGGCTTCCAGTTAAACTACATGTTTCTGTGAGTATTTCAAGCCCCAAATTATATATATATTACTCTCGCTGATTTCCCGGCCTAATAGGTACTTCATCATCCAAAATCTAGCCGAATCCCAGGAACAGGTTATCCGCTATTCTGCCTTGCTACGCGGGACTGAATCTGCTTGGCAGGCAGTCAGTTATGGCTTGGGATCCATAGAGATCATGGCACAAGTTGGGAGCGTCTACCTAAACTTTGGTCTCTGGGCTGCTGCGATTATTCCCGCTTGGCTGGTTTTACGCGAGATTGGGGTCGCAAAGCCTGGCGACGGCGACGACTCTGAGCAAAGCACAAGCGATGCTGGCGAAATAAAACCCGCCCGGGCCGTGTCTAATCAGCTTTGAAGATTCAATTATTCGATACGAGGACTGATACTGCTTGATGTTTTTGTTTAGAGTAGCACTTGGCACAGAAAAGATAAAGATTGTTGTAATGCGCGAGCATGTAGCACACTACATCTACAGTGGATAATCCGTATATTTAGCGGTATTAGTTATATTAAGCTGGCCGTTCTGCTATCAAGTCTCCATGTTTGTTTCGTCTGTTATCTTGGCCTTGCACCCGAAATCGGATGTGCTTGTATGTAGCTTCCTCTTCGTAAGTGGTGGTTGAAATTGCGCCATCGCATACAGCCTTGCTCCCAGCATAAAGCAAATCTGCGGACCTGATTATAATTTATACCCCACAATCGGATATACTTGGGAAATATGAGTGAAGCAACGGCCATTTGCATGTCCGTTTCAAAGTGCGACGCCATTCCGTCGCCACTATCGCGTCATTGCGTGCTCGGAAAGCTAAAGCGGAGGCTCGGCACCGAACACCAGACGACCGTGCCGAGCTTCTATTTCACGAAACGAATGTTCTGTTCTTTTTCAATGCATGAGCTTTACTTAGATGGTTACTTTACTATTCAAAGACCAAATTGGAGTGAAGGATCTTCAACACCACTGAAACTATGGCCGACGAAGCCTCTGCCAAGGGCAAGAAGTCCCTCATCCTCAACGCCTTTGTGATGATGTGTAGGTCCTGAAATGAACGTTTTATAACAAGTCGTCTGATTCCATCCCAGGTAGCGGCCATCAATCTCCAGGGTTGTGGCGCCATCCAGATGACAAGTCGTGGAAGTTCGACGAAACAGCACACTGGGTTGAGCTGGCCAAGCTGCTCGAGTCGGCCAAGTTTCATGGCATCTTCATTGCGGATGTACTAGGTAAGCTTTCATAAAACGAAAAAAAAACGTTGGCAAAGTTTGTCTGACTTAATTGGTTTATTAGGCGGCTATGATGTGTACCAAAAGTCTTTGGAGCCGGCCATCGTCTCTGGCGCGCAGTGGCCGGTGACGGAGCCACTTGCAGTTGTTCCCGCCATGGCTGCTGCGACAAAAAGTATTGGCTTTGGCGTGACCATTTCCACCACGTACGAGCAGCCATACCACCTGGCTAGAAGAATTTCTACTATTGATCACTTGACAAAGGGCCGGTAAGTGCAGCTATTCTCTCGAAAAGTTTTCTCGGCCTTTCTTGAACTAACTAACTGGGGCTTTTTGAAGTTTGGGCTGGAACGTACGTATAGCATCAAGATGAGGTACATTTTTTTTTGTTTTTGGCCTCGTGCTCACATTGCAACAGATTGTTACAAGCTACTTGGACTCGGCTGCTAAGAACCTGGGACGTGACGAGCAACTAGATGTAGGCTAACTCGCTACGCTGCTTCAACGGCGAAAAGTATACTGACGACCACAGCATGATGAGCGCTACGCCCAAGCCGAGGAATACATGAAAGTCATGTACAAATTGTTCCAGGCTTCCTGGCGCGATGATGCCGTGACGCTTGATCGCGAGCGTGGCGTCTATACCAACCCAGATCTCGTCCGCCAGATCAACCACAAAGGAAAGTACTATGGCGTTCCTGGTCCGCACATTGTCCATCCCAGCCCGCAGCGAACGCCGCTGCTCTTGCAAGCCGGTGCATCAAAATCGGGTAAGCTATTTGCTGCCCAGCACGCAGAAGCAATCTTTACTTCTGCCCATGCCCCCGAAGCGTGCAAGAAGAACATCGCAGAGATACGGCAAACAGCGCAAGACGTCTTTGGCAGAGACCCGCGAAGCATCAAGGTTCTCGCTCTGGTCACGCCCATCTTGGGCAAAACAGAAGACGAAGCGCGTGCCAAGTATGACGACTACAAGAAATATGCATCTCTGGACGGTGCGCTCTCGCTTTTTGGAGGCTGGACGGGAATCGATCTCAGTGCGTACGGCGACGACGAAGAGTTGCGTGAAGTTGAGAGCAACGCAGTGAGGTGAGCAAAGTTGCTTTCACGACCAAAAGGTTCAACTGTTAGTCTAACCATTTTTTTTTCTTTTTTTTTTTTCAGGTCAACCGTCCAGGCTTATGCGCGATTCTCGCCCGCAAACTCAAAATGGACAAAGAAAACGGTGGCTGAGCATGTCAGCCTTGGTGGCAACGGGCCGCTCTTTGTGGGAACTCCTGCGCAAGTGGCAGACAGCCTCGAAACTTGGGTACACGAGGCTGATGTTGACGGATTCAACTTGGTGAGTTTTTTTTTTCCTTTTTTTCTTTTTCTCTTTTTTTCTGTTTTTTTCCATCAATCATTGCTGGGGATTGGTCTTTTTTCTTCTAACCTCGGATATTCCAGGCATATGCATTGTTTCCACAAACGTTTCAGGACATCATCGACCTACTTCTTCCTGAGCTGAGAAAGCGCGGGTTGTTTTGGGATGATTACGCATTCCCGGCTGCAACGTACCGTGAAAACTTTTACAATGAAGCCGGCCAGAAGCATCCCAAGCCAGAGCATGTGGCGTCGAAATATCATTGGAAGGCGGGGCAGACTGCGGCGGAGAGCACATTTCCTGAATAACCGTTACATGACTGATATGTGCCAGAGCGATCCCAGAACTTAGATACAGACCCGGCTCTCGAGGATATTACGCGATGTATCATAGTTTGATCTCATTTAGCACTTCTCTCGAACCAAAATAGCCGCAGTATCATGAGCATCCACAGCAACAGAATAGCTGCTCAAGCATCCCAGATCCTTTCCAATCCAGACATCCGTGACGTGATACTTTTCACTTTTGCAACCCAGGCACCTCGTTCCATATGGCAGTCTTTGTCGTTTTGTCATCTCTCACATTCATCATCAGCACAAGATGTCCAATACTTGACGCCCCAGTCCAAAACTCGGCAGGGTTGGCTGAATCATATTGTCCACTGGGGGGGTTGACGCCCCATTTGTATGGCTGCGCTGGGTTCCCCGTACTCGTCATCCTGATTGAATGCCAGCAGACATCTGTTCTTGAGTACATTGACATCATCCTGCGTCAAGTTCTTGACATTGGAGCCAATGAGCAAGGGCGTCTTCATAGCAGCCCACAGCGCAACATGCGTGCGCATTTACACGGATGGAGCAGGTAGATACAATATAGTGCGACCCCGGTGCTCCGCCAACCTCATCTTAGAACCACGAAATGCAATCTCTTGTCTCATAGGGCTGTAGCAGGCTTCCCCCCCCCCCCCCCCCCAACTCAAAAACTATAATAAATGTACGTACCTGAATATTCAAAGATGGGGGGACACTTGAACACGTCAGCGGCGTTGAGGTACACAAGCAGTGGACAATAAATATTACAGCAGGGAAATCGAGCTTGGCGCATACTTGCACCGCACCATCATCTTGTTGCCCGTCGCATCTCACCCTCGGCGATTGACGGAATTGTTGCGGGTGGCAACAATCGGATAATAATCAAGGGGCCGACAGCACATCAGCTCTCATGTTGCATTTTTCAACATTCAACATGCATCCGTGACCGAAATGCCCAGTGCAATGTTTGACACCCACCGAACCAGCATTCCGTTCGACAGTGGTTTTTTTTAAACGGCACCGCTAACTATCCCCGACGTCATTACCTGCCAGCTAGACTAGATGAAGCAAAGGCCCGGTAACAAGATTGGCTGAGAATGGGGAGCGGGCACGTTAAATATTCCTTTCTTTTTTTTTTTTTTCGTCAATTTGCGAATGAGAATAAAGAGCCACCGCCAGCCCATCTACGGTGCACCATTAGGACCGATTTTTGCATTGTTGCTTTTTGATTTCGAAAAGCGAATTCGCAATTCGCGCCACATCACACCAAAACACAGCATTTTTCAACGCTTATTCCTCCACACACAGGGGCCTCCCATCCCCACGGAAGTAACGGGACGTCGCTCTTCGGCCTGTCGGCCCATGTCGGCGCGCGCCCCTGTTTTTCTTCCCTTGTCACGCTGTTTACGGGTCGCACGCCGGACAATTCCCATATGCCGCGGCCGCAGCCGCAGCCACAGCCGGGCCGGCAACACCTAGTCTCTTTTCTTCCTGCGTTGCGAGCGGAACCACAAGACTCTAATAACAATAAGTCAAGGCGAGAATGCGTTGTGAAACCCCCCCCATGTAGGCGGATAATCCCGAGCTCCGCACGAAATGACGATTAGATGAATATATATATATATAGATAGATGTATATATGTATATATATAACATCTATTTGCATATATATATAGACGAGTGCCGGCATCCCGCATGTTCAACATTCTTCCATCACAAATTGTGAAAAACTTTTGCTTGAAAATATATATCCAAAAGGGTAAAGCAAGCTTGCACAGCCCAATCATGACCAAGCCTCGCCCCTCGGACGTCTTCTTCTTCAGCTGCCCCCGGACGCTGTCCAACCTCCTCGTCAAGCTGCTCTCGCAGCAGCAGGGCTGGGAAGGGTCAGGCTACTACTTTCACTCTGCATGCATGTACGCAGTCGAAAACTTTAGCTACTCGGTCGACGCCGAGGCGCCGCCCGAGAAGCGGCAAGAGTTTGTGCGGCAGCTCCGCGAGGGCTTTGCCAAGATGGAGGCTGCCCGGGACAAGGCTCACAGAAATGTACGTTGTTACTTGCCTCATCCTCCTCATCTTTGCAGCAACAGTAAAAAAAAAAAAAAACACATCAAGGGTATTTCAGAGCTTATTCTGACAAATCTTTAGGGCAACGCCTTGTTCCTCAAAAACCACTGCGCGCAAATCTGGAAACCCTCTTCCCTGTACGAAGCCACCAAGAACGGCCAATTCGCCGCCGAATTCACCCTCGACGACGACGACGACGCTCCGCCCCTTGCGCACACCAACCCCACGATGCTGCCCGACCCTTACCTCGTCTCCTTTGTGCCCATCTTCCTCATCCGCCACCCCGCCCTCATGGTTGACTCGTGGTTCCGGGCCTCGACGAGCGCCGGCCACCCGCCCGACCCTTGCCTCACCACGCGCGCGCGCAGCCACGGCCTCGGTCTCGCGCGCGAGCTGTACGACTGGTACGCCGCAAGGCTCTTGACGACTGCCACGTCGGACGAGTCGCGGTCGCCGCCGCCACCGACGCTGGGATGTAAAGGGGTGCCCATCGTGGTGGACGCCGACGACGTGCTGGAGGGGGACACGGTGCCTCGGCTCACGGCCGTCATCAGCATGGATCCCGCGCAGGTGCTGCGCGGGTGGGAGGCGCAGTCGACAGAGGGAATGGTCCCCTTGGACAAGAGCTACATGCAGGGCATCTGCGACTCGACGGGCATCGACACGTCCAAGAGCGCCAGGCGGCTGGATGTTGAGGCCATGTACAGGAGCTGGCGCGAGACGTACGGCGACGAGGTAGCTGAGTACATGGTCAAGGTGACGGAGAGCGATCTGCCAAATTACGAGTACATGAAGAGTAAGAAAATGTAGAGAACGCTCGGCGGGGGGGGGGGGGGGGTCGTTCTTTGTAGAAACTGGTAAATACCAAATGAGACATGCATAGCTATCTGATTAGGGGGTAGAAAAGGATCTGTTTGTTACAGCGCTCAAAACGGAGTATTTTGTGAACATATGGCCGAGGACAAATTAGATAGGTAGTCTTGACTTATAACGTCCGATACGCACTCCATCAAGTATCACCACCACCTGCTACTCGGCCTTTTTTTTTCCTTTTTTTTTCTTTTTTTTTTTTGAATGCCATACACACGATACAAATTTCCTACTCAAGGTTCGTATAATTACAAGAGTCGATGACCGAGTAGAGCGTCAGACGCACGCCCATTTACATGCTCCATCGCAAAATGAATACCTTCCGTAGCAGTTGCAGGCTTCACTCGCGGTCTCTCTACTTTCTCACAGCCATCTCATTCATCAATTACGCTCGATTATAAAAAAAATTAATTCGGAAACTGAAACTGCCTTTTTTTTTTAACGGCTTTATCTCTTACGTCAACAGAACAAATCACTGCTATACGTGCTGGGCTTGGGGATGCTCGCTCTCGCTAATTTGGCTGCCCACCTCGGACCAGCTGGCCGGAGTCAACATGCCGTCCGTTTCACTAATGACATCGTATGGGTGGCCGCTTTCGTCGCCCGCATGAGACAACGAGCGCGTCTCGTTGGCCAGGTCCTCGCCGGAGCCGACCAGAGACACGGAGTCGGTCGGCGTCAGCTCGCCCTCGCTGATGACTTCGGCCTCGGAGACGGGCGCGACGGGGGTAACTGGCAGCGGCGAGTAAAAGCCCGAGTCGAGGGCCCAGGCCTGAATCGAGGCGTACGCCTCCTCGGGAATCTCGCCGGCGGGCAGGGCCTGCTGGTGTAGTTCTCTCTGCACGGCGGCGGGATGCGGCAGAGTCTCGGTACCAAAGTCGATGAGTGACGGCGACTCGGCCTCCATAGTGGCCGTCGTGGCCGTTTGCCCATCCTCTTCGCGTGTGGTGGCGCTGTAAATGTCGCTCTGGCTCTCGTGTATCAGCCTGCCGGTGCCGAGACCCATGTTGCCGAATTCCTCTGGATCAATGTGGTGTTCGTCGCTAAACGGGTTCGAGTATACGGCGGCGGCGGAAAAGCCGCGGGCACCATCACCACGATGTCGCAGCTGGCTAGCGCCCGCCGTCGTATCTGTCCCGCTGACGACGTAGGCGCTGGATTCTTCGCTATTGACCGGCTTTAAGAAGTCATCAAACGAGGTGCCCCTGGGGGCGTCTGGGCGGTCTTGGATGGCAGGCGGGGTGGCAAAACCGTCCTCCTTTTCCGCGTGCTTGGTAAGTTCATCCTCGACCTGCTTCTGCAGCCGGACCGAGTTCCAGTACATCAGCTCCTCGCGCTGCCTCCGGCGGGTGGCTTCATCAGCGTCGACGCCGGGCTCGGCACCCGCGCCGCGCCTCGACTCGAGGAATCCCTCAGCATCCTCTGGTCTGTTATATATGGGCTCGCGATCGGGCGGGTTGATGCCGTCGCCAAGGGACTGGAGTGCCATGGCGATGCGGCGGCGGACGTCGTCGGTGTAGCGGCGCACCTCGGGCGACTCGTAGATGGCAATAGCAGTCGCGATGACGGCCGATACGGCGACGACGGCGCCCGAGGCGAGGATGACATGGTTGACTGCAGGCATGGCGAGGAACGAGGCCGACGATGGTCGATTGGGTGGTGGGGTTTGGTGTGACGAGCGGGCGGCGGGGCACAGAAGGGTCCTGTCTCTCTTGATAGGAATGAGAGTGCAGAAAGGCTGAAAGGGATCTATCCAGAGGGAAATGTGTAACTTGAGACGATGAAGATTTCTCGGAGAAGCCTGCGCCGGCTTCACATGGCAAAGTTGCAACAGGTAGAATGGTTGAGGATGGTCACTGGTCAAAGAGGCGTGATTGCGTATGCCCTGTCGTTGGCGCCTCATGATTCGCCACCCTTCTTTACAGGGCAGAGGCAGCCCGCCCGCCCCTCTCGTTGCCTTGTGGGTTCGGTGGCGTAGCTTCGATAAAGCCGCCTAATTTGTAAATTACAAAATAATCTGAAACCATATATCTTCCAACGGCCGAACTTTGTTGAGAAACAGCATCAAAAAACGTAAGAATTGAAAAGTTTCGTATTGTTGGGGCATGGACGTCAACATGATATGTGTCACGCGCTACGCCACTCGATACCATCACCGACATGACGGAAATAATGGATACATATTTACTAATTGATGAATGAGTCTAGGACATATCGTAGCCAAAGCCTCCATAGAGCGCCTCGGCCCGCCTCTGACGCGTTAATTGCAGGTTGCCCTCTTCCCATACGCTGTGGCTCCTCACAGTGAGAAGCGCTTGCGCCACCCTAGACCATCTAACATGGTTTACATCCTAGGAAATACTCGTAGAGAAACCATTACACCGGAGGAAATAAAAAAGGATAAATGACGACGTCTTTTGGAACACCCATCGAGGCAGAGATGCGTAGAACTGGCAAGCAACATGCTGTTTTCATATCCTGACTCTGAGATGATTGATGACAGACCGACTTATAAGCTAGCAACCCCAATCGCAAGTCGAGTCTCTCAGCCAAACCAGCCCACCGCCCTCTATTGCTCCCCCCAAGCCTTGTCATTGGTTGTGCGACGATCCGTGCTCGTCATCCTAACACGGCAATCCATCCATACCGCTTCTCTCCACCCCCACGTTTCCCCCACCCCCAACTCGCTGCAGCTGCTCACGCCGACAAAACCCCAATTTCGAGGACACGAGGACCGACGACTACATAGTTAGTCGTCTAATTCAACAAGACGTTTACCATTCCCGTTGTTCAAAAAAGTCTTGACTTGGTGACCCGGCACGGGCCCGAGACAAAGGGCTGGGCCAAGCCACTTACACCATGGTGACCACTTACCCGCCTCCGCTCGCTTTGCTTTTTCCGACATTGCTTTGATGAATCCCGCCCTTCCTTCAAACAATTGACGAATTAAAACTAGACCAAAAAGTCGACAATGGGAAGCTCTTACACGTTTGGTATCGCGCTATTTGCAGCAATCGGCACCTTTCTCTTTGTGCCGTCAACCCTGTCCATCCTCACCTTTCTCCTCCCACATTAACCAAAATAAAATCTAGGGCTTCGATACCGGCATCGCAACAACAAGTAAAGCCAACACCTCTCTTTCTCAACCACGAATCGTTCACTCATTTTGTATCTTCTTTTTTTGGTAGCAATCGCTCATCAGAGCTGGATCGACTACATGAAGCACCCCTCAGCCAGTCTCACCGGCGCAGTAGGCCTCCTCAATCTGCCCCTCCCAAACCTGCCCCCCTACCAACTAACAATGGCAAAATGTCACAAGGTCGTCGCCGTGTACATTGCCGGCGAAGCCCTTGGCGCGCTCACCCAAACCATTGTCGGTGATCGCATGGGCCGTATCCGCTTCATGCAACTTCTCTGCGTCCTCGTCACCATTGGTACCGCCATCCAGACCGTTGCCGTCCACATTGCCATGTTTCTTGTCGGTCGCGGCCTTGCCGGTTTCGCCGTTGGGTAACGTTTTCCTTTTTTTTTTTTCCCTATTCCTTCTTTTTTTATTCTCCTCCCTTCCTTTTCTTTCTAGAACTTCATCTTTAACCAGAGACTCTCCTCGCAGCGGCATGGTGTCCACTGTTCCCATCTATCTCTCCGAGATGGCGCCTCCGCAGCAGCGCGGCCTGATTGGCGGCATCTCGGGCTGCGGCATCGCCCTCGGCACCATGGCCTCCAACTGGGTCGGCTACGGCTGCTCCTTTTTGCCCTACGGCCAGACCCAGTGGCGCGTGCCGCTCGGGTTGCAGATCCCCTGGGGCGTGCTCATGCTGGTCGGGCTGGCCACGTTTATGCCAGAGTCACCGCGGCAGCTTGTGCGTCGGGGCCGCGAGGGCGAGGCGCGGCGCGCCTTTGGCAGGACGAGGCGCGAGTTGACGTTGAGCGAGGTAGAGCAAGAGTTTGAGGCCATGAAGATGCAGATTAGCTTTGAGATGGAGCGCGAGGTCAAGTCGTACAAGGATATATTCAGGCTCTATCGACGACGAGCCATGGTGTAAGTTCGCGCACCGCGGCTGAGCTTGGCCGAATGTTTTTTTTCACTGACGCTGAACAGATCAATTGCTGTGCAAACTATGACGTCGCTCACCGGTGTAAACGTTGTTCAGTATTATCAGAGTAAGCCTATTTCGCCTAGACTCCCTTTCTATTCTCTTCAGCTTTGTGCTGAAAAAAGAACTGCCCACGCAGCTATTCTATACAGGAGCCTCGGCATGAGCCCCTCCACCATCCTCGCCCTGGCCGGCGTATACGGCACCGTCACCTTTCTTTCCAACGTTCTCACGACCCGGTACCTAGCCGACCAATGGGGCCGTCGCAACATGATACTCACCGGCCTCTCCGGCGTCATCCTCGTCGAAATCTACACCGCCGTCATGCAGCGCCGCTTTCAAGACTCGAGCAGCGCAATCGGCAAGGGCTTCACCATTCTCGGCATCTACCTGTTCGCAGTCATCTACTGTATGCTCAAAAGAACTGTTCTATTTTCATTCTTTGGGGGACACTTGTGTACTGATTCGACGCAGACGGCATGCTCAACAGCACCACCTGGCTCTACGGCGCCGAAGTCCTCCCCATTGCACTCCGCAACAAAATCATGGGCATCGCCTCAGCCTCTCACTTCATCGTCAACGTCGCCGGTACGTTGAATCAAAATCTCATCTTCTTCCTGTCCTCCGCCCCCGTCCCTTGACCCTTTTTTTGAACTTTTTGCCAAACAACACACCTAGTCACCGAAGCCGGCCCAACCGCATTCGCCAAAATCCGCGAGAATTACTATTACGTGTTTGTCTGCTGCACAACCTTTTTCCTCATCATGGCCTACTTTTGCTTTCCGTACGTGTACCTGCTGCTTCTTTTTCTTTCAGAAAAGAATCCAAAACGTCTGGTTTTACTTATCCCGTGACAGAGAAACACGCCAGCAGACTCTCGAAGAAATCGCGGCTGCCTTTGGTGACGACATCGTGGCTGCCGACCCTGGCAAGCCCGGCAGCTTGACGCCAGGAATCAAAGCTCACCTTGTTGTGGACAACGGTACTTCAACTGACCACCACGAAATCCGAAGACTTGACTGAGCCTACTGTTACATGTCACTCAGCGGAGTCCATGTCGCTGATCTGCTGCGGTCTCTTCATTAGAGTCGATTGTTCAGTTCCGCCATATTCGCATGGTGTTAAATTGTGTGTACCTCGCGGTAAGCTTCACACACATAGCCGTACGCTAGGTTAGAAAACAGATATAGTGACATGTATTATTTCGAGTCATCACCCGACAAACTGGATTCCGCCTCGGGAGCAAAGCCCAAGACATGAAAGACTATCAATATGTAATGGATTTTGTTTTCCGGGAAAAGACGACTAATTAATACTAGTGCTTTCTCTCCTTTTCACTCTCTCGCTCACTCTTCTTATGATAAATGTCAAAGCGAAAATGGGTGTAGTGTCGACAAAAAAAAAAAAAAGGGAAAGGCCAAAACGAAGATTGGGTGCAGAAATCGCGACGAGCCCAGCAACAGACAAAATGAGGAAACCAAATAGAGAGAAGAGCTCAAGCTAGATACCTCGCGGTGCACACCAAAAAAAAAAAAAACTCCTCAGACCAAACCTTCTCCAGTTCCTTCTTTCACGAGATGAAACGAACAAAATATCAGAAATCACGACTACCAGTCTCTCTGCATCTTGTCCACGACTTTTCCTTCAGCTTTCTGCTCCTTATATATATATATAGCCTGTTTTCGATCAAGCATCTTCGAAAATGATATGACTATTCTCAATAACAAACTGCACAGCGATATTCTTGGCGTGCATGTCCAACATCTCCCGCTCGATGCTCAGGTCGCGCATGATGGTGGGCGCAAAGACAACCGCCAAATTCTTGGGCGACATGAGGTTCTCGGATTCGCGCTGGGCCACGCGCTGCAGGTGAAACATGAGGAACTCGAGACAGTCGCGGTGGCTCTGATGCATCGAGTCGAATGTCTTGCGCAGTTGCGCGCAGCGCTCTGCTTCTTCGGAAATGGCTGCAAATAGTTAGTACACCAAAGCTCAAAGACGATAAAATGACAACATACCATTCGACTCTAATACACGGTCATAGACGTCAAATGTCAACAGCGGCATTGGCAGCTTGCGGAAATACTGCTTCAGCACACTCGTCACCGCAGTGATATCCAGATCTGGATCGGAAATATCAAAGTTCTCGCTCTTCTCAAAGCCTTCCTTGATCTGGTTGACCTGAGAGTTGCCGCCAGTCTTGCGGTAAATGCCCTCCTGGTCCATGCCACGTAGCTCGACCTCTTCTATGCAGCGGCTGACGACACTGGGTATTTGACGACGCTCATACTCGACACGCTCGCTGAGCTCAGAGCCAAACAAGGTTGTGGGCGGTTCTGCTGCGAGAGGTGTCGAAACTGTGTTGGCAGATACAGACTTGGGCATATTGGCCTTCTTGCCGAAGAAACCAAAGCTCTGTTGCTTATTAGCGGCGTTGGGACCACCGGAGGGAACGCTGGATGCCGAGGACATGTCCGCCTGCGTGACGGTCATGTTGTAAGGCAGACCAATATTATCTGCAGTCAAGCCGCCAGGTTGTCCACCCATTTGACCTGGACGATCGCGTTCGTTTTGTTGAAAGGCGACAACAGCGCGGTTGACACCCTTGGCGACGTTTTGAGCCATTGTCTTGGAACCTTTCTTCCAGTTAAACTTCTTCACCTGACCCTTGCGCACCTGTACCACCGTAGGGCCAGACTCGACAATATGTTCCTCATCGGCAGGTACAAGGGTAGCACCCGTGGTCATGCTGGCGGTGTCAAGGTTGGCGTTGGAGGTTGCGGCGCCGCGGTGGCCGTAAATGCCTAGTCCATTGGATGGTGACCGCAAGTCGCCTGCTTGCGACTTGAAACGCTCTTGGATCTGGTGCGTCATCTCGTTGTTCATGTCGGCGAGCTGAGCATTCTTGGAGGAAAGCTGCTCAAATTCCATCAAAGCGCGGTCGCGGTCAGCCACAGCCTGACTTTTTTCTTCGACAAGCTTATCGCGCTGCTCATGCAGTGCGGCAATCTCGGACGCCATAGTCCCCTTGACACGCTCTAGCTTCTTGACAAAATCCTTGATAGCTGAATCTTCGAGCTCGTGGACATCAAGCGGAGCTTTGGTTTCTTTCGCCTTTTCGACGTAGCCGGCGAGAACCTCGAGCTGACGAATCATAATCTCCGCTTGAGTATCGAGTACGGAAACTGTCTTTCGCTTCTCGACTAGCTTCTTGTCAAGAGTCTGCAAATCTTTTTCGGTGTTGAATTGTCGCTCGAGTTCTGCAACGCGCTGCTCCGAGTTTCGTAGTTGACGCTTGAGCAAAGCCGAGTCCTCGCCCTTGTTCAAGGAGATTGGACTGCTGATATCGTGGCTGTGATCGTCGGGGTGCTGGGGTCTTGACCAGCGGGGGGAAACAGTCGATCGTGTTGTCTCACTTATGCTTCGAGTGTGGCTTTGCCTCGGGTTGTGACTGGACTCGATGCTCCCTGTACGACCATGTCGAACCGCGTTAGAAACCCGACGCAAGAGCGAGGATGAACCTTCGTCGGTCCCAAGAATTCTAGCCATGTCCTCGTCCAGTGTGAAATCGGCACCACTGCTCCATCTAGGCAATTTTGGCGAAACTTTGGGAGACTGACCATCATCTTTAGCACCAGCAGAGGCTCTAGAGCCTGGAGGTGCGGGTGCGGCTCGTGGTTGCATATAGCTTTCACTGAGAGTGGGCTTTTCCGTCGTGTTTGCCGTAGAACCAACTGTAGCGCGTGTTAGTGGGTAGCTTGGGCTGCTGGGGGTGGACAGGAGCTGACCGGTTCTGTTGGCCGACGGCGGCAGCTCCTTGCGTGCAATGGCCATGCCGGGGCCTGAGCGTGAAGTCTTGGAGCTGGGTTCTTGCGCGGGCGCAGTTGCGTCGTCGTCGGCCGGCCGGGCATCCTGAGAGGCACGCTGTCGTGACGGGGCGTTTGTTTGTTTGATATCAGTAGACTGAGAGCTGTTCGTTCTGGAGGTCTGCAGACGCTTGCTACGAGGTGCCTCGTGTGGTCTAGAATCATCAGTCTCGGGCGAAGCCTTTGAAAATTTATTCTTGTCTTTTTCGCTCTTTGAGACTTTTCGCGAAGGGGCCATGGCCTGCAGGATATGATCTGTCGACTGTTGACGGCCTTTGTCCTGGAAAGCAATATGGGGAGAGACAGCAGTCTCGCTGCGCCTCTCACCGGCAGCTTTGCTGCTCCGAGGCGTGGCATCGTTGTTGGCGTCCGGAGCTGGTGAGGCCTTGGCAGAGCCATTGGGGGTGGGATCCAGGGCGACGGAGATGTAGAAGCCATCAGATGCATCGTTGTGGTTGCTACCATGCCCACTGGGGAGGATGGCCGAGTTCCTATTCTTTCTGTATGTGCTAGAGGGCAATGTTAGGGTATCCTTGTTGGCGGCGTTGCCATTATCAACTGAAGGACGCTCAGGCGACCTGGCCGGTATAGCAGCTACTCTCGAGTTGCTGCTTAAGCGAGGGGCGGCGGCCTGAGGTCCCGGAGACGTGGCGGCAACGTTATCCGAGTCAGCATCTGCCTGAGCGTTGGGGATCATCTCGGGAGGCAAGGCAGGTAAAGACTTGTCTGTTATGACGCCGTCTTCCTTGTCCCGCGCTTTTGAAGCAGTGGTGGCTTTGGAGCGTTTTCGCCGACGAGCCATGATAGTTTCGTGGCAGCCCATGCAAAAGATTCCCTGTGAGGTGCGTGCATAACGCAGGTTTTCGATTTTGCGTTTGCAGTTTCGGCAACGGAAGCAGGTGGAGCAAAAGGCCTGATCTCCGGTCAAAATGGCTAGATCCTCAATCTTGTTGCCGCAGGCATTGCATGTATAGGTGCAATTATTGCACACGAGGGAGCCGTCGCCCAGGAGGAGGAGGTTGGCGTCGGAGTCGAGGAGGGTGCCGCAGGTGTGGCAGCGAAAGCAGTCAAGGTGCCATCGTTGGCCAGCTGAGATTGGGTATCAGCACATGGTGATGCAGGCGCGAGACAGAGTGCGGCGCAGAGAGGGAAGATTGGGCAGAAACATACCTAATTCAAAAGCTTTGCCTTCCTCGAGAATCTGGTAAAGAGGGGAAGAGTTTGTTAGCTTGAGTGGTTGATTGCAATCGGAGGGTCGTGCAGCGACGACGAAGGACACAAACCTCTCCGCACCCTCTACAGGGAAAGATTTCGTCATTGTCGAGCGAGCCGTCGAGGTATTCGTCGACTATGGCAGTCATGGCGGCGAATCAGGACCAGCGGCCAGGCAGCCAAAGTCGATGGATGCCAAGGGCGGGAGATGGCAGCAGACCACCACGACGGGATCGGTCAGGGGCGGGGCGCGCAAGCTGGCCCGACGTGAAGCAAAACGGATCGACTCTAATTGGATCGGGCACAAAGAGCAGGTAGCATGAGAATGGTCTGCAATCGATGATTGTGCGCCGTTTATATCATTCGTGATGGAATCGACAAACGCAGAAAGGAGTCGACGGGTCGACGAGGCGGCGCGCGCCAAACGAGAAACTTTGGGTTGCTGGTATTTGCGGCGTAAATGGTGATCAAACGCACGCGCGCGGAAAAGGTAAGAAAGGAGATATCGACAACAAACAACTGGTGAGAGGTCGCAACCCGTGGTCGAGGGGATGTGCGCGGCTTCGATTTGCACGGTCGCCGACCCAAGGTCTGTCTGTGGGTGAGGGAAGGCGGACGCAGGTGAGGCTTTGCGTGGGACGGACAGACACCAGGGGTCAGGAGATGAGCTAGAGAAGGGCGCGGTCCAGCTTGTTCGGGAGGCGGCGGCGGAGGAGGCCCAGGTACGGAGAGGGGCTGGTGGGAGGGAAGGAAAGCGGTGGGTTGAACAGAGAAGAGAGGGACGCAGTGTGCGAGTGGTGGGACGAACGAGTTGACGTGCAGAAATGAATCAGTGTCTGTGTCACGACGTTGGCGTTGTCGTTGAAAGTGGCGATGCGGTGGGATGGCTTTTACAGTGCAGCTAACCAAGGCAGGGAGCGAGTAGCATGGGGTGCCTCCCTGGGTACTTGCTTAGGTAGGGGTCTGTCGGCGAATCATTAGCGCATCAGTGGTATCTTTCAAGTACCTCCTGATCTACGACGGTGAGAGGAGGGGTTCTCGGCATGTGCTCTTGCAGCTACCTTGGATTAGGAAACAGATACACCAAAGGAATACAAATAATGAGCTTCCGTCAATGACCTATCTCAAGGAACAGGAAATCTGATGTATCGAACTTGGATCAGAGCAATGCCAGTTACTTTGCTCTGTACTTGGCAGTAACCTCCTCTTCTTCAAGTGCTGCGGCTTCCCCTGCTGCCTAGGTAGGTACCTAGTAAGCTACCTATTTGCCTATTTACAGGGGCTTCCAACCCCGTGTTAGTGGCGCCGCACTACGCTGCACCACTGCAGCCACTGCAGACAAATTGCCGGGCTGCAGCGACGGCAGAAATGGACCGACGCGTTTCACAGTAGAGCATGCGCTCATTGTGTTGATCTGTCTTTGTCCTGGGATGTTTGCCTTCATTGCATCGGGACATGGCCAACAAGCATCGGGACATGGCAACGGCATAAAGTTGGCGGTGCATTTACACGCTGTCCTCGTACAGTGCAAGTACCCTAGCCCAGGCACAACCGAGACAATCGAGGCACGTACCTGACACTACGAGATGGTGTCTTCAAGAGCCTCTAATTGACATTTCGACCAGACATTAATTCGCCCTGCAAGCTTCTCGCAGCCAATTGCCCCTGAAAATACAGGTACCAACGTGTTACCAGTTAAGCTCATTGACCCACTGAACCCTGACCCCTGCCGGTACCCTTAAATCCACTGTATTCGTACTCCGTAACTCGCATCCCACTCCAAAGTCGCAACACCCAGCAGACTGACCGGCCACAGTGTCCAGAGCCCGTTTACGACAGCGCTCCCCTGCCATCAAGATTTATGCACGAACTTCCGCCTGTTTCCGGAATTATGGCCTCGTGTCTGTAATTATGCGACCACGTGTTGAATTGGCGGCGGTTGACGCGGTTCCAGATCCACCTGCCTTCATCACCACCGGCCCAGCGCGCGCATGTCTTGCCGAGACGCGGCGCTGTCTGCTGCCGATCCAATCTACAGGAGACCAGCCAACGAAACAGAACAAGTTGGAAAAGTTGACCCCGAGACCGCCAGTTGTCGTCGACACGATCCAGGCGTCATGGACTATGCCTCCACAAGCCATCGTCTCGAGACAACCCATGAAGTTAATCGCTGGCGATCATGATCGCCTAGTCTGGCTTCTTTCCATCCCTTCATTTTATACACCTCCATCCTGCTCGCTGCTGAAGTTACTTCTACCCGTATGCTGCGCTGTGTCATGATATACACGCGTATATAGATGCGCTGGAATAGAACGACACCATTGAGCTAGCGTCATCCTGCACCGAATAGCCGGTAGAACAGGCAAGTACTGGATGAATAGTCCGCAACTGCTACTTGCGATTGTTCAGACGTTGATCGGTCCACGTTTTTTTTTTTTTTGTTGTCTCTCTGATTCCTCTTCCATGGTATCCTCACACCAATCATAGGCCGTCAATACGCCTTGGTGCTTCGTACCTCAAACATGCTCAACAACTTATCCGTACAAAGAGCGGGCTTCTCATAAAATTTACGGCTCGCTCAAGCCAAACTCCTTTTGGCTGTTTCATGTTCTCTTGTTCACAACCAATCTTCCTTCACCTGGTATATGAAAACCTCACATCTTGACCTCCCGTGACGAATCTGCAAAGCGCCACAGCCATTTTGTGCCACCAAATTCTTCCAGTCAAAATTGCACCTGCATACGTGTATACTGTACATGTCGCTTCATAGCAGTCACTTGACTCCAAGTTCGCACAGACAAACTAGCTAGGGTCTCTCTCCCCTGTACTCCGCAGGCTGTCTGCAACGGCATCTCCCCCGCCCGCCCCCCCTGTAGGGATGAAGCACGCATTGTGTTTCGCAAATCCCACAGTTTGTGCGCCCGTCACATCACTTGTCAACGACGATGAAAGTGCCGCGCTGTGTGCATCGAATTGTGCATCTTCTGTCATATGGAACTTCTCGCACTACACAGTGTTACAAGAGATCTCAGCTCTTGTACAAAAGTTACGGGCCCGCGTTCAGGATCGTGTCGTGCCCTGCCCTGCCCTGCCTCGCTTTGATTTGGAGCCAAGCCATCTATCTACCTTGTAGTGATCTGACACCGGGATGGTTTGAACTAGATCGGTGTCGGCTTCCTCTATTAAAGTCGCAATTTATTCATATCATTGCAGTTTGAAATTGGCAACGGTTCCCTGAATGGAATGCAGCCCAGAAGAGACGACATTGCAGGAAACAAATGGCCGAAACGAGCCTGTTATTACCCACTCAGCCTATCCTATGATTTGCAATTTCAGAAATTTTCATGCTCTGTATTTGACGGGTCGCATCATGGTTCCTTTGTGTTGAAATCTACCTGCAACACTTGATCAAAAGCCCCTTTTGTCTTGCTGGTCGAATAAACGAGCACCTGCATCCATCTCATCACCAGTGGCGGCGAATCAAACGTTTCCTCTGTCTTCACCTTACTTCGTATGGCTTTGCAGCAAGCCACCACGAGAGCCATCCTGCCCACCACCCAAAACATGTTTCCAGTAAACAGCAAGCTGCCTGTCTGCGTTGTCAAAATTGCATTGTACAACGCTAAACAATACTTAAACAGCTGACTGCCTGGATGCCATGCTGCGGCAGAATGAATGTGTGGGCTGTTTCAAGTAAAGCACCTCTCTTTTGAGGTCAACAACCTGATGTCGGTGTGTTTGCGTATCAATAAAGTGCTTAAGCAGCAACATTGGAACCGAAACAACCGAGGCAATTGTCTGCTTAATTCTTGCATGCACGTGGGAATAGCCATTTCGAGTCACGCCGTCACATTACAACATCCAAGTATCCTGCCCTTGCCACGCCGCGTTTGCACACCGAGACTGCGGCTTTCCAATCATCATGTTCGCTGAATATCACAATGCCATACATGCAAGCACCTGAAAACAAGAAAAATAACACGCCCACTGCCCGCTCTCTCCTCCTCCCTTATTACTGGTTCGCCACCATCTTCTTCACTTTGTCCAGCAAGATGCCGCTCTCGCGACCCAGCTTCTTCTTGCCATCGCGCCCGACTGTCTTGGCCATGGCCCTTTTGAACTTGTCCCGCTCCGCCAGCCGAGTCTGCCTCTCTTCCGCCCGTCGCGCGCGCTCCTCGCCACGCCGCGCCGCCTCAGCCCGGTGCTCGTCCGCCTTGGCCAGCTGCTTGTCGTAATAGCCCGGACGGCGTGTCCGCCGGCGGTGCCCATCGCTGGCGTCAATGCCCTGGCCCTGGGCCGCTTTTTGCGCCACCTCCTCGTCCTTGATCATGAGCTCCCGCGTCGGGTGCATGACTTTCTCACTGCCTTTTGAGTCCCCCCTGTTGTCAGCGGCAGTGGTGGCATCTTGCTCGGCCCTGCCGCCGTCACCAGCCGCCGTTTGCTTTTGTTCGCGCTCCTTGATCTTGGCATAAGCCTTTTTGACTTTGGCTTTGTGAATCAGATCCTGCTTGATTTTCGTTACTGTATAAGCGTTAGAGTTATCGTTATCACCTTAAAGGGGCCCAAGCTAGACCATGCAAGGCGAAATGCTCTCTTGGCCTGTTCATCTGCAAAAGTCGAGAGCAAGGGCTTCGCGCAAGCACGTACCTTTACGGCGCCATGGCCCGTCCGGTAAATTATCCGGGCCAACTCTGAATCCTTGGCGATGCTTCTTGACCGCTTCGCTGTCGCTGGACGGCTTCTTTGTAGTTTTAGGCGCCATGGTAAATGAGGTCCGATTGTGTTCTGTTGGAAGCAAACCACTGGTGAGGAAAATCTTGGTGATGCAAGCCTGCAGAGCATGTACCAATGTACCTACCTACTCTGCGGGCTCTCCAAATTGGGCCTAGGTAGGTAGGTAATGTGGAAAGTGGGCTTGCCAACTGGAGACTACCTACCTATGATGGCTCTCTACCTTGCGAATTTAGCACTAGAGGATGCTGAATGGGATCGTTGGTTGTATTGCTATTCAAAATGGTGTGGCATGCAGACTATTGTTGTAAAGTGCCATGTGGCAGAAAGAAAGACGGTCAAGCAAAGACGCATCCTATGAGTGGGAATTCAGCTATGGCTTAGTATCCTGCATTTCTAATAGAGTAGTGCTACACGGACGACCCTTTTTTTTCTAATAAAGTTCTCCCGGGGCCGATCTGAGTGTCGTGTGCTGGCAGCGCGGGCTTCAGCTTGACCCCTCCAGGGTTACATTGCCTGTGAATGTGAACGAGGCAAAAGGACTGCCGTGTAATAGACCCTTTTTATTGCTTTTTTAGTCTCAAAAGGATGCTGCATCAGGCAGCATCACGGTGGAGAGGCTCTGCAGAGTCGGCAGCGGCAACTCTAGGCCCGGCCATCCGCACGCAGTCAAAGGTCGTCTGCAAGTCCTGGCAGGAGAAGGGTACCTACCTAGGTAGGTAGGTACCAGGTATACGCGCTGTAACCTCGGCGGACTCCAGGTACCTCCTCAGCGGTAGGATGTCGTCTACAGCGCCCGATGCCCACTGCAACCCACTGAAGCCCACTCAGTCTAGGCCTGATCTCTCTCTTAAAATCTCAAAATATCTCCGCCCAACAACTCAAACTTGTCGCATGACGACCTTGCTGCCCCACCCTGCTCCAACACATGTTGGACCCGACTCGTTCTCTCGGGTTCGTCCATGATTCACCGCCGCCGTTGCTTCTTGCTCTTTCTTTGGAATTTTTCTTCTCCTCCTTTGCCAACGTCTCTCTTATAATCGATCATTGTTTTTGAGTTGAATCGTATAATTTCTCGAGCAAGCCAGTCGTGCAACCCGCTCACACCGTTAGCCCGCTGTCGGACCACCATCGACCTTCCAACGCCCAGCCCGTGGCCGTTTTGCATCTTCCGCATCCAGGACCGCAGCTCGGCTGTGGTTCAGGATACACGATACCATGCCCATCTTCCAGGAAGATATCGACCACGCCCGCCCGCCTCTGGGCCAGCCGCTGCCCTCCCTGCCCTCCCTGCCACAAAGCGCCGCCCGGCTCGTCGACGACGCACCGCTCGGTCCCAGATGTCTCTCCGAAGAAAGCCTCCCTGTCGAGCTATGCGAAGGTCCCATACCAGATAGTCCCGGGAAATGTCTCCAAACACCAGAAAACCACAATGGGTCGCACATACTCGACAGGACAGAGCTCATCGAGAGATTAAAACGAGGCGAAAGCCCGTCATGGATCCCCAGCCGCCGTGTTCGTTACCTGTGCGGCGCTCGTATCAACGATGCATCAAAACTAACATGACCTGCAGCTCGAGACTCGAAATCATCATTCCACCTCTCCAGAATCTCAGACGTCACCGCAGTCTCCCAATCTGCTCCCCTCTCCTCAAATCACTCCAGACAAGGATCAATCCGCGTCACCGATACCCACTCGACTGCACGATGGCCTCAGCATCGAGCGCCCACGCTCTGCCCTGCACCGCGGCGACTTTACACATGATGACTCCTCCTCTTCCAGGCGGGACGAGCGCCGCCGAAACCCGGCCTCGAGACACCGCAAGGACAACCTCTCGGTGGACATGGCCTGGATGGCCACCTCGCCGCCCCGGCCGTCCCTGCCCTTTGACCGGCACAGTTCTATTGTCGAGCCCGGAACCAGCGTCAACTCGACGCTCTCGTCGTCAGTATCTTCCACCTTTGCGTATCAGCTGCCGACGAGCCCGCTCGCCCAGTCCGTCACCAACGAGGACCCCGATGGCTTCGCAACGACGCCTTTCCGCGAGAGCGGTCTCCTCAGCGACAAGATGCGCCTGTCCCACGGCAGCTACGACGAAACAACGTCACTCTTTTCGTCGCCTCTCAGATCCTTCCACGACCAAGGACGCACCCCGGTCCGCAGAGAAGCAACATTTCCCTACCAAGCGCACCAACCCCGACGATCATCCGGCTCTGGCATGAACTTTCTGCAGCCTGGGGCCTCACCACAGAGCTCTGCGGCCCGCGCTCGCCGCCCGTCTCTTGGAGCCGACTCATCTCCCTCGCTCCACGCCTCTATGGTGGGCTCCTACGAGGAGAGCATCCTGCAGGGCCGCATGTCCACAACGCCGTCCAAGCCGTTTGACTTCATGGCGCAGATTGGCGTCCTCGGCAGGGGCAAGTGCAAGTCGCGCCTGCTATGCCCGCCGCACGTCACCCTTTCCTTTCCCGCCGTCTTTTACAGCTACGACAGCACCAACGCCGCGCGGTCCCAGAGCAACGACGGGCCTAGTCCGTACGTCGGCCAGATTGACCTCGAAAACGGCCTGCCCGACCCCGACGCCGAGGCCCAGAAGCGTCGCCGCGGCGCCGCTGCCGCCGACATGGACGTGGACATGCTTCTAGACGGGCCACTACCCCCCGCCAGCGATACCCTCGGAGCCGCGCCGCTTAAGGCGCCACCCGGCGGCAGCTACCGCATTCCGGAAAAGGGCCAGATCCAAATTGTCGTCAAAAACCAGAACAAGACGGCCGTCAAGCTCTTTCTCGTCCCCTACGACCTCGCTGGTATGCCGCCCGGAACCAAGACGTTTATTCGGCAACGCAGTTACTCGCAAGGGCCCATCATCGACAACCTGCCGAATCTCGCGACATTTTCATTGCCAGCCGCCGCCGCCACCGCAGCTCTCGCACGTCCTACGCTCCGTTACCTCGTCCACTTGCACGTTTGTAGTCCGGGCAGGGGGCGCTTCTACCTGTACAAGAGCATCCGCATCGTCTTTGCCAACCGCGTCCCGGAGGGCAAGGAGAAACTGCGCATTGAGACGACGCTACCCGAGCCGCGCTTCACCCCGTATAAGCCCATCCGGCAGATGTACCACCACTCATCCGCCATCTCGTCGCCGTACGGCCGCTCCGGCGCCATTCTCGCCGCGGACAAGGCTCGTCGTCGACGCAGTCTCGGTGTCCCAACCACCACAAGCAGCGATGCGCACCGCTCGCCCTTTTCTGTCGCTACTCTCGGTACCCTGAATCCGCCTCAGCCGCAACAGCGACTCAGAACGCCGCCTGGCAGCAGCTTCCTCGGCGCCGGCGCCGGCGCCGGCAACACACATACCGTCGAGCCGGCCCCGTTCCGCTTCCCCGCGCGTCGGCTAAGCAGCGACGCGGGTGATGCCATTCCCGTAATCATCGATGACGTCGATGGGCCTCCGCGTTCGCCGAGCCGACCCTCGACACAGGACTCGGCTGCCGCCGCCTGGGGCTACGAGAAGCTCAGTAGAGGCGACGTCGGCTACGGCGGCGGCGTCTTTGCGGGGGACGCGGCGAGCAATAGTTCTACAGGCGGCAGTGGAGCTAGAGGTGCTGGAGGCCCGGCTGAGGGGTTACTGTCGCAGAGGTTGCGGTCACTGGACGTGGACCAGATGGACCATGGCCTGCCTCCGTGTTGAAGTCGGCAGACGTGGAAAGTTTTACTTTCCGAACGCCGTGTATATTCTGGAACATCAACAAACGCATATCAAACAAATATATCCCACTTACTTGGATATAACTATCATTTCGATTGGAACCGGGGGCTATGCATTCCTTCTTGTTTCTTCGTTTCTCCCAATCATCATTCATTCCTCGTTTCATCAAGTTGGATCTATTACGGCCGGTCCCTGGAGTTTTTTCTTCCTCTTCTTTTTTGTTCATCATATAGATACCACAAACAGATCGCTCATCGGCTCAGACTGAACCATTCCTACTACTATCTTTACCTGCTAGATATCCGTACAAAGACCAGCTTTTCATGGTAGCTGGCCCTACATCGTAATGAGTTTTACCGGAAAAAATAACATTGATAAAGTACAATACAGAATATTTGGCATGATATCTAGTTTCGGTGTTGCTAGAATACAGTGGCGACAATTAATATATACCCTCATACACTGAGTCGTTGCCAAATGCAGACTCATCTAAATATCTATAGATACAGCTCTATGCAAACTTCCATCCCACATGACACACCTAATAAGACAAAATAGAAGAAGATGAAGAAACGCCTGAAAATGTTTTTTTCCCAACAAGAGACAAGTACACAATCCTCTAAAACCTCCGCCTCGTTCCCCTCGGCGGTATATACACCCTACCCCATTTCTTCGCTCTTGCTCTCGCTCTACGCTCCTTGATCACCTTTAACTGCGCGCCCATTGTCAGACGCATCGTGAGCAGGTCCTGCAGGGGTACGGCGGCAAGCGCCTCCTTAATGATGGCCTTGTTCAGGCTCTTTGGCGGCTCTCCGGGCGTGCCGTCGGAACGCCCCCCGCGCGCACCCCATGTCGGCGGCAGGTCCGCCACGTCGGCGGTCTGGAACGCGTGGTGCAGCCGCGGGTACTGCGTCTCGATGCGTTGTAGCTTGGCGGTGACGCCGGTAGACCACGCGGCGAGCTTGCGCAAGCGGAGCCACTCGCGCTGCAAGCTCAGCACGGCGGGCTGCGTGGCAACAAGGACGCGGTTGTCTGTGAGCTCCCGGCGGGCGGCAAGCGGCAGCGGCTGCGGGTTCCAGCCGCGCCAACGGGGCATAAGCAGTTTCTCGCACCAGCCCATGGCCGGCTCCCACTGGCCGAGCTCCGCGAGACTGCAGATGAGCGTGTTCCACGTGGCGCTGGTAAATTGGAAACCCGCATCGAGGGCGGCCTGAGTGGCCGCCAGCAGGCGCTTGCCGTCGCCGGTGGCGTGATACACCTTGGCGACGTGGGCAAGAGGCCCGCTGAGGTGGTAGGCGTACGCGGGAAAGGTTTTCTGGGTGATGGGGTTCTCGGTGCGGCGACGAACGTCCTTGAGAAGTACGGCCCACAGCTCGAGAACGCGCTCGTGCCGGCCATCTTCCAAGTAGGCCCCCATGATGACACTGAGGACGTCGGAGGGCATATGCCGGCCTTGCTCGGAGACGGGACGGATCTTGGCGTAGAGCGTCACCAAGTCTTCTGCGAGAGCGATCTCGCGTTTGTCAATAAGAAGCTTGAGCGCGTCGCCGATGTCGCGGAGCTCTCTGTTCAGCTCCGTGACGTCACGCATGGCGGCCGTGTATGGGCCATCTTTTCGTTGTCCCGGCGGTGCATCGATGTTGTCGGCGAGTTTCTGCATGTATTGAACGAGCTCCTTGGCGAGTCGTGTTGTTCGCTCGGCAGTAGGGGCGCGGACGAAGCCAGATTCGAAGCAGGCTAAATGCGTCGCAAAGTTGGGCTGAATACCAGCGCGATCCATCTCCGTTGCGAGAATATCGACACGAGGCGCCTGCTTGGTGTCAATGGCACTGTTCATGACGATGGCAAAATGGTCGGCCGTGACTGGTAGCAAGTTGTCTGCCACAGCGCTACATAAGAGCCAGTGCGCCGCGGCTGTCTGCTTGGCGCGCGCCTGAGCGCCCAGAATTGCTCGACAGGTATCATGATCCCAGGCTAGATTATGGTTCTGCATAACTGGCAGCAGCTGGAAACACTTTTCCACTTTGCCAGCGGTCGCATAGGCCTGTATCAGACTGTTCCAAATTTTCGTGCTTGTAATGCCAAGGCGTGTCATTGCTTCACAGATCTTCTCTGCCTCTTCCATAAGACCATTGACCAAGTACGCCGCCACTAGCGACATTGCCATACTCTCCGAAGGCCAAATCTGGGCAGCTTGAGCCTGATTGAACACTGCCAGTGTATAATCCACGTCTCCATTTGCAGAGTGCAGCTCCATCATGTGCTCAAATGTTTGGGCATTTGGAACACTACGCTCGACGATTGTTTTGTAGTACGCCTTGGCCTCTTTGTAGTTACCTGCTTTAACATGGCATTTAAGCATGAGATTGTCAATCCTGTCGTCGATCTGGATTCCAGACTTCACCATGGCAGAGATTTCGTTTTCGGCACCATCAACATCACCTGATTGAGCGAATGCGTCCACCAGGGCAAGGTGGTAGTTGGCTTTCCTTGCGCTATCAGGAAAAGCCGCCATATAACGCTGGCCTAGATCTCGGACTGCAGCAACATCACCCGAGTCGGCGTAGACTTTCAAAAAGTTTTCATAAGCCCACTTGTCCATACCGCCGTCCGATTTCACCCAGTCTTCGAACAACTGCGCCAGTCCAGCGCGGTTGGTGGCATAAAAAACTCGAAACATGCCTCTCAGGAGCTCAGGTGTGAATCGCGCATCAGCTCGCTGCCGATATTCGCCATATGTTGGGCCAAGCTGTCTCATTGTAGATTTGGGGTACTGAACATGCTTGATAGATTGCAGGACCGACTCAATGTATAATTGGTAGTAAGCAGTATTGTCGTACCTAGAGACAATGTCCATGGCTCTGCTTGGTTTGCAGGGCTGGGCCAGTACGGAGCGGATCATCAAGTGCCGCAACTGATCGAGAACTTGTCGTGAAAATAACTTCTTGTTTTCCATTCGAATTTGAGCCAGGCCGGTGTGCTCGATATGCTTTTCGAATGCCGCAAAGAGCGTGTCCAAGTTTGGCACGAAGCGAAGGTGATCAAAAGGCACATTCTTGTCAGCATGTTGCTTCATGAAGTTTGAGTAGTCGAACCAGACTCGGAACAGCTCTTGCCACTGGCTGGCGGCACAGGCGCGGGCCACAATGTACTGCATGCCACCAACGTGGTCAAATTGAAGGCCTTCTTTGAACTTGTTGAGAGCAGCCTGAAATTTGCCACACACAGCGAGCGATCGAATCGCAGCAGAAAGCAGCGCGTCCGTCCATTCTTCCGGGGGCAGTCCCTGAAACAGGGCAGCGGCCCTAGCACATGCGACATATTCGTCCGTTGCGGCGAGTGCCATGATTAACCCAGGACGCTGTGCTTCTTGAGCTTTTAGAGAAGCATGTTGATAGCGCATCCAAGAAACGTCGAGGTCTGACTTGTCGAGAGAACCCTCTGCCAGTGGTTTTGCCTTTGCGGTCTTTACCGCCTTGGCTGTCGTTGGTGATGAAGAGGGTTTCTTGGAAGCAGCTCTGGATTTTATCGCTTTCGATTTCGCTGCCTTGGACGATTGCTGTGCAGGTGCATCGGCAGGTGTCCGCGCGACACTTTCGAATCGAGTAGCGGACAGTAGAGCAGGCTGCTGAATCGAGGCCAGGTGCTGCACCGAGTACTGCCTCCGCCGCAATGGGCGCAGTCGATTCTCCTTGGCCCTTGGAGCCAGTACGCGATGTAGATAGGACTGTGTCTCGTTCGGGTATAGAAAGTCGAGGAGAAACGAGGTGGCGACGAGTTTGGGCTCGAGCAGTTCCGAGGCCGTGGGCTTGGCCGGCCTGTCGTCGTGGGCAGATTCGCCAGCAGTCAAAGGCCGAAAGCCGGACAGCTCAAGGGCTGACGCGCCGTGCTGCCAGAAGCCCGTTTGGAGATGACGGGGCGGTCGTGCGGCGTGTCGCGCCTTGGGGATGGCGCGCTGGAGCTGGCCAGACTCCAGGCTCGCCACCGCCCGCTCAAGCATTGGGTATAAACAGCGAATCTCACAGCCAAGCAGCCTCTATGATATGTAAAAGATTGCGGACGGCGGATATTTCAACATGTCAGGATGAGAAATGTGCGGCGCAAGGGGGGTCGCTGGGCCTAGCGTGATGTCGAATTGTTCGCCACAGTTGGCGAGAGGTCTGAGACGGCGAGGTCTCCTCGTACGTTGGTCTCGACTGTCTTATGGTCAATTGTACCGTGCATATGATTCAAACATTGTCCGTTGCGGATCTGTAGGGAAGACAGATGTCGGCCGGGAGGGGTGACGACGGGGATACCGACAACTTTCTTCATGATGGAAAAAGTTGGCGTCGGAGCTCTAGCTTCGGCAATACTGGGCCAACGTACAATTGGTCAGGGGCCGGCCCACTCGCTGTACATTGCGGATACTGGGGGAACCTCAGGCCATTGATGACAAGGGGACGATTGCACCAAAAAGGAAAAATCAAACAAGTAGCGAGCAGAAGAAAATGCTTTTGAAGGTTCCAATTTGTTTGTTTTCAATCCTGCTAAGCTATAGGAATACTGCAAAAACTTTGCGCACTAAGTGCACTATTGAGTGGTCGCCTGACCAGTGACTAAAAATACATGGAAGCAAAATATTTGTGACAAACTGCCACCATAGCCTCGATGCAGTTTGATGATTCTAAAACTGGATCAATTATGTATCGCCTTTTGCATTCCGTGCCAATTCCATGACATTTTAAAGCAATTTCCACGCTGCTTTTTGTGCGTAGACTGCGATTGCAGTTCACAGAGGCATCTGGACTGAGATGTGTGGGCAGGCAGCAAGGGGTATGTCTTGTGCCGCGATTTGGGGTGTATTGGCGGGATAGTATGGTTGCGTCTTCGTTCTTTTGCTCGTCACTTGGACCTTGGATCTGTCCTTTTGTTGGATGATGGATGGTGAGGCTTTGACAAAGCCGGGTCTGTGGTAATACATGTCGAGTAGACTGCTCCGCTCGCCGTTCGCCGCTGTGGACAAATGCAGAGCAGGATTCATCCAGATTCGCTGGCCTTGGTCATTTGGCGGAGCTCGACGAGAGCCGGTCGGTTGCGACTCTTGGTTCTCTGCTGTCGGCGGTAAGGCGGCTCCGTCGGGTGAGGCGAGGCAGCACGCGAGGGGCAGTGGTCACGGCGAGCCTCACGCTGGCGAGCGTGGTAGGCGAGACGAAGTGCGTTGGAGGTGCGTGGCGCCGGAGAGCGAGCGCGAGAACGGGCACTCGAACGAGTCTGGGAGCGATGCGGAGAGATGGACCTGTGACGGGAGCGGCCACGGAGAGTGCTGGATTCCTCAGTCCGCAGGGCTCGAATCTCAGGACGGGTAGGACTGCGGTGTCTCTTGCGACCACGCATATCAAGATCGGTGGTGTTGGGAAGAGCCATCTCAAGATAGTTGACGTCGCTGGTGATGTTGGCGGTCATGATGTTGTTTCTTGTCGTCAATGCAGAGAGCGACGAGGGACGCAAACGGGTGACGACGGCAGGTGTGTAAGTGGCGTAGATTAGGCGGATGATGCAAGCCAGCAGGCAGCAGAGTATAACTCTGAAAAAGTGAGAGCGAGGTGACGAGGGAAAATCGAGTGAAATAAGAACAGTGGTAGAAGAAGAGTGATTTACAGGAGAGTCGAGGACAGCGGAGATGAGAAGGAGGGAGTGAGAAAAAGTGTGTAAAGACTGAACAGGTAGTTATACAAGGAGCCAAGGCCCCTTCCTCCCTGCTTGCCTGCGACCCGAGGAGTTGGGCTGCTGGAATTTGGAGGAATTTGGAGGTGCAGGCCATTTTGGGCCATCTGGGGCGACTTTTAGCGCCAACATTTAGCGGCAGTTCGAGCCACTCATCCACTATAAAGGCTAGAGTTGCAGGGCGCTAGTGGCAGCGCTCGCTATTGGCAGCGCTCGCTATTTAGGTACTTAGGTACCTAGAAACATTTTAGCGTGCTTTTTTTAGCCAAGGATGAATGAGGTAGTGCTGATAATGATGATGCGAACTCGTCATGTAAAGTCTAACGAGTCTACTAGCGCAGACCCAGGTAGCCAAACAGGCCGTAAAAGGGTCACATGAAACCTCTCTTGCCCTTCTCCTCGACTCAATCGTACAATGTACGAATAAATGCACCCTGGCCAACCTCATTTACCTGCGTCAACCCATCGCCGCAAGGACCACCCCATCCCCCGGCATCTCGGCTTCCAGAATGTTGCAGGTTACGACCATCAGACCACGATGTACTTGCACGGTGGTGTCGAACGCCATGGTCTCGCAGCCGCTGCCCAAAATCCTGATGGATGCGCAAATCACCACTCTTAGCATTACCACAAACATGCGGCATTTGGTAGTTGCAAGATCAGACACGCACACTTGCATATTTCAAAGTTACAATAATACACATGGGCCATGACCGATGCCGCACACCTCCTTTGCCAGATGCAGCCGATGCCTTTTCTCCTCCCATTCCCCACTGCACCATCCTGCAGACTGCTCAGCCACCAAGCTCTGGACTGTGACTCTTTTCCCGTCCAACCGTCCAGCAAACTTGCTCGTACAGTTGACAAACGCGGCAAATTTTCAGTTCATGCTGGCAACTGGTAACTCTTGCTTGCATATATTCGCTCTTGTCTCACGCAAGACCAACATTTTCAAGCTGACAGCCCTCTCAGGTCTCCAACGGTCCTTGCTTTTGGGCAGCCAAGACTGAAAAACTGTAAACATAGCCAGCGCAAGAAGAAGCCAATTCCCCTTGTCCTTGCTAGTTCACTACGACCCTGGCGCGGGGAACTTGAACCGTAGCGCCAGAAATGGCCTCCAAGCCAAAACATGAAACTCCATTGTAAATAGCTAACTAACAGGGGAAATAACCACACCAGGCTCTAATAAGCAGTACGATTACTAACTAAATTTAACCCGACAAATATTTGTGGTTTGAGAGCGAGGAGCAAACTGGTCGCCGTCTCTGCCGTCATGTTCGTGTTCGGCCACTCTGGTCATCGCGCGCTTGGTCTTGTCTTATTACGACACCATCAGTTGACGCATTCCATGAGACGGATGCAGGTTCTGCTTTTTTTCTCATCACATTCATGTATAATTGTCCTGCCTGTCCGACAGGTTGACAGCACATAACTCCTAATCTGTACTCACTAGGTAGAGTCACTTGACTTGATGGGCTTCCTCCCACGCTAGACACACTGGCAGCCGATCCTTTGGCGCCGGATACGGTATGCATACGTCCATCCATCCTTCCACACATCCAATGAACTTGCGGGCACGGCATGCTCCGGCTGGCGACCGGCCATAAATGTTTGCCGAACTCTTTCGATAGAGCCGTTTGTGCCTTTTGCCCCTCAACCCTCGCCCCCTCTCCTGTTTACCCCATCTTTCTCTACGTCAGCCTTGACGTCGATGCGGCCACCCGCTAAGCATGTCGATTACTGCAATGTCCAAGTTGCCAAGTAACTATCCAGGGAGTTTGGTGGCGCGCCCAAAGTTTAACAGAGATAACTAGCCTGGTATGGCAGAGCAGCTGACTCCGCCTTCTTGACTACTCAGTAATACTAATACTAACTGCTGCCAGACTGCCTTCTTTCCGGGAGGCTTGGTCCGCAGACTGATGCCCCCAATCGGCGCTCTTGGCACTTGGCCAACTTTTGGCCACCAGTAATATGGCCGGCCGTCCGTTGCCACGCATCGATTGACGGTAGAATTTGAAACGCAGAATTGCATGATCCCCGGCCGCTCCGGGGGGGGGGGGCGCGAGGTGTTTTGCTGGTTGTCGAAAACATTGATCGCGTGTCTCAAGTCATATCGATGGCGTGACTTGAGAACGAGGCGCATAGTACACACCATTTGGTGACACTGATATCTATAACATCGCCCTATATCATGTTCTGATCAAGATATAGAAACGGGTCGTAAACGTCGTTGTCACGCAGGGCTCGCCACTATCTGGTGGTAGCATGACAGAGAAAGAGTCAACAAAAGTATGTCTGAATCAGTGCGGTCATCCTTTGAGGAAAGCGATCTTGCACCTCTTTGCCCGTCCACAGATGCGCATGGGACATGAGAGCAGTCACGATGGAGAGATCGTATACCCCGCGACATCTTCTACGCTACGCGAATTGAAGAATCAAGCCCCATGTACCAGCAAATGAGCTCATGTAATCCCTTCTGGGACTGTATTGAATCACGCGAATAGCTTTTGACGTCCTGCTTAGATTCGCTCCAAGCTCAAAGTGGTAGTATTGACAATTCACCCAAATAACCGCTTATATGGTAGGCGCAAGCCACGATGCGATTGGCGTTGATAGGACTGCACAAGTCTGCGGCCAGATGCGAAGTTTGGTCAACAGCTTACAAACGAAGGCTCATTGGGTCTTTCTTTCCACTTTTGTGCGTTTTTGGGTGCTGTTCATGTTGATGTCAGAGCTGCGCATGCCGAGATTATTACTATTGTGGCCTGATTCTACAACAAATCGGGTTGTTCATGAGGGTCATGTCCCAATCGCAAGTGGCAATAAATCCAATTTTGTATGTGTCATGTAATATTAGTTCTGGCATAACATCATGCTACATTCATTCTCATTGAGAGTGAAACTCGCTCGGTATCTGCATAGGCTGCTGACCTTGTAACCTAGTTCAAAATCGGGAGTAAGGAAGCCTAGAGCACAGAATTAGCACACTCGAAAAATAGTAGCAGGTGTAAACTTCGAGGTCCAATCCAGTCAAGAAAGAAAGAAGAAGGCAAAAACAAAAAAAAACGCACCATTTTCCTCGCAGCGTAATGACGGCGTACTCGTCCCCATTCTCGGCCACCTCCTTGTCCACCTTTGCGCTAAAGTTGATGGCGCTCATGATGCCATCGCCAAACTTTTCATTCAGCACCGCCTTGAAGGCGTAGCCGTAATTCTGCACAATCTCGTACAGTCGGTAGATGAGCGGCTCCACGGGCGGCATCGGCCCCGCGCGCCCGCGGTCCGGAAACGCCCCCGCGACCAGGCCGCTCGCCGCGAGCGTCTCGCGCGGCACGCCCAGCACCTCGGACAGCCCAGCCACGTCCGCGGCGGTCGCCTGGGCCTGCCCGTAAAAGAGCGCCGCGCAGGCCACCTCGTCGCGGCCAATGTGCGCGGCCACGTCGGCAAAGGTGAGGCCCTTGGCCGTCTTGGCCGCGAAGAGGGTCTGGCTGTGAGGCGGTAGGCGATTCACCATGGACAGCTAAAAACCCGCGCGCGTTGACAAGTGTCAGCGAGAATTGAGTCGGGATTGCTTTTTTGGGGGGTGTATTTAGGTGGTACTTGCGTCAAGGCTGGCGAGTCTGGTTGTGTCGGACATGTTTGATGGTTTGGGTGTAGGACTCTATGGTTTTGGTGGTGGGATCGTGGCGAGTGGCGGAAATGTGTTTCGAGACGTTGCTCTCTGAATAAAGAAGTTTGCTGGTGGTATATATGCAGGATCACGTTTGAAATCAAGCGTCATCGGCCTAGAGGTTGCTTCTTGCTTCCCTCACCTGTCTCGGGTGCGGGGACGCTCACTCCGCGAAGCCCGAGACCCCGCGCCGCGTTCCACACACATCTCAATATAAAGATGCCAAGATAAGGCCGGTGCTGCAGCGTTACAGCGTGATTACTAGCACCGCTCGGCCAATATTGGGCGCGTCATCAATCCAGACCCGAAATGAGACCGGAATTTCATCGGACGTACGTTAATTTCTTTACTTTGCTCTTCTCTCGATTCTCAAGCGGTGTCACTGTCTATGCTGAAGAGCTACCGCAACGCACGCTGCGGCCGCGCCGGGATGCCGGCATATCTCATCCAGTATTGTGCTGCCGGTCATCGGGCCCCATTTTCAGAAAGTCGAGTACTGGTGCGAATACACGTCCCAAAGCACAAAAATCATGCCAGAAATTACCACTGATACAAGATCAATTTTACTCTCCGTATCGATGGAATCCCCACACCACCGAGTCTCCTCCGGCGCGGCCCACTTGCCGCGCATCGCCGGCATTCGCAGCAAAAAAAAGGCTGAACGGAGCCTCTCCAGAAACCAAGTCGTGACGTAGCCAATGATTGTGGGATACCTGAACCCATGGAGTCGAGGTAGCCGCAAGAGATTCGCCGTGAATTCCGTCGTGCGTGGCGGGCACGCTGCCCGTCATCCGATGCCGCCCGGGCACATCGTGGACGGACACGTCCTTACGGGTCTAGTTAGGATGGAGTGCAAGTACTTGTATCAAGGAGAATAAAACGAGCAACATTGTGGAGGTATCTTTACATGGAAACTTTCTTCGCAAAATGAAGCGCTACAGCCAAGACCAATACGAGCCAATAAGTTGGGATAATTCAGAAGACGCTTTATGATATCTTCAAAGAGTGAAGTGACATCAAGCAACTTCTGTAACACGCTGACAAGGCAAAAGTTGGTGTGAGTTGATCTGAACGTTTTTTCTACTTCTATTCTTGGATCCTTCACCACGGAGTAGATCTAGACTTGATCGCGGAGAGATCTTATGAGTAGTGATGCACTCTCTTATCGTGTCACATGTTGAACAAAACACTACGTTTCCGCCGCCACGACATCATCAAAAGCAGCAATAACGCCGTCGTAGAGCGCCTCAACCGCTTCGGGCGTGTGGTCAGTGCCCGCCCAGATCTTGCCGTCCCGCGACGGGAACAGCAGCGCGCGCAGCCTCTCAGCCAAGGCCTTGATCGACGCAAACTTGGGTGGAATCTCGTTGACAATGTGCCGAAAGCTGTGATGCTCCATGTCGCGCAGTTTGCGATCGGCCAGCGCGCGCCAGGCGTCGTTGCCGGCGGCGCCGCCGCCGCCCTGGGCCCATGCCTGCATCCGGCTCTCCGCCGGCAGTTGCATGTCCCGGTCGCCCACAATCATGTGCAGGAGCACGTAGAAGAATGCCTCGAGGTCCTGCCGGTATGTTTTGGCCTCACCGTTCATGTAGCCAATGGCCATGAACGGCAGCGTGCCAATCGTCACGTTTGGGTCCCGCTTCGGCGCCGGGTCGCGCGGCATGGCGAACTCAAGGTCGATTAGGATGCCCCGAGGATGCCCCGCGCCTGTGATGTCCGCGATGATCATGTTACCGGGCGAGATGTCGCCGTGAAGGAGACTGGCGTCTAAATACAGCGATCTGTGGCACTTGATGGCGTCGCGGAGCGCTTCGAGCAGCTCCCGCCGTGTCTGGAATGTGTGGAGGGGCCGGCCCAGAGGAGACGTGACGACGCAGACAAGGGTGCGGCTGTCAAAGGAGCGCCTCGTCTTTTCTGTAAACTGCAGTATGCCGGGAATATCGCCGTTGTCTGTCTTTGTCTCCTTGTTTTGTTCGTCGGCGGCGGTGACTTCTGTGGGAAGCCTTCTTTGCTCGCCGCACCCCATCCCGCGACGGAGGTTGGCCGTAGTCTCGTACTCACGATAGAGAACAAGCTTGCCAGCGCCCCAAGCTTTTCTCTCCATGGCGATTTCCAGAAGCTCATTCTCTGGCCGGGCGTTTGCGGATGACCACTTGATCTTGACAGCGTGGCTCCATCCGTCTGAGCCAGACAGCTTCGCTCGATAAACAACCGTGGCCGCCCCAATCAGTGTTTGTCGTGTCACAATTGGGGTGGTATCGACGTATAGCCTGTCGGTCATGCCATTGTACTCATTCAGCAGAATGTACTGGCCTTGATCATCGGTGCTGAAAATGCTGCTCATGCCCAGTTCTTGGTCCGTCATCATCTCGTAATACTGGAACAAGGACAGAAACTGTTCTGCGTCTTGACGGACATCCATAGCCTTGCTGCAATACACCCCCGACCTATCAAGGACCCAAAATTCGACCAACGAGCCGCGAATGTAGATCGCGTGCAGAAACAGACGTGTGGGTTGCTGATAAAAGACGGCCTGCGCAGACGCGCACAAGGCGACAAGGCCGTCGCGATAACTAGCATCCGTGGGACACACAAGCCCAACAGCTTGGACTGCAGCATCATCTTTGACGGTTCCGGAGTCGGTGTTGAGCAGTCTGAAAGCAAGTCGGGTACAATCGCCCAGGAGCCCTCTTTCATGGTGCGTATTGTCCTTTGCGGTGACACTCCATGATCCCCGGGCGCCGCTCCTGTTGGTCTGAGCAAAATCGACAAACCATTGAGGAAAGTTGTCCGGGTTGACCGACGCGGGCTGGATGGACGAAATCTTGCTTGACGGCAGACTCTCTGGGGTAGTGGCTTTGGAAGTTACTCGGGCATTGCCAAAGTACTTGTCCATGAACTCGGGTACGGGCGCACTGATGCAGCCATTGAGCTCGTACAGGAAATCTTGAAAGTCCATGGCGGAGTTGAGAAAGATGACTTGCAAAGAGAAAAAATTGTGTCTAGAAAATAAGCAATGTTTACGATTGGAACAACTCAGATGTTAGCTTCTGCAAAGACGTTGGGTTGAATTTTCTTCTTCTTCTTTGTGAAACAATCCGTCATCATACGCCACATTAGGGCATGATATGAAAGAAACTGGAAAAAATTTAGTAACTAGCACCCTTGATCCGAGTCGTCATTAAGAGGGATGACCCCGCAGTGAGTCTTTGTGTAACGCAGTAATCAATCTGTTCACCGTTTATTCTTGCAACCGCACTTTGCCCATCACGAGGCTCTGTGTGCGACGTGTGGCACAAAGGACTGTCATGTCTACTACAATGATGAATGAATATACCGTAAGTGGTAGCACCGAGGCTTGTATAGACTTGCAATCACAATCCAACATGAATCAGTGTTCGGGACCCGTGAGTGTTGTGATGGCAGCTGACGATACTATATGGTCAAGGTAGCACGAAAACCCGATGAACAGGACAACAACACATCACTGAACTATAGTGAGGCTGAGAATGATGCTATTTTGATATGATTCAGGAGCTCGAGAGGGTTTACCAATATGTGACGATCCAATTTCCATCTATATAAATCTAGGGCTGCCGCCCCCGACTATTTCGATGATCCAAGTACCAATTCACACTCATCTTACGCTCCCGAAACCATACTTGCTACTCCTGTACTCGGACACTTGCTCACCCTCCTTTACAATGACCATTCTTCTTGACACTCTTGTCTCACCTGAGGCATACAATGCACTGCCTCTTGTCAGCGAGGTAGCTGCAGCACCAGACGCCCAGTCTCAGCATCTCGAGCATCTCCGAGAGCTGCTCCACAAACACAAGGTGCCCAAGGGCGTGAGCGTTAGGTTGCTTCATAAGCATTTCAACACCAACGACGGAGAAGTCATGATGTTTCAAAACGTGCCCGTCTCCAATCATGGCCACATAAAGATTATGAAGCCCGTGGTGCCCGAGAGGAGCAGCCCAGCCTAGGGGCATACACTTTTTCGTCGCCGATGACGCAACGCTCCAAGCTTGTGAGTATGCAATGACCAATGTGCCTGATATGGGAGATTTTTCAAGATTTTTTATCCGAATTTTGCCGTGTTGTGATCGAGAGAGGCTTGCAGCGGACCTTTGGCCTGAAGCTCCTGTGCGAAGAGGAAGAGGAGCACACTGGATGGACAGAGTTCGAGCTCAATTCTGAGAGGGGCACAGTCATGTTTCCCAGAGGAATGCCCATGCCGACTGGCGAGAGTGATTTCACTGTCACAACGGAATGGGAGGGGACTGCCAAAGACGCCGCAACCCCATCCAAGCATTCCTCTGCGTGCAGCCACACCAGGGTCTGTACGCACTGCAACGGCCACCAAAGCAAAGTTGTGCACGAGTTTGGAGAGGAATACTGCCTAGGTGGGCAGTCTATCCAGCCTGGAACTGCCCTTCACGCCATCGTTGATCAAATCGTCGCGGCGTTCTAGTTTCGGGGGATTTTTGTATCATCTGTGCAAGCGCCGGTTATTCCTGGTTCACCATAGCTCTAGGTAGTTGAGTCTATCAATATCAGAATGATGACATTTGTATTACAACTATTCCCGCTGCCATCTTTTGCATGACGCCAGTCAATCCGGCTCATACGTGTGTAGCAGTTTGTTTCAATGAGGTATGCTCAGTTCGGTACGTGTTTTTTGCCTTATCCAAACTCAACTCTCCTCCTTGCGCAATCCCCTAAGCGCCTCCCACTCCGTCTCCGTCATCGAGTAAATCAGCTCGTCGTACCACGCGCGATTCACCCACGCCACCTCCCTCCTCCTCCCCACGTACGCAAACCCCGCCGACGCGTACAGCCGCTGCCCGACCTCGTTGCACGACACCGTCGTCAGCGACAGCGAGTGCAGGCCGCCGTGGCAAAACGCCCAGTCGACGCCCCAGTCGAGCGCCTCGCGGCCGTAGCCCCGCCCGCGAAACGGCCGCGCCAAGGTGATGCCGAGGTATGCGTTGCGGTTGTGCCGCAGCGAGTCGGGAATGCCGCCCCAGCCGATGCAGAGCGTGCCGATGATGGTGGGCTTCTTGTCATGCCGGCCCTTGCTCTCCGACGTCGACTCGTCGCCCGCCGATTCCTCGGACGGGCCGAGACAAATGGCGACGCCGAGCAGCGCTTTGCGATACATGGTGGCTAGGAACTGAACGTCGGTGCTGCCCTGTGGTCGGAGAATCATCTCAGAGGACAAAGCCTGCAGAGGTGCTTCATTCATCATGTCCTTGAGGACCGACTTGTAATCATCGCATTCGTCCTCGACCGCAATGTACCGGAGTCGCTTGGACTCGAAAGCATGGTCAAGAGCAGTTGAAATGGCAGACATGGCTGAAGATGTATGATGTAAAGTTGAAATTAAAATGAATTACTGTCATGAAAGCGCGGCAAGATGGAGGCATCTCGAGTTTATTATCTTTACCTACCCGTGAGGTTGCACCATGTCAACGAATGCATCTCGCCGAGCTTTCCTAGCCCGAGTCTTTCAGCTTTAGACTGAACCAATCGGTCAACGCTTACTGGCGCTGTAAATGTGAGTCAGTCCGGCACAATTTTTGTCAGCTCCACGATAACCTGTCACTAATAAATCCTACTGAGTCACTCCAGCTGCAGCTCGGTGTTCGGCGCTCGGGGTGGAGTCATCGTTGACTGCTTGCCTAATTAGGCAGTCTTCCGATCGATTGGCTGTCGAGGAGTACTGGCAACAATCGCATAGTACGGGCAGTAGCTGATGAGATATGAGAAGATGAGTTACATTGAACAGATTGGACGAGCTCCAGAGATGGCGTGGCATGGGTAAAGGTGCATGCTGTGAGTGTCATCTAGCAAATTTGGTACAACAGGTGAAGAAGCAAGCAGGCGAGGAAGAAGGAAAAACCAAATTTCCTAGAGATTTTACAGTTGCAGCCGCGAATCGTCACCAAGGGATGGCTTGCGCACGCGGCAGAGTCCCTCAGCGTCCCAGTCTTCACTACCAACACCACGTCGCACGATGAAGAGGCCCCGAGGATCAGTATGCTGCTTGATCCGGTACAGCCTCTTGTAGTTGTCACCCCAGAACGACTCCTGAAAATCAGCCTCAAAGGCATCGGCCTCATTCAGGTAGGCTCCCATATCCTTCTCGAGGGCCTTGAGAATGGGAACCTCGACATTGGTAAGCTTGTTCTGCACAGCTTTCTGCTCTGCAAGAGTGGCATCAGGTGCCCAGTCTCGGCCAAATGCAATATGTGTGATGGTCTTGCGCCAGGCAGGATTGAGCGCCGAGTCGACCTTGCCTGCATTCTTTGCAACTGCTCCGTCTGCGATGAAGTGGCCGGTGTAGCCAGTGTTGCCGCTGCCCTCGTAAATACCACGAAGCGCTTTGCCCAGGCGCTGAGCGCCATCCTTTTGGCTGAGTAATTTTCGCGATATGAGGCGAGAGCCAATAATGACAGTTCCACCCGTAGCGTCGTAGGGTGTCTTGGCCAGTTCATAGGCTATGGAACCACCAAGGCTAGGTGCCAGCTGAAGGGTATAGTTGGCGTCGGGGGCAGACTTTCGGGCAGCCTGAATGAACCCATCGGCAATCTTGGCAATGGGTGCTTTCTCGGTCTTGTTAGGGAAGAACATGACAATGTTGATGGAGGCAGTGGAAGTGCTGTTCTGAACAGAGTTGGGGAGGAAGACGTAGTATCCGCTGCCCCCAACATCCGCAAGAGCCGGGAGACGTTGGTGGAGGGCGGCCAAAACATCCCAGAACCTGTCATCAGCTGGTCCAGGAAAAGTGATACCAGATATGAGGGCAAGGGCGGGAACATCAGGGAACGTGCGGATAGTCACAGAGACGACAACACCAAAGGTGCCACCTCCGCCGCCTCGAAGAGCCCAAAAGAGGTCTCGATTTTGGTATTGATTTGTGACGATCAATTTGCCCTTCTCAACTGTTAGTAAGTTTTCATACTACTTATATATGCAGACTTACACCGGCAGTGACAACTTCAAACTGAAGCGCATTGTCTGAAGCCATGCCCTTCCATGGCCCCAGAGGCGAGTGGCCACCACCCTGAATGTAGCCGCCAGCAGCGCCAACAGTGTGGGAAAGACCAACAACCGCAGTCAGATTACGCTTACTTGTCTCAGAGTATATGTCCATGAGGACGACACCGGCACCGAGGGTGAGGGCCGACCCCATGGACTTGTTGCCAGAGCCTTCGGGGACAAAGTCGTCGACAAATTCCATCTTCTTCATCTTATACGTGGCAATTTGGAGTGACTCTGGCGCGGATGATCGTCCGAGAAAACAGTGGCCGGTATTTTTGATGGCCAGCCTAATGTTGTGAGAAGCAGCAAAGCGCACTGCTTCCTGAATGTGCTGAGCCGTCTCGGCAACGACAGAGAAGAGAGGGACACGACCCTGACGACAGGCAACATCTCTGGGAAGACTAAAGGAGCAAGTCTCGTTGCGCTCCGGCCAGGCCTCCCAGTTTGTCCATTGGACGGCACCGGGGTTCTGATCACGCCAAACGGAAGCTTCTGAGAGGGCCTTGGACGCATTGCATGCGGCAGCGTCATAGCCAGGATCGTGACAGACGTGGGCAACAGGTCGAAGTGCGACAAGATTGCCGCTCACAGAGGCATTGAGAGATGCCCATTGGCTTTGCGAGGGCCAGCAAGGGTCGTTAGGCCTGCATCGACATTGGGCGTTTGATGTTTGCAGGGCAGCTCCGTGAACTGAGCCCAGCATCAATACGAGAGAGGTGGCGGCTGTGATCAATCTCATGATGATGGTTCCAATGATGAGGTCTTTGCCTGCGATCCTGGTGATACGGAGAGAAATGGCCGCGTCTATTTGTACCCGTCACGCCTGGTAGCAGGTCTCAAGCCCGGAGCAGAGATTACGTGGATGACACTGAGCACAGCCATGGTTTGTTTTCCTCTTCTGGAGTTATGGGCCGAGTCGGCCGATCGCGTTCGGCAGTGCATGGCAATGCGAAGAATACGGAGGGTAAGATGGATGGAGATTGGCAGAGGCTGACAAGCTTGGGGCTTAGGCTGAAGGAGAAAGGTTGGTCAAGTTGTCAGGGTGGTCAAGTTGCCCGGAAATACTGGGTCGCGGGGCAAGTGGATGACAAGAGACGCCACTTGATTTACTGAATGATTTCTTCCCTCGGTTACCGTCCTTTTCTTTTCTCATTAAATTTATTTACTCATTTTCCATGTTTCATATGCTCACAGCCGCCGTCTTTTCTTCCGAACTCCTTGATACGGGGAATGCGGGTTCGGCTTGAGAGCGCAATGTCCCGCTAAACTGTGGATCAACCACTGCAAGTCCAAGAGCTTCCAAGAGGGATGAATTGCCGGATTACCGGTAGCTAGCTTGGCACATTAAATAGATTTTGTAGCAATAATTTTGTATTTTCCGTCTCGTAGCTAGACAGAAATTCGAACTACACTCTTACCTACATGAACCCCGAGAGCAGCCGGCGAAAGTCAAAGCCCGCGAATTGGCTGTGGGCACCCAACCGCAAAGGTGGATCCGCTATCATGCATCTCGCGATATCTGGCCTAAAAGGGTCAAAAATCGTAGCTCCATCAACGTCATAGTCACCGTCTCTTTTCATCCTCATCCCGTCAACCTGTCTTGTCCGAATCGTATCACCAATGTACTAATCGAGTCTAAGTTTCAGCGCGAACACGATCCCTTATCGAGCTATAGTCGCAAAACACTCGATTGCCCTTCCTGCACCTCGTCCGACCCGGCCTCTCCGCAGATTGTGTTAGGTACGACAGCCGCGCGTTTGTGTCCCCCGTCAGGGTAGTGTGTTTCACGGCCATCAGCCCAACAGTCGCTCGATACTTGCCTCCAGTGCCCGACCTTGTTTTTGGCAAATGGCATCGCGATAAGCCGTGACCACAACTGTCCGTCCACCTACGGTACCCCGGCTCCAACGCCGTCCCATTGCAGCCCACGATGCCCAAGATACGCCAACCCACGACAGGCTACGAGCGCCTTGCCCAGGCCGACCGCTTCAGCGACGACTCCGACGATGAATTCAACAATGCCGGTCTATCCGCCTCCCTCAACCCTTCAGCTGCCGTAGGCCCCAAATACCCCCCGAATGGCAGTGGCCCGTCCGGCACCCGCCCCAAGTTCAGACGTCGCGTCGGTAGCACCGGCGGTGTCGACATCAAAGCCATCAATGCCCGCTTCGAGCGCTGGGCCGACGAGATTGCCTCCAAGTTCAAGCGTGGCCGCGGAAGGAGCTTCGCCGGCGAGGAGGAGCGCCTCGAGATCCAGCACTCCGTCTTCCGCGCCCCTGAAGGCGTGCGTCCCATCACAGCTGAAGAACTCGCCGACACCCCCGAGGGTGCCATTACCAAGGCCGAATTTGAGGCTACCGTCGACAGTGTTAGGCGTGCTATTCGACAGGAAATTCACCCCAGCATGATCTCTCAAGGGAGCTCTGGTAGCTACTTTGCGCGCGATCCGGATGGCAAGATTGTCGGTGTCTTCAAACCCAAGGATGAAGAACCCTACGCGGCTGGAAATCCCAAATGGAATAAATGGATTCATCGAAACTTGTTTCCTTGTTGCTTTGGCCGAGCATGGTATGTCCAACGCGGAACTGTGTCATGCTACCACAATCACATGCTAATTCAAACAGCCTCATTCCCAATCTCTCATACGTCAGCGAAGCCGCTGCCTACGTTCTCGACCGCCAATTACGAACAAACATGGTGCCTTATACCGATGTTGTCTGGCTCTCCTCAAAATCTTTTCACTATCCCTTCTGGGACCGTCGCAACTTTTACCGCAAGAAGAAGCCCTTTCCGGCCAAACCCGGCAGCTTCCAAGTCTTCCTCAAAGGCTTCAAAGACGCCAACGTCTTTCTTCGCGAGAATCCATGGCCTGATCAGTACTGGTCTGGCTTCCGCACATCGAGTAGCAAAGATGTTCGTAATCGCAAGAACAAGAAGTGGTCCGACGCCTGCCGCCCATCAACGTCGAGCCAGGCCGAGAATGTGGACTCGGAGGATGACGAGACTGACTCACCTGGCGGCGGTGAACGCTCTCCGTCTCCCGAACAGCCGGCTAGGTTCGAGTGGACAGAAGATTTAAAGCAGTCATTTCGCGAAGAGCTCGAGAAGCTGGTTATTCTCGACTACATCATGCGCAACACGGACAGAGGTCTCGATAACTGGATGGTCAAGGTCGACCGCGACTCTAATACCGTGACCGTTGCCACGGAGCCCATGCATCTCAATATGGAGGCCGAAGCAGAGCCCAACGCAGACCGTCCGCGGCCCGTCAACGTCAGCGACATGCCAGCCACGCCCTCCACAGCATCTTACCCCTATCAGCGCCAGCGACCCATGCACGCCTCCTCTAAGCGCAATGCCTCAGAGAATCACACGCGCATGGTGCTTGGCGCCATCGATAACTCGCTCTCCTGGCCGTGGAAGCACCCTGACGGCTGGCGCAGCTTCCCGTTTGGCTGGCTGTTCCTCCCCGTGGACCTCATCGGGCGTCCCTTTTCTCAAAAGACGCGCGACCACTTTCTGCCGCTGCTCACGTCGACGGCGTGGTGGAGCCAGACGCAGATGGCACTCAAGCGCGTCTTTCAGGTCGACGAGGACTTTCAGGAGCGCATGTTTGCCAAGCAAATCGCCGTCATGAAGGGCCAGGCCTGGAACGTCGTCGAGGCCCTCAAGACGCCCGACCACGGGCCGCTCGAGCTCACCCGCCGCGCCAAGGTCTGCGTCTGGGACGACCTCGTCGATGTGCCCGTCGCCGTCCCCATGCGCGTCACCTCATCAGAGATGCGCCGCAACGCCCTCGCTTCTTCGTCTCGCGCCTCGATCGACGACGAGGAGGCCGATATTGCCAGCTCCGCGCCGACTGCCAGCAACAGCACCGTCGTCTCCGCCGCGCAATCCACAGACCTCCTCGGCTTCAGCGCCGCCTCGCTGCCCGGGGGCGATCTTCCGAACCCGGGCCGCTTTGAAATCACAATCAGCCCCAAGCTCGAAGCCACGCAAGACACCGCTCCCAATGGCGATATCGCCGCTGAAAATACCACAACCTCCTCCCGGCCCTCGTACACCGGGCCCTCGCGCACGCTCAACACCTACGACCCACCCCGCAACAGCAACCTCAACAGCAGCCAGCGCCACCAGCGCCGGTACTCTTTCACCAGTACGCCCGGAGGCCGCCGCAGCAGCCACACCATCGCGCACCGGCTTTACAGCGGGGATCATCACGCTGCCGTTGCCGGCAGGCGCAGTTACGACTACGGCAATCACAGCACCGCCGGCGACGACGACCTGCTCGAGGGGGACCTCGGCTACGCCGCCGCCGAGGGCCAGATGGGCAACCAGCGCAAAGTCATTGTGGAGCGCCTCGAGGCCGTCAAGAGCAGCAACCCCGTCTTTACGTGGTGTTGAGGCACAGCGTTATCACTATCAAGATTGTGGGCTTCTCATTTTTCCTCTCGTCAAAAGGAAGCAAAACAAGAAGGAAAAACAGGGGATGGAAAGGGGGGCGGAGAGCGCATGTTGCCGAATAGCCGACCCTTGGCGGGTTGGTTACTATTGCGAGTAGCTTGCCAACAACACGCGGGTTGTACGAACCTCGATCTCCTATTATTCTTCCTCATAATAGCATCTCACTTTTCCATTCCCTCTTTCGTCTCTTTTTCTTTTCTTTTCTTCTACGTCATCTCTAGTTTTTTTTTTGGTCTGCATGTTGTATATTAGCCTTTTCGTTTCTTGTATTTCCATCTCCGTCATAGGTTTCCCGGTTTTCGCGCACACGCACAAGTAGGATCTACAACAGTCGTACGATGGACTTAGAAAAAGGCTAATCAACCTTTATTTTCCCTTTGCCTTCCCCGAGTACGCGCCCATTCGTTTTGCCCACTATCAGTAAAGTTTTCGATGGCGACGACGAGTTGTTCGCCCCCAATTGAACAAGCTAAATGTACCTGGTAAACTCAATGCCACCCATGCACTTTGCTGGGCTTTCGGCCGGCCGCGACATGACAAACGTAGGCCATGTCCTGGCTGATTTGCCTCCTTTCGGTTTCTTACGCCCAGTGCGGCGCGTGTCCAAAACGGAGACTCCATGACGATTCATCAGAAGATGCGTGTGCAGCTCTCTCTCCTCGTGTCTGAAAAAACGTCGGGGCTGCTTGAAACGAAGGCGCATAGCTTCTGCGTGATGCAACGTCACACTCTCTCCAGAAAATGGTGAAATGGCGTTCCTTGCTCAGCATGTTATATTCGTGATGGCCCTGTCTATAGCAAGATATCCAAGGGCTCGCCAATTGAGGGTCTGCGGAGAATTGCCAACCGTGCCAAATGTGGGTGCTTCTCTGCCACGCGCGACGATGACCTGGGCCAATCAAAGGCTCGCCAACTCATCGCCTACGCAGAAAATATGACAAAAAGTCTTCTCAAGGAGGACGTCAGACCTTTCTGATCACGGCATAGCGTGAGGTCTTCAACAAGGATATAGATGCGGTTTGCACTCTACACCGCCCCGTGGTCTATTTTCGAATGTGCCGCCCCAATTTGAAAACAGAGCCGAGTAGCCAAGGCAATCTTTCGACTCGACGTATAGCGGGGAATGGCCCGTTACGCAAAGAAGTCGTCATGCAACCAAAGCTTCTGAGTAACGGCATGGCAGAGTCATTGTGCAACTATTGTGTTGGAGAGCGGGCCATGTTCCCACCACAGCCGACCCCCGCCATTGCACAACGTGGCGTGGAAGTCGTGAATAGCATCGTTTGAGCCTTTAATTTGATTGTGATCGTGTTTGATGCTTTCGCAAGTCTGGACGTGTGTAGGCTTTGTGACATTCTCCGCGCGGTCGTGGTGGTGGCCAGCACTTGAGGCGGTGAGCTGACTCGATACCCTGGCCTCACCGTTGTCGTGCAAAACGGCATGCTTATTTGGCCACTTTATTTCAAATTCTTGAGAAGTCATTCCCCGTCGTAAACCCAAATGCCGACACCCAAGGCGGGCTTGTCTCGGCTTGCTGCCCGCCTGCTGCCGGCTGTTCTAGCCCTGGCTGTTGCATCTGCAACGGCTGGAAATTTTAGCCTGCGCTGTCTCCAACTTCGTTGATTTAATTCAGCGAGGATCTTCGTCTCCTCTAGTGTGGTAACTTATGTCACTATGACTTCGTACAGACCATAAGACCATGGGTCTTGACCGGACGCCGCTCAATCACAATCCTTGTTGTCACCGCACTGGAGCTCCGTAGTCACCGAAGAAGTTTCTTGGGTTAATGAGGCTGAGAGCAACTCTACCCGATTCCCATCCTGGTAGCGATTTCGAGTGCAGGAGCTCAAACGTTGTGCTGGCCACAGACTCCAGTACGCAATGGTTGGTCCCACGTAAATACAAGCTGACCCGAGAGCTTGGAACAGCATGAACTGCTGAGAGATGTAAATGCCGCATTAGAGTCTTTATGGACTTTACAGAGTCTGCAGATGTTGACTCCAAAAAGTATCTGCAAGCATACCCACTGCAGTATCTGTATGAATACATATGAACGGGCAGTGGCCGCACGAGAAACAGAAACAGACCGAGCAATCCGTCTCTTGCCACGGCTATATTCTCAGCAGACGCCAAGAATAATTTCCTCTTTGATGTGAAAAAAGGCAGCAGCGAGGAGATTGTAGCGGGATTGTGTCATTGTGCCAATGCCCGGTATTCATTTACTAAGACCCGCATCCGATGGCGCTTGATAAGAATTCTTCGCCGTCCCGGCAATGCGTATCTGAAAGTTTCTCAACCCAATCAAAAACTTTGCGCAATTTCCATACTTGAGACAATAGCGCAGTCGACTTCAGCCAAATATTCAGAGAGGGCGAGGGGACATTCGAAGAGCAGCGTGACAACCTGCGCGAAGAAAGCCTTCGCCACCACTGCATCGCCGAAGAGTACTCCCAATACCTCAGCTTGGTGTGGCGCGTTAGAAGCACAAGAAGATGCAGGACATGCTAATCCATGCGGCTATACACCCTTCGGGCCGGCCCACCTCCCGATGAACGCGAAAGCTTCGTGCGGTGGATCGTCATACTCGCACTCAATCCCTACATGACTCCCCCCAATCTCATAACCTGTTTAGCCGAGGTCCAAGTCCTGAAGCTCTTCGTAGCCCACGCCTGCGACTGAGTAATGGCTAAGGGCAGAGCAGGTCATTGTAACACCACATCTTCAGAGTGTACTGGGCGTTCAGCTGCGATCACGGACCTTCTGTAAACAGTTCTAGAAAACGAGCACAAGGCTGTCGCTGTTTTCAAAAAGCTAGTCTCGCGGAAGTTCGGTGCGCGCCATTGTGGCTCCCTGACATCGGAGGTTGACGTCGGTCCTTTGCTGCCAGATGACAGACTGTTGAGCCTGATGCAGCACGGCAACTTCCCACAGAAAATATTGTGCGAATTCTGTACCATATTTATATGGATCGCAGAGTTTGGCGATTTCAAGTAACAAAGTCTCGCCACAACATCGGAGCTCGGCTAAAACGTGTCGTCTCTTGACCAGTACTTGAATCTTCTGATGCTCGATCTTGAATAATGGAGCACTACCCAAAATAAAGCGCACCCTGTGACCTGATGAGCTTTGAGTAAAAACTCTCCGCTCTTACCCACTCGGCTTGGTCCAGAAGACTCGGTGCTCCTGCCTCTTCCATGAGGTTTGTTCAAATGCAGACTCAACCAGAGTGTCACGGCTGACGACTGACAAGCCATTTACCACCACGAACTCTTCGAGTCCCCACTTCGATATATCACTCCAAACGTTCTTCTCCAATCCCTGTGACGCGGGCGGTGCTCGTCTAAGAAATGTTTGCCAAAGGAGGCGCAGAGGATGTGCTGTAATACAAAGCCCTGGCCCACTAAAGCATGCAGCCGGAGAGCACCATTGCATATTCCGCGTATTGTGTTTATATCTTCCGTGACTCGAGTCTTCTGATGATGCGTTACACGCCATATGACACTGAATCGGTAAGGTATCTGTGGCCTTGCCAATAATTCTTGGTAGTACTCATTGCCGCCCGTCTTGTCCGATTTGTCCTGTCTCAACGACGCGGCGAAGAGGCCGCGTTTCGGCCGTGGCACCACGGAAATCGGAACAATCTGACGGATCCAATAGGCTGAGCACGCGGGTTGCTGAGGCGAAAACGAAGGGGTTACCCACAAGGGCGATCGGCTCGCCTCCTCCATGCACAGTAGTCCTCCAAAATCAACAGCCAATAGCTTGTTCAGGGCAAAATGAGTCTTTCGTAAGTCGAACTTTATGTATTGCTCTCCACACTAACGCCCGTTTGCCAGAGAGAGCACGATACCCCTAGATGACGAGTACCGAGATACTCTGGAGTACTGTGGTCGCACATTCCACAAGTATTCGTTGGAAACTGGCACATACTTTGCGCCTGTGGACGAGGTTCGCGTCGTCAGGGTGCATGCCGTCGAAGTTGCTATTGACACATGCCATAGGAAGAGATCGAGCGGTTGGAGCTGATGCACAATGTCCTGTCGAAAGTGTTCGATAATAGGCTCATCTTCCCACCCATGGTCACCCAAAGAAAGATTCTCGACTGCGGTTGCGGTGCTGCGAACTGGGCCGTCGATGTGGCCGAACAATATCCCGACTGTGAGGTATGTGGCGATGGTGCCGATATGACGTTGTTCAGAGTCTGACTGTGGCGAGGCGACGCATACTGCGGTCGAGCCGGTCACTATAATTGCTGCGAAATGTATCATAATGCCCATTGCTTTTAATATCGCCCAGCTAATGCCGTGGTTCGTATTCAGGTGTTAGGGATAGATGTCAGCCCGCATATGCTGCCGGAGCATCCGCCGCGCAATCTTGATTTTCAAATTGACGATCTCAACGCGAGGTGCGAATGGAAAAGTTGTTGTGACTGCTCCAACGTCTGGCTAACTTCTGGTGCAGGTTTACATTTCCGGGTAATTCGTTTGATCTCGTACACAGCCAAATGGTTGCCGGTGGGGTGCACGCAAGTAGATGGCCTAGCTACGTGCGGGACATATATCGTGTCACGAAACCTGGCGGATGGTGTCAGATTGTTGAGCTGTATTTAAACGCGCAATCAGACAACGGAAGACTTACCTATGGCAAGTCTTCTGGCATATGCTTTGAGGGCATGGATTGGGCTAACGTGTCGCGGCTGTGCAGATCACGCTTTGTCGAAATGGTCAAGTCGTTATTTGAATGCATTGTCTCGCCGAAAGAATCCCAGAGCGGCACTGCAAATGGCGGGGTGGATGGAAAGCGCAGGCTTCATTGACATAGAGTCAAAGCTCATCACGCTGCCGATGAGCGCTTGGCCGACTGGTACGAGCCCGCGTGATTGCCGTATGCCGCGTGTCGCATGCCGCATGCTGACGATGCCGTGACAGAACCCCGAGACGAAAGAATAGGAAGAGCGAACCGCGAAAATATCAAGGAACTTTTGGCCACAGCTTCGCTATATCCTCTCACAGAACAAATGAAGTAGGCAGCGGCTGAGACGGATAGGGTTAGTCACGACTGACCATTTTCCGCAGAATGCCAATAGACGAGTACGAGCAACTGATCAGTCGCGCTAGAGATGAGGCAGGCGATCCCGGACTCAAGGTAGGGCCTTGAACCTGAACCATGCGAGACTGGTCGCTAACAACTTTGTTCTTTTGGATCGGAAAACAGGCGTACTTTCCATTGTAGGTGATGTATTCTAAATCAGCGGTGTGGTCGCCACGTGGTGGCTAATTTTTGTCTCAGATATGTCTTTATTGGACGGAAGCCGACGACGAGATAGGCAACGAAAGACGGCTGGAGAGGCCGTGAGATACAGATATATGTTGGGTGGATCAATGGCGTTACAGAATGCATATTATTTTGAGCGGTGAAGGTTAAGCTGGTGGGTGGTGATTGTCAAAAAGTCACAAAGGAGTTGTTATCCAAGGTGGCGTTTGGAATGGCAGCGCCGGCCCTCGCCTGCCAGCTGGCAAACGTCCATGCCAGTCTTGGCGGCAGTCTGCGAGTAGCATTTGCCTTGTGCATCAAAATGTTCAGTTTGGGCTTTGTCTCGGAATTCCTTTCATATGATTCATTTGATGTCTCGATTCATTGGGGTCTGGTCGAACAACAGGTGCGATGAAGCTGATTTTGATAATTGGTTCACGTGTCAGCGATCATCCGCCATCACTAAGTGCGAACGCGCAAACGCGAAGTTTTGCGTCAGGACGAACATTGACAGAATCAGTGTGTCCCTGAGATGCGCCGTTGATATTCGTGCTAAGACATGAGGACCAGGAGTAGTTTGTCGATATTTGTCGTTGATCTGCACACCCAGCCCTGCAAAAGCAGGCTAACCCATTATGTCCGAGGTGTCTCTGCACGTGCGGCAATTTCTCCCTCTTGCCGCCGCCTTGCATAAGTCATTACGAAGCAAACATGGAAGAATCTTTCAAGTATGATTTTTATCAGCCAATCCGTCGATAATAACTCGCAACAAAGGGTGGGACCACGGCGGCAGTCGGGTATAGCGGAAAGAACGGGAAAGCGGATACCGAGAGGCTTGGCTTTGGGCATCGAGGCATGAATCAGAATCACCCCCGACGAAAACTAGCCAATATATACCACGATATAACAACGACTGCGGAGACGACCTCTTGTTCGATCTAAGTGCTCGATTTATTATATCCAAGATCTTTACAGCACAGATCGTGCCCAGCGAATTGGTGCCTCCAGACAAAAGTCAAGACGCTATCCAGACCTGGGACGCCACGATAGCTGCAACAGCCTCGGACGGTTTTCTAGCGCCCGCTATGGGCCAAACAGTTAGCTCTGGTGCTATTCGTAGCGCATGTTGTCTGTTCCTGAGGCTCTGCGGCCACGCCGAGTCACGTCCGATTGGTCACATCTGCCACATGGATTTCGATTCAGTGTTGCCTTCGAAGGAGACTTGCTCGGTTGGGATGGTGACGGGCCTCTTCAGCGCGAAATCTTTTTCACGCTCACTGCTCGGTGGCTGGTTTTTTTTTGTTGCACTTTCCCTTTGTAGATGCTTATCCGACTGCTAAGCGTTGAAGAACCCTGGTCCTTAACATAGCACACCATGTCGATGCCATCTAAGGCCTGGCGTACCCGAGACAGCGTAGCTAGGAGTTTTGAAACGCCAAACATAGCCCTAACGGCTTGAATGCATCAAAAATATGAAGTCGCAGACAACAAGTCAACCAGAGATACGTGAGTGAAATTTTCCTATCAAATGGGTATCCCGAGCTGAAGCGGCGATGGCTCGGTGAATGTCGCCAGATTCCGCGGCATGTTGGCTTGGCAGTTGAGCTCCACTAAAAATTATCGTGTTCGCAATGCAATGACTGACTGCACAGCTCGGACCATATCGCAAGACATACGCTATGGGCAAGAGATAAGTTTTACATGGTTATTATAAAGGGAGCTCATTTCCTCTCGATGTCGCAAAACAGTTTCCCACTTGGACATTCTCAAAGTCTAGCACACAAGCCGTCTTGCTACTTATACACCATTGACACATCTTATATACACGCACAATACACACACACAATACACACGCACACAAGACAACAAGCTCCACCATGCCTTCCTCTACAACTTCGTCATCTTCCGCCGGCTCCAGTATCAAGTCGTGGTTTGCTCGACACTGTACGCCTGCTCCCGCGTGGCGCGGTCAGCAGACGTGCTGGTGCCAGGACTGCTTCAACAAGCAGATGGGCCTACCCAAGAAGTCTCAGGGCTCTGACTGGCCCTACAACCACCCTACCCGCAACAACAACGGCTTCAGCTCCGAGACTGCGTCGCTAAATATTGAGTCGGAAGCTGAGTGTTCGTCTGAGAGGCGTCTACTGTAGATGCTCTACTCTCGATGCACCCACACCATGTCCGCCAACTCTACTATACCCACTTGCTTTGACCTGCAAAGGAAAAGCAGGATCGATTTTTTTTATTTACCGCTTTTTCATTCAAAATTACGAGCTCTAGAAGCGCACCACTGAGGTTCAGTCATGTTCCTGCCCTGACGAGATCAGGCCACCTGCATCCAGTGCCGGCGTGTTGCAGGTTGCCGGCTAACGAGTCCGGACGAGCGGCGCCGGCATGTGGGGCGGACTCTGACTTGAGCAATTTGACCATGGCGTTTGAAGCGGCTATTACGGACTTGACGGATAGAATTTTTATATATTATACCACAGATTAGATTACGAATGAAACTTTACTTGCTTGGCCCTTTTTTTGAATTTGTTCTCCACCATTTCATGCTGCTTGTCTCTGTCGCACCTTTTTTAAAATTGGGGTATGTAAACCTGACGTCACAGAGTCGGACTTCTCTAGCTGCGTCTTTGAGGTAGCCAACACTTGGCACAATGCCATGAACCATGATTGAGTAAACAGGAGCAAAAACGACCTGATGTAAAAATGTCACCCGCAGTGGACAACGCTATTCTAGAAGCGCTCGGCCTCAATGCCAGCGCCACCACGATGCGCTCCCACGGGGGCTCCGGCTTCGCCTCGACCTTTAAGCTGTCGACGACGGCCGACGGGCAGCCCACGCACTACTTTGTCAAGACGGGACGCGGCGCTGACGCGGAAGTCATGTTTAAGGGTAAAAATTCTCTTCAACTGTTGCTCTTGTTCTTGCAACGAGCAAGCAACGGAATGAAAAATAAATTTTTTTTTTTTGGAAAATGCTCACAGAAAAGTAGGCGAGCACGCTTCCCTCAACGCCATTGCCGACGCCGTGCCCAACTTTTGCCCGCGCGCGTACGCCCACGGCGCCATGCGCTCCGCCGCGGATACTTTTTTCCTCGTAACCGACTTTCTCGAGCTCCTCGGCACTTCTTCGTCCTCGTCCTCGTCGTCGCCGTCTCTCGCCGCCAAGCTCGCGCAGCTACACACGACGCCCGCGCCGATTCCTCCCGGCCACGACAGCCCCGTCTTTGGCTTCCCTGTGCCGACGTGTTGCGGCGCCACGGCGCAGGACAATACTTGGTGCGCGTCGTGGCCCGACTTTTACGCCAACCGTCGTCTGCGCAGCATTTTGCGCGCGTCTGCCGAAAATCACGGAAAGGACGCGGCGCTGGCGGACGCGGTGGAAAAGGTGGCGGAGAGGGTGGTGCCGCGGCTGCTGGGCAGCACGACCACCGGAGCGGCATCGCGAGCGACGTCGCGGCCGGTGGTGGTGCACGGAGACTTGTGGAGCGGAAACCACGCGCGGGGACGCTTCGCGAGCCGAGGCGGCGGCGGCGGCGGCGACGTGGAAGAGGTCGTGTATGACCCGTCGGCGGTGTACGGTCACGCAGAGTACGAGCTGGGCATCATGCGCATGTTTGGCGGGTTCGGGAGAGAGTTTTGGGAGGAATATCACAGGCTGGTGCCCAAAGCGGAGCCGCAAGACGAGTGGGAGGATCGGGTTTCGCTATACGAGCTGTAGGTTGCCATTTCTCGCTTTCTGATTCAGAAACCGTCCTGGATTTGGGATTTGTGCTAACGAGAACAGCTATCATCATCTTAATCACTTTGCCATGTTTGGTGGAGGCTATCGCGGCAGCGCTATGGGTATTATGAAGAGGCTGATCACAAAGTATGCAGGCTGAAAACTTCGGGGAATGCCGTATTTTTTTTTGTAAAATTCTATGAAAAGATGAGTCCGTTAAATAATGATGATGACGACGGGTACTTGCCCGTTTCCAAGCACAATGGCAAAAAGATTCCGTCGTCGTATGTGGATATCTACTGCAGCGCTGTATATGTACCATTTACGCCCAATCGTATGCGTGACCAGGATAACGATGATGGTTGAAAGAGAAAGAAGAAGAAACTGAAAACCCCCTCCAGGTTACTCTGCCAGCATGGCCTGCCTCGTTTCTTGTAGCGGCTCCTTGTCCGGCACACGCTCCGGTAGCTTCCCCGTCGGCACCTCTGGCAGCCTCTGCTGCTGCTGCTCCTCCTCGCCGACGGGTGCCCGCCCCCGAATCTGGCCCTCCATCTCTGCCAGCTCGTCCTCGACCTCGTCCTCGTCCTGGTTTGAGATGCGGCCGCCCAGCATCTCGCTCACCTCGTTCTGGTACGCGATGGCGTCGGCCGACTCGCCCATCAGCTTCTCCACGTGCTCAAGGCCGCCCATTTCGCGGTGAATCTCCTGCAGCACCCGCGTCCCCTGCTGCAGCCCAAACACGACGTCCTTTTGAATCTGCGCAAACTCGACGCTCGCCGTCAGCTGCTCCAGTTGCGCGAGCTGCGCGTCTGTCTTGGCTAGCAGGCCCTGCTGGTATTTTTTGCGCCGCAGCGCGAGCAGCGCCCGCGACTTGTCGCCCTTGGCGAGCATCTGCCGCGCAACGTCCGTCTCCTTGTCGGTGAGGACGGCGATGCGTCGCTGGTACTGCTGCAGCTTGTCGCGCTGGATCTTGAGATCGAGAATCGCCCTGGAGTGGGTGGGTAGTGGCGCGGTGGTTAGCCAGGCACGAGGGCAGACACGGGGGGGGGGAGGGTGGCGGCGCGTTTGCTTACTTGTCCTGGGCGGTGACCTTGCTGGTGTTGCCGCCCATGATGTCTGTGAGGTTTTGAGCTGGATGGGTTGGGCCTCGGTGATTGAAGGATTGACGTTGGCTGCGAGGCCGTAGGTAATGTCTGGTTAGAGTTACGTGAACATATTCGTTATCGAGATGGTGCGCATGTGCCCCGCGATATCGTCACTAGGCGGCTGGCTGACCCGCCGATGACTGCCTGGGTGGTGGGGTCTTTGGCACTGGGACACTTGACAACTTTATGTGCGAATATTCGTACCTACCTATGTAGTTATTGAAGTTATGCAGTATTAGATAAGTCATTTAGTGGGAACCCTGAAATTGCAACCTCGATTTCGAAATTTACAAGGGCCCAGTACCCATTGACAGAACTTGTCATCCTCCACCGTTTGCTCCCCCAACACACACCGCTTCAAAGCACGCAATGCGCTCCAAAAATGCCAGGAAACGCGCGACCTTGATATCCCGCCCTTTGTTACCTCAGATGCCTCAGATTCGCAATGGCAGGTCAATCTGTGATCCAATGGGGGTAGGCGTGTAGTAGTTCACTCGGCGATGAACGACGAATCGAGCAGTGCAGATGGCGTCTTGTCTAGCGTTAAACGAGGCAGTGAGACGAATGCCGAATGCGTGCCACGGGCACTATTGTTGCTCTTCTCGCGGAAAATGCATATCATTGCATCTACCTACAGTCTAATTGATACTCCTCATACTATTTTCATCCCGAAAATTCCAGAACGCTTCGAATAAAGATACTTTGCTTCGGCCGTCAACATCGTCTCGTCACCATCAGCTTACCACGTAAAGCTCTCAATCATCAGCTTCATCACCACCGCCTTGCCATTCTCACCGTGTCTGCCCAGCGCCGACGCCACGCACCGCACCTGGTCCACCATGCCCGCCGGGCCGCACACCACCACCACCGTGCCGCCCTGTTGCCGCCGCAGCTCCTCGGTCAGGATTCTGCGAATATCGAGCCGCTCGCCCACCGCCAGTCTTACGTCCACGTCGCCCCAACGCCTCTGTGACATGGTGCTGCTGCTGCCCTCCTTGCTGGCCGGCCGTCCCTGTAGCAGCTGCATCCGCTCCACCTCGTGCACCAGCGGCCACGTTCGCGCGCCCCAGTACAGCTTCTTGGTGCCCAGCGCCGCTGCGCCCGCCGTGTTGAACCTGTCCAGCGCGGGGAGCACGCCCGTGATTCCGACGCCGCCGGCGATGCACAGCAGGTTGGGGAAGTCGTGGCTCGGCTCCGGGTGGTCTTCCTGCACAAATGTCATCTTGTGGTTGTAGGGGCCCTCGACAAAGACGGGGATACCGCTGGCGCAGGGACCCCTTTTAGCGACGAGAGCTGTCACGCCGCTCTGTCGTCGGATAAATACGGCGATGCCAGACTCCTTGCGGATAGTAACCGACTCGCTGTCTGATCCGCTTCCCGAAGAGCTCCCGATCGGAATCGTACTTGCGGCAATCTCCTTTTCCTTACCCTTTTCGCCGCTCAACTCGGAACTGGCCGTGGAGCCAATCTCTTGCAAACATGTCACGCCAGCAACAGAAAATGGATGGTTCTCCCAGAAGCGCCAAGTGCTGATGGTGGGAAAGTAAAGGTACACATGACCATCCGCCGAGACGCCCGGAACGTCCAGCCTGTAGTAATCCTCGTCAATCGGCGTAAAGTATGCCCTCTTGAAGCCAGCACGCAGCGAGCGCCCGAGGCGCACAAGACGATCAAAGCCCCAGATGGCGCAGGCCATCCACAGCCAGTTCTGGTACCCCCATGCGTCCGTGTACTTGACATTGACGTGCTTGTATGAACAGACAATGACCAAGACTGTGATGACAATGTGTGCCGCCAGGAATATCTCATAGATGCGCTGGCGAATCGGCTGGATCGACTTTACGCAGAGAATCACGAATCCAATTGTGCCAGCGGAGCCCCAGTACCAGTACGGCTCGGTGAACTCGTCCGCCCATCCCTCCGTGTGCAGCGCAATCTCGAGGTACACCAAGCTGTGCAGGACCGCATGCATCATGCAGATAAACGCCATCCATCGATGCAGGAGCAGAAACGTCGAGTGCGACCAGTTGGTCAGCCACAGCAAAAAGTTGTTGCGGCCGGCGTATAAAATAACCAGGGGCACATTCGCATACGCCAAGACGCCCATGCGGTTGGCGACGGCTCTCATGATTTCGGCTCTGGCAGTCTCGCCCCCACTGCCCGGCTCACTTTCATATCCAACGCATGAGAGGACCACGTTCATCACCCAGAGATGGAGAATGAAGAGCGCCTGGCCGCGTGTAGGCATGATGCCCAGACCCCAGATGGGCGTCGAGTGCTTGGAGCCAACCAGCGGCGGGTCGATGAGGTATGCATTCACCTTGGTGACCCAAGTCGCCGGCCACGGAAGGAAGCGCAACAGCGAAACTGCAATTGGGATGCCCGCACCAGTCACAAGAAGAATGATGCTGTACAGGGAATGCTTGATCTCGTTTCTCGCCCCGTGGTAAACGTCCGCGTACTGCGCCTTCCACATCTCCTCCGGTATCAGCGCCGTGTAGTTGAGCACTTCTGTCGCATTCAAAGGCCGCGTCGGCGCCTCCCTAATACCCTCCAGTACCTCCGTGTACGACTTTGGTCCGCTCCCGTCTGGCAGCTTCACCAGCTGCTCCTCCCAGAACCTCTCCGCCGCGCTGACGTGCAGCGTCTTGCACTGCGACTTGATGCAGTACGCCAGTGTCTGTAGGTAATACTCGTTGCGCGACAGGCACGTCGGCGTCGTCTCGGTCGTGACGGCCCAGCCGTCGCCGCTAGGGTAGACGGGCTCCGCCGCTTCGTCATCCTCGTGGCGGCGGCGTAGGTTGCGCGGCACAACAATGGCCAGGTCGGCCGTGGTGCAATTGAGCGGCACAAAGAGCAAAAAAGAGCAGGCCCAGGCGCAGTAAGGCTCGTAGAGCGAGATGCCGAAACCGAGAAAGCCGTGGGCGCCGGGACTGGTCACGTCGGCGCCGGCGAGGCCGAGGAGCGCCAGCAAGAGGCCGAGGATAGAGACCCGCGCTCGGCTGGCCATGGTAGGGCTGACTTGACCGAAAGAAGCACAAGGGGTGTTGGGTAATGATTCAGATGAGAAGTCAAAGGAGAGTCGAAGAGGAATAAAAGGCACTTGAATGGAACAGTCGGGTTGTGCTTTGCTTTACACAGAGGCGGGGGTCGAGTACTGTTCAACCGTTGACAACACAAAGGTGTTTGCCAATTTTGACATGTATGTAGTACGACAACAGTGACTCGGAACCTCACTGCTCTTGAGCGTACACGCCGGTGAGAGAAGTGTATGCAATGCTCAATGTGAGACCACAATAGTTGTTCGAGTGCAACGTGAACTCACTCTCGACAATAGGGGATCGTCACCATTCTTATCTGATATTGGTTCGCCATTAAAATCTCACGGTCCCAGCCAGCTGGGCCCGCCCTTTCACTGACCCGGATATCTTGGAGCAAGGCGAGTCTTTTTCGTTCAGCTCAACGGTCCGGGCCCGATACGCAGTCCCCTCTATTCTCCCTCTCATTCTGGCGAGTGTCTGCCCTGACTTCGTTGCCGGCACGGCAAGTGTTGCCCTTCTCAGACGTTGCCATTAACTAGTTACGACGCCGGCACTTGAATTGACAAGTCGGCGCTGGTGGTGGAGAGCATGCCCCCGTTTTCCGTGGTCCGAGAACGTCGGACCATCGTTCAGCTTCCATGGGGCAGCCCCAAACTTGCGCCAGTGCGCTCAAGGGTCCCCTCTCTCTCCACACCAGCCTTGTGTTGGTGCCTCTAGATTTGCTTATATTAACTCTCATGACCAAATTTTTTTTTCCCAAAGTCTGCCAGTCACTGGCCTATAAGTCGGCAACTCTGTGTACTGGCCCTATGCATGTGACATGTTATGCTGTGCAAGTCGTCTTATTGTTTGCTCGAATAGTTGTGATACTCGAACCACGTGGCTTGACACTAAGTTTATGTTGCGCAAAACTTGACGGGAAATTCGAGTAAGAGCAGTCGGATATCGGCAGAGGGTCTAGACCCCCTGCTTTGCAATAGCGCCAGTGTTGAAAGAAAACTCTGTCAATATGTCCCGTGTGGGTAGAGAAAAAACACGAGAGAACCGAGGAAAGTTGTGGTGAGAGTGGGTCACTGATTCGATTGATAAGATGGAATTAGTATGTAGGCCCGCTTCTTTTCCCTGCAGCGGCCAACTTCTCTCAGTAAGCCCAAGGGCCACAGAACTAGCTTGCATGAAGAAAAAAGGAAGAAAAAAACGAAAAAGGCACTTTAACTTTTCGATCAACATGTGCAAGCCCGTTAGCCGAACTACTTCGGGTCGAGTCGGTTGACCGGGACTCGACTTACCATGCCGTTGTTCATGCCCGTGCGTCTGGGAAGGATGGCCATGCAACCATGTGTGGCGTGCCTGAGGCCAAGCACGATGCCAAGGGCTTGGAAGATAGATTGCGGCACATCGTGTTTGCCAAGCAAATCATAAAAAGAAAGAAAGGGCTTTCGCACACAGATTCCACCCGTACTCCATGTGTTGTCTTGGCTGACCAACGATGGTGGCTTCCAGAAACCTTCAAGACAGCTAGCTGCGAGACAAGGCATGACCAATTTTTGCCAATATCCCGCAACAGAGTTTTCTCCTCCATTTCCCCTCTTTCTCATACGATAGCCACCTCAACCACATACTGCCGACTTATCCAAACAAATCGCACGCACCCAGCCATCAACCATAGTTGAGTCCACCCTCCACACCACGGAACTTGTCCAGCCCTGTCTCCAAGTCTCCACCACCGCTCAGTAGCCCGGTTCCAACTGCTCGAACCAGCGGCGAGGCTCCTTGCTATGCGCAATCGCGTTGTGTCCGAAAGCTGCTCAAGATCTGCGATGCTCGACAATCAGAAATATTCTGCCCTTGCGAAATTCCGCATTCGGGTCGTGCGAGGCTGGCAACATGTGATCCTGTGTCGAGGTCAAATCATGCCACGCTGGGCAAGGAAAGACGGGGTCCGCCCACGACTCGCCCCCAAGGTTTTCAATTATCATGTGGCGAGTTGATTTATGTCAAGTCCAAACGTCGGACCATTGCTTTCAGCGTGGAATCGGCCAATGACTGACTGTCCTGTGCTTTTGCTGCTGCTGTTGCTGTCGTGACGGCCTGCTCTTGCATGGATCTGTCCTCTCGAAGGCTTTTACTCACTCGATAAAGAGAGACAGCTCTTCGGGTTCGCTTAAATCTTCGCCGACATGGTATCACTTGATTTCCAAAAAAAAATGTTTGACGTTTACTCTCAGAGTCAGCTCTGCCTGCATCATTTTATGCAGGAGGCAGGCTATAGCTGCATAAGATGCATAGACAATTGCTGCCAATAACTATTACTTACTCATCTGCATATATAGAGAGTCTAGCAAACCTCATTAGAAACATAGACAGCGAATTCAACAGCAGAAAAACCAAAAACCTACCGAACGCGATCGCATAGCAGCCATGGCCGCCAACCCAAGCAACCTCCCAGCAGACACACCCATTGCCCTCACCGGCGTGCAGGAGACGCTCCTTATCACGCTCCGCGCCAAGTACCTGGACTTTTACCACCCGCGACCCCTCCTCGCCGACCGTTGGGCCGTCGCTGTGCTTGACCACTTCGGCCCGCGACTGCGCACCCCGTCCGGGCTCCCAGTCCCCATCACTCTGCTGCGCATGCGCACCCGCACCATCGACGAAGTCACATCTGCCTTTCTGACGCGGCACCGGGACGCGCCCGTCGCTGTCGTGCATCTCGCGTGCGGCTTGGATGCCCGCGCGCTGCGCCTGCGCGAAAAGTGCGGGGTTGATGTGCGCTGGATCGACCTCGACCTGCCCGACGTCATTGACGCCCGGCGCCGCATGACCGCCGTTCTGCCTGAGCCGCCTGCGGTCGCTGGTGGAGGCGGCAAATATGCGTACAATATGGTGGCGGCGGATGTGACAACAACCGAGTGGCTTGAGGACCTCGGCGCCGACCGCCCAACGCTCGTCATCATGGAGGGCTTACTCATGTATCTGAGCGTCGCAGACGCCGAAGCGCTTGTGCAGAGACTCGTCGACCGCTTTGCGCCGTGTGGTGGGGAGATTGTGTTTGATGCCCTCTCGCCGTTGTATGCGGCATTGCAGAGACGGACGGTTCGCCGGCCGGGGAGCTTCGACGTGCATGTTGGCTACGCGGCTGGCAGTCCCGCAGACGTGCTGAAGCTGGATAAGAGACTGCAGCTTGTAAAGGCATACACGGTTACGGATAATCCAGCCGTCAAGTTGTTGGGCTTTTGGCCGCGCTTGGCTCTGTGGTTGGTGTCTTGGATTCCGTATGCTGGGACTATGAACCGCTGGATGGTCTTTGAGATGTAGAAGGACAATGTGGGTATCGAAATGCAAGACAATGTGCAAAATCCACCCATCAAGAATGTGGTTCAGAAATGAAGCCTCGACATTGAAAGCCGACCCAATTGGCGGCAAAAAAGGTACAATGGACCTGGCAGCTATGGTGTCTCCCGGATAGAGATGGCCAGCATGAGAATAGCATCAAGATTTTCTCGAAATTCCAGCTTGGAAGTCTTGTGACGAGTCAAAGTGCGTGCATAGTCAGAACTCAATCAGATTCTAGACGGCCATACCTACCTAGTTCTCGTGGTGTACATACCCGCGGAGGAAACTGCCACCGAGCTTTTGAGACTTGCCAGTGAAGAACGACTTTCATCAAGCTGCGCCGCGGCGCCGCCGGTACGGGCGCGATCGACAGCCCGATTGACTTTCGTTGGCGATGTCAGTCACCTAACACGGGCTACGTGATTGATTAAAATTATGACCTAATGTCACTCAAGTCCGACTTCTACTTTCGTGAAATCAGTGATTTTTTTCAACTCTGCTATACCTGCCTGCCATCTGTCAAGCAGTCAACTACCTACAGGGTCCACACAGCGACCCACTCTGATATCTCTTATCTAAGGATATCATGCAACGACATAAAATCTTTAATATTGCCTTTTTGGGAATACAATTTCGCATCTAACCACACATTAAGTGTATCATGAGACGCGCCAGCGAAGCCAGACCCTCCTCCAGCAACGAATTAGACATCGGCCGCGTTTAACTCATGCCGCCCCCTTTGCGCAACCGGCTTGACCTCGACGTCTACCAGGTAATCAAGCGGCTCGAGCAAAACAGCAACGACGGCAAGCTCTTCAAGACGGTCGGCGCCGCCTATACGGCCGTCAAGACGTCCAACTCGAGCCTCAGCCGGCAAAAAAAGCGTCCGCTCGAGGATGCGCTGTTTAGAGTCCTCGACGTGCGCAAGCAGGAGGAGGCGGCCGACGAGAGCGATGATTCAGAGGCGGCAATTGATGTAGACGATCCCAACGACAAGAGCGACGAGCGATTTCTGCTGAACCGGCAGATGACGAGGCATTGGAATGTTGAGCCGGCGACGATGCCGGCAGCGACGATCAATGGCGAGCAGCCAGCCAAGAAGAAGCGAAGGGTAGATGCGGCGCAAGGTGACGAGAGGAGCGCAGTGTCGACACCGAAAGAGCTCACAGAGAGCAAGCCGGCCGATCACAGCAAGCTACAAAAGAAACAACCTCGAGGTCCACTCTTCGATGTCGAATCACATGTTGACCGTCCAATATTGGGGGGTCTCGGGAAAGCATACAACAGCCTGTTGTTTGACTTGGAAAATCTGCTCGTGGTGCCGCAATGCTATGACCCGAGCGACGAGCGTCTCCTCGGTATCCTCCTCACCGGCCCCTCGGGCGTCGGCAAGTCGTCCTACATCCGCTCTTTTGCCGCACATATGGGTATCGCCCTCATCAACATGACGCGGTGCTTTGATGAACCCGAGCGCATTGACAAGAGCCTCACCGAAGCGTTCGACGCTGCGCTCGCGTCAGCGCCATCCATACTCTATGTGGAGCATATCGAGCACTTCCTGCCCAAGACGAGCGACGCATCGCAGAATGAGCAGCAGCATCTGCGCGCGCTGTCCCTGTTCAAGAGGCAGATGGGGCGCGTCAAGGCGCAAAAGGCGCATGTTGTTTGCATCGCGACGGCGGCGCGCGAGGCAGACGTCAACATGACGCTGCTTACGGGGGGCTGGTTCGACGTGCGTCTACAGCTATCCGTACCCAACATCAAACAGCGCGAGGACATTTTGCGCGCCGTCATCGACCAGCGAGCCGTAGACGACCAGCTGGATTTCGCCAGCCTCGCCAAGAAGATGGACGGCTTCGTCGGGGGAGACATTGCCCAGGTTGTGCGGCACGCCGTGCGCAACGCCGCTGGCCGTTCCCGCTCCACCTACTACCCCAATCCCGACAAGACCATCTACGACGACCAAGATGACAACGATGACAGCATCGCCGTCACGCGGGACAGCTTACCGCTCACACTCGCCGACTTTGCCGCCGCCCTCGACGACTACGTGCCTATGCTCCGCAAGGAAGGCTTCACTGCCGTTCCCGACGTCACCTGGGACCAGGTTGGCGGCCTCGCCTCCGTCCGCGCCCAGCTGCAGCTCTCCATCGTCGGTCCTATAGCCAACCCAGCGCTCTACGCCCACTATGGCCTGACGCGCGCCGGCGGCTGCCTCCTCTGGGGCCCGCCCGGCTGCGGCAAGACGCTCGTTGCCCAGGCCGTCGCCAACGAGGCCCAAGCCAGCTTCATCCTCATCAACGGGCCTGAGCTGCTCAACAAGTACGTCGGCGAGTCGGAGCGCGCCGTCCGCGAGCTCTTTTCCCGCGCCCGCTCCTCCACCCCCTGCATTTTATTTTTTGACGAGTTCGACTCCATCGCGCCGCGCCGCGACGGCGGCGGCGCCTCGGAAGCCGGCACCCGTGTTGTCAACGCTCTCCTCACCGAGCTCGATGGCGCTCGCGGCCGCGACGGCGTTTACGTCATCGGCACCACCAACCGGCCCGACATGATTGACGACGCTATGCTCCGGCCCGGCCGTCTCAGCAAACAGCTGTTCCTCGATCTTCCCACCGCCGCCGAGCGCGTCGATATCCTCCTCGCCATCTACCGCACGCGGCACGTTGGCGCGACCGACGCCGAGTTTGCGCGGCTCGACCGCATCGCGCGAGATGAGCGGTGCGAGGGCTTTTCCGGCGCGGATCTGAGCGGCCTGCACGAGCACGCGGCCGAGTTTGCCATTACCCGTTACTTGCAGGCGGGCGACAGCGCGCCCATGGGGGAAATTAGCGATCATGACTGGGAGGCCGCGCTCAGGATCACGCGGCCGAGCGTGACCAAGCCAGAGGTGTATAGAAAGTTAAGGGCAAAATTGGCTGGTGGCGTGTAGTATTGATATCCCGTGAATTTGAGTATTGCCATTGGCACGACCTTTTTTTTTTTTTTTTTTGCTGAAGCCACGATTTGACTTCCTCTATCCTGCAGGCCGATTGTGGCCAATCCAGAGAGAGGTGTTAAGAAGATGAGGGCAAAGTTGGCTGGTGGCGTGTAAATAACGTTTGATACCAAGTTGATTGTGAGTAGTGCTTTGGGCACGACCTCGTCTCGCGAAGGGCAAAGACTTAAGTCTCTGCAGGCCTAAAAAAAGAGATACTCTATCAGATTTGAAATAAACTATCTAGGATCTTTTTCTTCATAATCGATACCTAGTTTCATGTCTGAGCTTCTTGATTTCTACCTTTGAAGTAGAAATCGTGACAAGAGGTAGTTTATTTCTGTAGACGGGCCTGGCGATCTTAGGTACTCGAGTCGTGTAGCAGAAGTTGAGTCGGCGCAGATGGAACTGGCCAGTGGACAAATGCGACGATACGCCCGATAAAACGTCATCTCGAGGACGCAGATGTCGAACAGTAAATTTAGTAAAAAGACGAAAAACGCCAGAGACATACTTTGGAGTTGGCCTCGATCCAAACGTGTATAAGAGAACCAGCTGAAGATGGAAAACTAATCATATTCTGCAAAACATCAGGACGAGTACCCTTACTGACACACTTTCACATTCTAATTCAATCTTAGCTGTGAAATTACGCGAGCAAGCTCGCAAAAAGAGGAGTTTCTGTTTAGAGCTTTGGGCGCGCCGTCGTCTGGTATTGGCGCAAACCCTCTAAGTGGTCTATAATACACTAATCGCCGGCATTTTCCCATCCGTCTATCAGAAATAACAAAGTCTTGTTCATATCATTGGTACAATTACTGTGGTTTCGCAGAGCGTTCATATGCATGCGCTTAAGCGGTCGACTCCTTAAGGTAGCTGTGTGGTGTCCTTGTTAGCATGCAAGCTGCATGTGTTGAGTCTCGTGACGTCACTTACGCAATCAGGTCCTTGCGGTCCTTCTCCTTCTTGAGACCACCAAAGGCCATCTTGGTGCCGGGAATGTACTTCTTGGGGTTCTCGAGGTAGGCAAAGAGCGTATCATCATTCCAGGTGATGCCCTTGCCCTTGTTAGCGTCGGTGTAGGAGTAGCCCTCGACGGAGCCGGTCTTGCGACCAAAGAGGCCGTGCAGAGCAGGGCCGATCTTGTTGGCACCGCCCTTCTCGACGGTGTGGCACTGAGCACAGCGGGTCTTGAAGAGGTTGGCACCCTTCTTAGCGTCGCCTGGGACATGTTTTGTTAGCCGTCTAGTTCAATTGATCGCTGAGTGCAAGTTCCTGTCGTGTAACGGCCATTGGGCGGCTGAGCGTTGGGCTGCTGTAGCGCAAACGCGCGTCGTCGCGCAAGGGCAATGCTTGTCGGTAGCGTAGGCATGTACTCCGGAGATGAAGCGACTCTCAATCGTCAATCGTAAATGGCGCAGGACTGCTTGCCAGCTTTTCCTTTGTTGCCGCGCGCAAGGTTTGCGAGCCTCGGCTAGGAGAGCCGACGCATGCGACATTTTGCTCGACTCTGAAGAGTTTGTTCATCGCAAGCCAGTTGCGCGCTGAGCAGTCCAAAGAGACATCGACCAACATCCTCTTGCCCTTCCAGGCACCTTCTAACTACCGCTTCGCGGGGCCGACGGAGACAACGGGGATGGGTCGACAGGAGAGAAAGAGCGTCACTTACCACCAGCCATTGTGATGAAATGTGTAGAAGAAAGAAGACGTAAAGAGTCGTAAGTTAAAGCGTGCTATTGAAGAATCCAAAAAAGAACCTTGTGAGGGTAGTCTTCTTTGGGTGGCGTCAAGACTTGGATTGGTTATTAGGTCGTTGTGGTTGGAAGAGAGGAAGGGGAGGGAAAAGGGAAACAGGATTGAGAAAAAATAGTTCATGACAGCATGCCCGACAAAAGCATGCTAGCCTTGGGCCCCTGCACGCTGTACGAGCGCTGGAAATGCGCTGTAGCGCTGGCACTACAGTGGACTGAGCCACCTGTGGCGGGCACGCCGGGGGCGAATGGGGGCGGCTCTAAACCAATCAGCGCTCGACTATTACGCAGGACGTATTGGTGGTGGATCCAGGCTCATCAACGCCGAGCAAATTCCATCCCGAATTTACCCGTCGATGACTACAGCAGCGTGACCCGTTGAAAAAATCGAAGGACTGTCGGTGACTTTCCCCCGGACTGATGACTGTACCATTCAATTGGACACAAAGCTTCTGGACTGCTTCTTTACAGAACTGGCCTTATTACCATCTCCATAATTGCCCTCACCTCCCGAGCACAATCTGGCTTAGCGCGGCAACCCGCTCTGGAAAGGGAATTTCCTTTCCCCGAGCTATCCATCTTTCGCGATAGCATCGTCTTTTCTCTTGCCCGTCATCGAAACGAGGGGCCCTGCATCGCGTCCCAACCCGCACAACCGCATCATGGCCGTCTCCAGGAGCGTCATCCCGCGCTTCTTGCTGCCACTTCAGAGCCCTCTCTGGCGGGGCCTCGTCGGCGCGCCGCCCTCGCTCGTCACGCAGTCTATCAACGTGCGCTACTACGCCGCCTCTTCGACAAACGCCGACGGCAAGCCCATTGTCCTCGAGAAGCCCGCTCGGTTCAATCCCCCCTCGCACGGCTCTCGCCTCAGGAGCAAGGCACCGCTGCCCCGGCACTACAGCCCACCGCTGAGCGAGGCCGAGGTGCAAGCGCAGAGCCAGCGTAGCTACCCGGGCACAATGGCACCAAAGGGCTCGTGGCAGCACTGGTTCTGGCACAGCAAGATGCTGCACACTTGCATCACCATGGTGCGATTCATTCCCTTCATCAGCGCTCGTTCTGACTACTGACACCTCCCGCAGGGCACCCTCCTCGCCATGGGCATCTACACCTTCTTCATGAACTACGCCTACAACTCGCCCTACAAGGATCTCGTCCCTCCGACGTCGGCGCTCTTCTCCGACCCGGCCTACTTCTTCGCCGCCTGGAAAGAGGTCATTCTGTCGCACGAAAAGGACAAGGCCCTCAAGGCCGGCGAGCACCGCACCCGCCACCTCGACGACGTCGCCAAGCGCCGCTACTACATGAAGATGCACGGCATCGAGCCCAGAGACCCCGTCGGCATGGTCTTTGGCAAGGGCGACCAGCGCTCCGACGCCGAGATTGAGGCCGCGGCGCTGGGCAAAGAGATGCCGGAGAAGCCGGCCGAGGAGGTGGGGAAGCGCAAGAAGTGGTTTGGCATCTTTTAAGCAAAGGCTGAAAGTTTGTCATACGTAAAATGTGTAGCATATACTCTCTCATAACAGCGGTTCATTGGCATTCACCTACGCGCATTTGTCTTCCCAGCTGTAAATCAGTCTTTCTAGAGTTAAGGGCGGTTTAGGCTGGTTTCTTAACAATGCGTTTTCCACTCATCTCGTCCATCTTCACCGCGCCAACTCGTATGATGCTCAATAAGTATTCATTTATATTCAACGCTGAAGCAAAGTCGTATATGCCTACAAGCCATCCATTCGTCCTTTTCCACACCCACTTCTTACGCCAACTCTACACCCTCCAGCCCGTCCAGCACATCGTCCGCCACGCCGCCCTTTTCCAGCACTGCCTGCAGTATCGCATCCACAACGCCAAACTTTGTCCCCCCCAGCGGTGCCTTCCACACCCCCGCCGGCGTCTCCCCCGTCTGCCGCTGCTGCTGCTGCTGCGCAGGCGTCGGCGCGTGTGGCACGCCCGGCGGCGTCAGCCTGCTCGGGGGGTCGACTGTCCGCATCGACAGCAGCCGCAGCTCCCTCCCCCCTCGCGTCGTCCCCTGCGATTCGGCGACAGACACGGCAAGCGCCGTGTCCGCGACAGCGAGCTCCTCCCTCGAAGGGTCAAAGATGACATTGTCCCCAATGGCGACGACGAGCAGTGTAATCGGCGGCCGCGAAGCCGCGGTGCTGCGGCGGCGGGCGTCGTCACCGTCGCGCGGGTATAAGAATGTGGACGCGTCCCAATCGTCGTCAAACATGGGGTCCTCGTCGCCTTCCGATCTGAGCCGCGGAAGGCGCGTCGATAGCAGCGCGAGATGTGTAGTCAGAGACAGCAATGGGAGCGGGTACGACAGCGGCGGTGATATCAGCAAAACCTGCGACATCAGTCAGTCACAAAAATAAATCAAACCACGTCGGGGGTAGACAAAGGCGGTAAAACTCACATCCAGATACAGCCGCCAGTGAAAGCGTCTGTTGATCCACAGCTTGCCCGCAAACTCGCCGTCCGCGAGCAGCGCCTCCCTCAGCATCTCGGCCAGAAACACCGTCGACGCTTCGTCGTCCCTCTGGCCTGGTATCTCCACCGTCATCTCCAGCCAGCCCTCGCGTCCCTGGCGCGTCCTCTCGCGCGCCTCGGCCTCGTCCCCCGCGCGCTGCGTCTCGACCTCTTCCAGCCGGTCCTCGGCGCCGGCACGTCCCTCCACAGTCCGCTCCATCTCTGCCTTGACTCCCACAATCGCCTCGGTGCCGTCGGCTAGGCAGACGCGCGCGCTGCCGTGCGTGCCCGGCAGCACGCCCGTCTCGGCTGTCAGCGGGCGAAACTGTCGCGGGCCTCGGCCGTCGGGGCGGATGGGTGGGTGCAGGGACAGGGAGCTGCGCAAGTAGGCGAGCTCGGCCGGGGAGAAGAGCGCTTGCTGCGTCGCCATGGTGGGCGGGTCGATGCTGGTTGTGTTGTTTTGCTCCTTTATCTTCTTTTTGTGAGCTGGCAATTGGTTTTGAGCAAAATAATTAAAACTCGCTGGGCTATCGGACGCGGAGAAGTCTTCCCTTTGAATTGCGTTGTAGTGTTCGTATGGTGTTGGTTAGAGGGGCGGTCCAAAAGTTTTCTGAAAAGTTTCGATGGAGCTGTCCCGATTCAGTCAGAAGCGCTGCCAAGCGCGGGGCACTCAAGTCGGCGAGCACAGAAACTGCTGCTCTTTAGCTACTGCTGCTTGATTTTTTTTCTTTATTCTAATCAGCCATTCTCCTTTTTCTGCTTGCTCAAGATATCTTCTTTCAGGTACTGCCATAAGCATCCGAGGGTGCAGGTGCAAGGTGTAGGTTTGGGAATCCTATTATAACCTATTCGAGTACGGCGCTACAGACTTATTACTTGAGACCATCCACGAAAGAGTCGACATGGAAAGGGCTTGAGCTTGTTCTCGTTCTCCTCCTTCTCCATGGCCAGTCACCAGAGATGATAATTGTCAATTACTATCAGGATTGTCAATTAGAAGGTATTCTCATTTGTAACGACACGCATTAGAGATTGTGAGCCTGCCTGCAACAATCATCCGTACCCTACACCCGTCATGCGAGCACCCCAATATAATCGAGCACAGAGACATCGATCCTACCTTACGAGCATGCAGTCGTCTAAAGATCTAGTTCATTTACCGCAGTATTTGATGCGCAAGCGTCATTCTATCCACGACGCATAATGTCTATGCATAGCTTTGGCGGCGTGTCTACTCCCATGGCACCCACCAGCTCGGCCATTCGCGCCTTGATTTTGGGCCAGTCATAGATGGTACAGTCATCCCAACCAACTAGATCAGACATACTGTATAAAAATACAGGAGACGGTCCCAAAACACGGATGCCATCCATGTCTACATTTTCCATCTCGGCCAGGGAGGGTATCCCTGGCATGTTGGCGTCAAAGAGTGATTTGCCGGTACCGTCATCATCCGAATGGCTGTCATAACCATTCTCGCCCTGATCTTTCGGGTTGGAGACATTGAGATGTTGACCCTCTGAGGCAGCCTGCTGGGACAGACTCACGTAGGACGACTGATCCAGCAGCGCAAGCACATTCTTATCCAGCGGATCCCAGCTCAAGGTAACGGGATCAAGAATGTACTGAGGGGCAAAATCCATCTTATAGCGCATCTTGGGGCAGCTGTGGATGTAATAGCCCGGATACCACCAGCGGTAGCCTTGTTCACTGGCGAGTGCGATTTCGTGCAAGGCGCCAAGCTTACCAGGGCTGAACCTGTGGATGCTCTCGTCGTAGAAAAAGTACACAGAGCTCACACATTGAGGTAATAGGTCAAGCACGCCGATAGCGACCAGTTTACCGTCGAGGCGATAGCACTGATGGTACGAGCCAAGTCGCTTCTTTGTGCCGTCTGGGAGAGTCTCGGTGTGCCGACGCAGGGGCGAGCTACAGAGGAACCGTGTGAAAGATTTACGTGTTCGTTCACCCGGATCGTCCTTGTGAATAACCCGTTGGTAATTGTCAAAGACGGCGAACTTTTCTTCTGTGAAGCTGTCTTCTTCCAGAGTGATGTCGAGTCGATGTGCAGGCTCTGGGGGCCTTTTCAGAGTGGCATGTTCTGCCTCATGAATTCGCTCAAGAAATTGGAATTCATTATTTCGCTTTTTGGATTCTTCCTTTGTTCTTGGGTATCGCCGTGCGGCTTCCTTTACGTACTGGTCACCAAGCACATGGGAATTGAAGCGGTTTATCGTCTGCCTCTGATCGCGCGAGGGCTTAAACTCTTTCGAGTCTAAGCGAATCGTGTAGTGTGGACAGCAAGAGTCTCTCTGGTTGGGACGGTACAGAAGCTTACCGGACCGCCTCCAATAGCGATCAAGAAGAATCTGGTAAAAGGCCGGGCTTAGAGCTGAGGCATTGGCGTAATACGAGATGCCTGCGAAATGTTAGTCAAAGGAGCTAGACGCAGCTTGCATGAGCCATACCACGCGCTTGAGCATGATTAGCAGGAACAGCGGAATTCTAGGGAAGATTCCTTACGCTTAGCTGGCCGCCGGTCTTTGCCGGAGCAGTAGCCACAGTGAGACTGCGAAGCATAGCCTATTTGGGGTATGTATCAGCATCGCCGCGAAAAATTGTAAATGGCAAGGGATGGATAGTTGTAATGGGAAAAGCGGCAAAGACGAAGGAGAGGTATGTGGACAGATGACTTCGCTAGATGCACACTGTCGGCTGGTAGTTCCAACTTAGATTACTTGGATTCAAAAGGGACCTGGCGATATCGGCCCGAGACATTAGGCTGCAGTAGTGTGGGCTTGCCAATAGGGGAAAGTGAAACAAGTAGGCTGAGATGGCGTAAGAAAGACGAAGCTGTGCATGCGATGCAACCGGGGCAAAGGCCGAGTGTAGAGGCGGGCCAACAAGAGCTTCGCATAGGAGCACGTGTGAGGGGCTTGCAGTTATCAAGTGTGGAACGCTTGAAAAAAACGAGAAGAAACAAAAGACGAAAGAAGCCGGAATATACCTATTGGGGAAACCAGTTCATAGGTGTCTGTGAGCGCGCCATTGGGCGGGAGGTTGACGAATTGCATTGCGTGTGGCGTGCAAGCAGAGGCCAGCCACGTGTATCGACAAACGACAATGTGCCTGAAAAGGGCAAGCCGTTGGGTGGTATCGGGCAGCGCGGGGGCTGGTGTTGTGTTGAAGAGGCAGCGTGACCTGCCAAAGTGCTAGGATCGAAATGCTTTAGAGGCCGAAGAATCCAGAGGGCGACAGAAGCATGTTGTGGTTTGTTGTGATTGCAGTGGTGGATGTATCAGTCAGTGATGACGGCGAGACACGAAAGGCCAGAGCTAAGATCAGCAACGGCTTGTGGGCGGTGAAAGTCGAGTGGCAGTCTGATAGAAGAATGGGGCCAGGATGGACAACGAGCAGGTAGTAGGGCGGTAGCGAAATGGAGCTTAAATAGGGTGGCAATGGGTGGTGCGATGATGGTGGTGTAGTGATGGTGGTGCGGTGATGGTGATGATGGTGATGAGTTGGAGGTAGACGGGAGTCGAAGCTGAGCGTGTCAAACCAAGCGGCAGAATAGCCCATATTGGGTGGTGAGGAGACGGTTTAGCCAGCACCATGAACAAAGAAAGGCATTCGGACCAAGACGATCTAACAAGAGGCGAGGGCGCCTCCATGTGTCCTTGGATGTACCCCGCTGCCGCCTCGAAAAGTTACCCCGCCAAGCAAATAGAGGGGTCACTTGCTAAACCTCACCATGCAAATATCGACTTCCTATGTTCTAGAAAACATAGCAAACAACGCCTCCGTGAATGTGTATAGCACCTCTATCTCTGCTTTACGGCACCCTGGCAAAGCATGTATGTGTCTTAGGGCAGCATCCCAGTCTACATATGCATGCCGCGATACATGCACCACTCTCTCGCCGACAAACGAAAATGCCCTGCAAAGTCTGTCGTCCGCGCAGGAGCCTTGCATGAAGGGGTGCCACAAAACCAGCATATCAACTGGCTCTTTGCATCATTTCCTGATCTTGTGAACCAGCTCGCCATGCGTGCTTTCGAAGTTGTGCACTTCGAGTGGCGCCAAGCAAAAATCACAGCCGCAGCGCAAAAAGCAATGGCAACGGCCGATGCATGACGCTGTCCTCCCATCATGCTGAAGCGAACAAATCAAAGAACCCGAATTTTCACATCCCAAAGCAACACTCGTTCAAGCCAAACCGCATCGTACTTTTGAGCGATTCGAATGGCGGTATCGCTGCATTACTGTCATTGCGTTGCTGTCGTTTGCATCGGCACCTATATCTGGAGGCCGATCGAATATAACACTCGAGTTTACTAACAAATGGCATGCATAGCCTTGTTTTCAATCTGCCCCCTGTCTAGCTGCGATTGTTCGCTCCCGACACGCATCTCTCAGTCGTTCCCACCGCCCACCTAGCCACCTCTTCGCCTTTCCAGTGGCGCCCCGGAGATCTGGTTCTTGATATTAGGCCCAAGATTCTCTGCCTAGACGCTCTAGCGTTGTGTAACATCGGTAGAAGAGGCTGCACTGGCGCAACAAGCAGAACAAATCCGGGGCTAGCTCGCAAGCCTGAGCGATGGGTCGTTGTGACTTGTTGGCAGTCAGGCGCCTTGGCCCCTGCAGTTTGCATTGGTAGCCATGCCCGGCCTGCATGCATTCGAGATGGAAGGTGGCGTGAAGGCCGGCTGCAGCGCAGACACCAACCAACTCGGTCAGCAAGATTGGCTACTGCGGTAGCTGAGAGCGGAGCTAGTCGTTGCATCGAGTCCGAGTTGACAGGTCGACTGGGGATATGATGGCGAGACAGAGAGAGGCATGTCGATGCGACGGCATGCTGTTACGGGCGCTCTCGCAGCCTTGGAACACCAGGCATTGTCGTCTGGAGATGAGGCTGTAGGTGGACGCCGATCATCTGCCATGTGGTACGGTATACGCAGATATTTTCAGAGGTGCATTTGCATGCCTTTACGACTACTTCAGTATCAATCCATAAGAAGGTGCTTGCTATGCAACGCGATGAAATCACCACTGTTGGGTCGTCGAGCCTTGCTGTTCCACTGCAACCTCGATATAGGGCAGGTACCTAGGGTAAAGAGAAGAAGACGTGCGTCATAGTTGGCGCCCAGTGCAACGCCACAGGGAGCTGCCCACGTGCGCGTGGCCAGAACAAGAGAAGCTATCGTGAGTCTGCGGCCCGAGATATAACTAGATACTCAATGCAAGGCATTGTGTGTTGGTAATGTTATCACTTGGTGAATGGGTGATTTGGCTCTCAGCCTCATCGTTTTGTTTCCCTTGGCATTTTTGAAACGGCCAATTCCGTTCAACAGTGAGAGAAAAAAAACTCACGAAAATAACTGCATGCATCCAGGACCCTCTGCCCCTCTGCAAGCCCCTAAAAAGACCGACCCCACAGCGCATGTTGCTATTACACCGCGCGCTGTGACTAGCAGCCGGCCGGCTGTCGTACGACCGACCCGTCTGCAGCTGCCGTGATTGTGGACGAGCACCGCAAGAGCACAAGGCAGGGGACATGCCAGACTCTGAGCCGACAAAGTGATTCAAAGTCATAACAACGAGTCTTGAGGGAATTTTGGGTACTGGAAACTGAAATTATGCCGACGTTGGGAGTCACCCTTTCCTGTGCACTGTACGGATACATTGCGTACCACGGTACAACAAGCTGCCCACTATAATCACTGCAGCTCCCCCCTGTCCTCTCCTGTTCCCACTGCCGCTGCCCACTGGCGTCGCCCGCTAACCAGTGCCACAGCACCTACCACAAACCAAGGAAGACCACTAACCAGCCCCAGAACTTTTCCCGGGCGCCAAAATTTCTCCTGTCCCTTTTCCTTTCTTCTCTCACCAACTCGCCCTCCGGCAGTCCGGGATTCTTTCTGGGACTCTCCTAATCTCTCTGAACAATCATAAACTTACTCGAAATTACCCTCATTCGCCATCACCATGCAGCTTGATACCCTTTGATCGCTTCCTGCGCATCCACGCACCTCGCAATCAGACCTCGGGGCCTTCCTGTGGTCTTTTTCGTTCCTTTTTTTCCTTCTACACTCAAAGTACCGCCACTGGGGCTTGCTGAGGGTTGCGCCACAGCTATCATCAACTACCATCACTCTCTCCATCCGAAACGACACCAACGGCAGACAAGAAACCACACTCATCATGTCGGGTTCAAATTCTACAGAGGCCAACGGGCGGTCCATGGAATCGCGAGTTGGCAGAAGTAAACAACGTAAGTCGTTGTCGTCCCCTGCGTCACCAGCCCTGCATGCAGCACATCCGCCGCGCGCATACCGCTCTTGGGCTAGGAGTCACTGTCTGAGCCCCAGGCTGCCGCTAGCACATTTGTGCATGCACCCATCACCCTGCAGCCGAGCTCGCAAAGGAGAATTGTCTCTCCTGACTATTTTCCGAGTCTCGGATGTCAGCCCCAAACGCCACGTGCTTGAAACAGTTTCGCTGACTTGCCCAGGCTACAATGCCAAAGGCTTTAGGCTCGTTGCCGGCGTCGTTCCCCTCTCGCCGGACCAGGAATTCGTCTTGCTAATACAATCGACCCGGCGCAAAGGCTGGGTTCTACCCAAGGGCGGCTGGGAGATTGACGAGTCGTGCCAAGAGGCGGCCGTCCGCGAAGCTTGGGAGGAGGCCGGCATCACCATTCAGGTCGAGTTTGACCTTGGCGTCATCGAGGAGCTGCGCCCCCCGAAAATGTCAAAGGACCAAAGCCAGTACTACTTTTTCCAGGGCACAGTGCAGAGCCAGTACGAGGAGTGGCCTGAGAGCCACAAGCGCGAGCGCAAGTGGTTCACCTTTGCCCAGGCCATCGAGGCTCTAGCGGCCCGACCTGAGTTGCAAGAAGCCCTGAACCGCTCTGCGATTAAGAGAAAATAGTCTCGTGCAATCATTACGGTCTGTCGCTGGCCAGGGTTTCGAGCTTGCTATTGCTCACTCATGACTGCGAACTCGAATGACTGCAAAATAAGCCATTGCTGCCAGCATGGCAGCCACATGTTGTCATTCAGTCAATACTGCATAACACGCAGGAAAACTACCCAAAACAATTCACATGCATTTATTATACGGCGTTGTTTGGCGGAAGGGCTTGTTTATCTACTGATAGATCTGGGGGCAACAAAGAATTGGCAAGCATAGCCCGTCACAGGTTACGCGGGTAATATACAATTCTCATCACATATTGCAATTTTCTAGTCTTCTCCCACGGCTATCCAGCCGCTCCTCTTTACTAGGTGGAACCTCGGAGCTGGGCATACGTACCGTTAGTACTTTTTTTTTTTTTTTTTTTCAATATCGCCCCTCTGTCACGGGGAGGGGACTGATGTTTTTTTTTCTTTATCCTTCTCTTGCTTCTTTACCTGTTTTCATAGATGGGACGAAAAATACAAGAAAAAGAGACTTCGCTGGTGTGTGGAACGCACCGGTCAACGCCTCCAAGCCGACGGACAAAATGAACGAGCCATTTTAGCTCATAGGTGCCAGCATCGTGGCGTGCCCCTCTGTCGAAACAAATGGGGATTGGGGCAAGTCGCGTGAGGCATGTCTGGTGCTGGCAAGGCAGCGAGTCAAGCATGGCTCGGCGCCGATACTCGAGCTGACCATCCTTTAGGTCTAGCTACTTGGCTCTCGCTGCATCGGACTGGTCGGCCAAATCGACGTGGAAATTCGGAGATTTGGCGGGAAGAAACACTGTCATAAAAGCGCCATCGATTTGTAGGATCTGTAGCAGATGCAACACGTAGTCACGTAGTCGAAAAGCCAACATTCCAAACTTGTTTGACAAGGGCCATTGCACGATCTACATCACTGAAACAGCGCAATCACAGCGTTTCAATATGATTAATCACGTAATACTGAGACCATACAAAATAGGCTCTACAAAAACAGAAACTAATAAATAATGAGTGCTCGAAAAAATGAGCCCGTCCGAAATTTCCATGTTGCCATGCATACAGACCATCGTTCACGTGACGCCCCGTTTATCGATAAACGCCGTTGATTCCCGCGCCAATCGAAGTCGCATTCGCGAGGTTGGACAAGGATTCGACCCTCCACTATTCCAGCACGACGAAACGAAGAGAGGCAACGACGACCCTAAGATGCGATTATAGGGACGGTTCGCGCCCTCAATCAAGACTCTATACACAACCACACCAATATATAGATTTGGTGGATGATTTACGAGAAAAAAAACGAAACACATAGAATGGAAAATCTCACTATCGCGGAACCGCCTCATCAGGGAGGAGGCGGCATGACGGCGGCAGTGCCGCCGCCTGCGCAGCTGCCGCCGCAAATGTTTACGACGGCGGCTCAGCTGCTCGATCTGACGGATAGTATGAATCGACCCTGACGGCAAAATGGGTATTGAGAAACGAAGGAAAGAAGAATGCTGACTAGGGCTGTGGTGTGCGATTGCAGAGAAGCTGATGGTGGTGCTGCGCGACGGGCGCAAGCTCGTCGGCGTGTTGCGAAGCTGGGATCAATTCGGTACATCTCTCCTCCTCTCAGCCAAAAGCACATTTCCCTCATTGTGCGGCCCATTCCCCCAAAGCTTGCTACATTTGCTGACGGAAGAGGCCAGCCAACATTGTGCTGCAATCTACCACGGAGCGCATCTTTGCCCTACAACCCCCTTCACCACCACCCACCGAGGCCGCGGACAGCGAGACGACAGCGGCTGCGACAGCGACGACGACGCCACGGGGACTGTACGCCGACATCTTTCACGGCATTTTTCTCGTGCGCGGCGAAAACGTACTGCTGCTTGGCGAGATGGACCTCGACCGTGACGACATTCCCCCGCGGGGCTATGAGCAGGGCGAGCTGGCGCTAGTGCGGCGCCTCGCGGAGGAGAGCAAGGCGAGGGAGAAGAGCCGTGACAAGGCGAGGGCGAGGAAGCTGGCGAGGCTCGGCTTTGAGGGTGATGCAGCGGGCGAGATTGTGCTTCTGTGAGGGGACCAATCTTAACCCAGAGGGTTTTGACCCTGAGAGATCTTACTCAGAGACTCTTGTCCAAGAGTGTACAAACTCTACAAAAAACTAATTAATGCCGTGTTTTTTGTCTCTCGATTGGTTTTTGAGAATGAGCAGCGCAGAGAAACAGGCCCCGGGCAGAATATTGTGAAATGCCTCGCAGGCTGGCCCATCTTCTCCAGAGAGGGTATCTGAGTATTGCGCTGGTTATGGGAGCTCATGATGCACAATAGTTAGTCAATCCATACTTGTGAACAAAGCACCGATTTTTATCCCATTTACAGTATCATTGTCAGTGCCGTCCGACCTGACAGTAAAGTTCACGCCATAGTGTACACATTATGAGTAGGAGAGGGTGCCGTGCGACAAGCGCAGTACTGTACATGGCTGCCACGATATAAAACAATGTCGCTAAATACAAACGCCAGAGCGGGATATTTCACCGAAAATCGTAACAAACAATAACTGTATAATCCACCGTATCACGTTCGCCTCCGCCGTTCAAACATGGGAATCTGCGGAGTCCCTCCCGGATCGCGCTGAATGCCACCCAGCAACCAATCCGTCAACCCGACAAACTTGGCACCCATGCCGCGCTCCCAGTTGCCGCCCTCCTGCGCAGTCTCAATCGTATGCGTCAGCACGCGGCCTTCCTGATCAAAATCGAATATAAACAGGCCCGTAAACGCCTTATCCGGGTCACTGCCGCCTACCAGCCTCAACGACCTTGCAATGGCGGCGCCGGCGCCGCCCCCTTGGGCGGCCGCCTCGCGTGTCGTTTCCCGCCACCGCACGACGAGCTGGTCGGCGATGGCGCCGGGGCGCCGTGGGAGAAAGGTCAGCGGCTCGCTGGTCATGCGTTCGGCGAGGATCTCGATGCGTACGTTGCCGACGAGCGGGACGCGGTTCCAGGCAATGGGGGAGGTCCACAGGGCGGCGGTGTAGGCGACGCGGCCCGAGACGACAGGCAGGTGCGGGTGCGTCGAGGGGAAGAGCTGTAGGGAGATGTTGGGCGCGAGGATGTGCTGCGGGAGAGGCGACTGTAGGAGAGTCGGCATGCGGTCTTGGAGGATCCGGAGGGCTGTTGCGGTGGCGTGTCAGTCAGCGAGTTTTTATACGTCTTCAAAATGTAGAGTAGAGGAGGGGCGGCGGTGAAAACGGGGACGTACTCTTTCCGAGCTTGGCCTTGTTGGGGTCGACAGGCTCCTGTCCACCGCCTAGCGGCATCCACGTCTGCCCCGTCGCTTCAAAGTACGTCGGCGAGAGCTGGCCGGGCCGTTGGGCCGGCGCGGCGTGGGCGACAACAACTCGCGGCGGTGCGGAGGGAGGTAAAGAGAATGGAGGGGGGGTCGAGTCTGGGCCGGCGGCGACGGCGGCGGCAGCGGCGTGCGAGATGCTCTGCACCTGCGCCTTGGCCTGGCTGTAGCTAGCTATGCATCGCGGGCGCGACGTCGGTGGCGACGCGGGTAGTGGTAGGCAGTGGCGGCGCAAACGGACCTTGCGGAGGGACTTGATCAGCGGTGCAGCCATGTAAGTTGTGAGAGCGAAGGCGGCAGCGCGTCAGGGCGTTGTGCATGAATGTTTCTGGTAGAAGAGAGGAAAAGAGGTTATAATGTAAACGCTGGGCTGTTAAAAAAATTGTCAATGTACACAAGGGTGATGGATGTGGTATGTGGTTTAGGAAGAGGAGGAGGAAGAGGAAGAAGAAGAAGAAGAAGAAGAAGAAGAAAAAGTTAGTACTGATCAACGTGAGACTGGCCCCGGATTGGCTCTTTTTCCGTGGAGCTTAAGGCGGGCGACAGGCTAGCCGTGGGGGCTGCCGTCACTAACCCTTTTCAGTGCAGAACGATACGCAACCTGTGTAAGTCAGGTTAAGTCTAAAAGATTAGCACCACTCATGTGTAACTTAACTGTCGAACATTTATTTAATAAAAGAGCTTGAAGTACTTTAGATAAAACTTATAACGCTGGCTCATTATTTTCATATCTTATCCTCGTAAAATTGGCCCATCTTGCAGAGATCCTAGCGCAGCAACACCGACGATTTGGAGGAATGACTACACCCAACTAATTCTCCGGGCGGATGTGGTCTTGATCGGCAAAACCCGCACAAGCAACGTTGTATTCGGGGAAACATTGAGCAGCATATTGAATTGGACGAGGCTGCGCGACGATGCTTGACAGCCCACTGGACGACCACTAGTGTCATGCATGATGAATTCGGCATCGAAATTACCGAGTTGTCGCGTTTCCTCGATTTCGAATTCACTTTCCTTTATCTAGCACTTTAAAGATGAGATGGCTAACGAAGAGGCCCTTTTTTAAACAGCAATTTGGTCACATCTAGGAATCGAGGTCATTCTTTTGACGCGAGAGGCTTACAAGAAGAGAGCGAAGCTCTGTTCACAAAGACTGGCAAGTGCGTGACGTGAAAACGGGAAGATGACAGAACGAAAAGGACATTGAGGTCAAAATAAAACAAGGTTCGATGTTTATAATTAATTGAATCGTACATATAAAGATCTTAGAAAGTGAGTGTATACTGTATTCTATGTCACCTATCTCATTTGCCCAGTGAAATCCCTAGCGCCCTACGCCTTGATCCTCCAATTTTACCAGCACATCGTTGGACTTGGTCATGTTTGACTGCCAATCGCTACCCTTGGTGTGCTGTACGTCGGCCAACTCGTTTCCGTGGCTTTCTATAGATGCTGCGGAACCAAGAACAGTTTGGCCACGCGACCCATGAGCGTAAGAGACATCCTGCCCCGACGCTATAGTGTTGCCCAGCAGCCCGGGAAACAGGCGTAGCAGCAGCAGTCGTAAAGATGGAAGACATGTGCATATCATTCCAATATTGACCTCGATTGTCGACCAGTAGGCAACCTCCCATTGATCCCATGTTGGATTATTCGAGTTGGCAAAGCCAACCAAAGATCGAAGCCGGAGAATGGAAACAACCGTGACACTATGGCGAACAATCAGAATCCGAGTCATGGCGTCTTCTTCGTGATGATACTTACAAGGCCCCAGTCAAGAACATGATGACGACCCCAATCTTTTTTCTCCAGTGCAGATTCAACTTGGAGATTTGGCTAAGTGGGATAGCAATCATCAAGATATCAATCAAGACACTGATTGCGGCATTCGACCAACCCATGGCATTAATATTGATGCAGTGACCCTCTCCCGGGTCCTCTCCATACTGTGTCCACCAGTAATGGATTGGCGAGCACTGGAAAATGGCGACGATAACAAAGACAACCCCAAACAGGACATTTGTGATGCAAACTCCCCACAGCAGACGCCGGATGGCTATACCGGGAAAGACGCACAGATAAAACGCCGATAGACTTAGTTTCAAAAGAGAAAGCTCCGCCAAGTACAAGACCTCCATTATGTACAGCCACATGACAAAGGTGCTGAGCTCGCTCACAGACATGGTCCACACGTCCTTGCCCAGGCCGTGGTCGGCGAGACCTTTGACATTGAGGACGGTGCCCGAGATGCGAAGGACGACGGTCAGCAGGATGATCTTGTCATCCGGTCCTAGGGCGCGACTGGAACTCCAGAACTGCTTGAATGCGACGCGCACGAGAACAAGACAGATGGCAAGAACACCAAGGACGATGGACATTGTGTAGTATTGCGGACTCTTGTTCCTGACTGGGGCGCCGCACGCCGTCATTGTGGCATTTTTCGTATGGAGCGAGTCTGAAAGAGAGCATGACTTTAGAATACACGCGACTGCGCTTTTTTGCAAGTCATGATTGAGGCAGATGCACTGCATGTCTGTCGGAGAGCATGTCGATTCGGAAACTGCAGACATGACGCATGGAAGCTACAGACACACAAGGTCAGCCTCTGGTCGTACAAGCACTCTCTCAAACTTTTGAATTGGAGCAATGAAAGCTTTGGTCAACAGTTTCACACGCCCACGTTTGATACTTACGGCACAAGATGGGACTGACGACAATAGCTGCAGCGCGCTTTCTGGTTCTGGTGGTTGCGATGCCGCCCTGCATAGCTGAGTGTTGCATGCCAGCAAAAAAGCCCAATATCGGGCCAGCATTGTAATGGCACCGTCAAGTAATTGTTCAAAACTGACTTTGACAAAAGTAAGAGCGGTGGTCACATTCCGGCGCACTGGAGCAAGCACTCTTCGAAAAGCTGCACGCGTGGGGGGTGAGGTAACGCGCGACGACCTTGTTATAGTTGAGATGCAGGATTATAGGGCGCAGAATATGCCACTCACAAGCGAGAAGCAGGATTTTCTCTCTTCTCTCCCCTTTCCCACTGATCGGGATCGGTATATCCACACGGCGCGGAGCGTCGAAGTGACAATGCCAGGGGGGCTACCTGGCTGCCCTAGTTGCTGTCCTCGGTCGGAGCCGAAAACCATCTAGAAGCCCACAACATGGCCTTCAACATGCTATAATGGCGCTGATGCATATTGTCTGCCCTTTCGTGGCATACGGCTCTCAAACTTCACCCCAACACTAGTCGCAGGGACTCTGTGCTTCCACGTCGTTTCAAGAGAGGAACAAGAATTTCAGGTGTGGCCAACGGGCTGACTGCACATGTCCGCACCTTCTCTTCTCTGCCTTTGGCGAATCCGACACGAACAAGTCCCACCCACTGCGGGCCGCGGTGATCTATATCAGACTACGGATACATCTTAAACGTACTGGTAACTAGTGGCGGAACGCGGTTTTGAGTCTCCCAGGCCCAGCGCTGGGGCTGGCTGAACAAATGCTACTAGTCTCGCTAGTTAGCCTTGATTCTGGGTCCCTCTGGGTGCATGGACAGTCAATTACAAGGAAGAAGAAAACTATTTAGTTGACTAGTTTGACTAGCTAGTGACTCTAGCTACTTGATTGTTAGTGGTATCTCATAGCCCTAACGTTATGTCTGTGTCCACAAATACACATCAGTGCAGACAAAGCGAATTGTTATCGAACTCTCCGCAAACTCTCCGCGTAATACTATTGATGTACATATCCTTGTCGGTGGGTATAAGAGACCCGCCTTGCCCGCCTGGAGCCCTCTCCGCACCCAAAGAATACGAAAAAATTGTGAAGGGGATTTCACCAGATTGGGCCAGGTGATTTGGTGATGATTTTATTCTTCTGGCCTCTCTCCTCTCAATCTCCGGATGATGGTTTCAGCGCTCAGACTCTTGATGAGACAGGGAACAGTCTCTCGGCACGGGCACGGCACGGGCTGAGCATGGCTTCAAGACATGCGGGGTGTGTCAGGGACAAGGTACAAGGGCAAGTGTCAATTAACATATTTGGTGTAGTTCGGTCGAAGCCCTGGCCTTTGTTCGGAACAATTTAATGGAAACACGTGCGTGTTAGTAAGGATGATGAGGGCGCCCTGTGGGATGGGTTGCGGTCTGATGCGGTGCGTCCAGATCCCTAAGAACATAAGAATTATGTATTTATTCCCAACCTCTATAATCATTCTTATGCATAAGCTCAAGAATCAATAGCCCTTATAAATGAATATATATTCGTTACCGGAATGCCTGATTCTATGTTAAAAAGGCACCTTTTCAAAGGGCATTGCGTTGTCAAGATATCTGTTTTTGTTGGAAGTACAAAGCGAAAGGGTTGTACGCGGAAGATACAGGATTTGGTGGTTCTGGTTCATGTGGCTTGATTCCTGCAGGCTATTTGCACCTATTTGTTACCGGCCTTTATTAGAAAGGCTGATAGAAGTGTCTAACGTAGGTTGGGCCAATCAGAGGCCAGCATTCCTCCTGGGCAGCCATCTGCCGGTGCAGACGGTGGTGTAAGGGGGGGGGGGGGGATTGGAGGTGCTCAGGATGCAGGAATGATTCTGCGACCACTTGGTGTCCTCTGGTCTGAGGGTTCGGGCATGGAGAGAGGGAGACTTATTTAGAATAACTTAGCCTGGGCTCAGTTGATAGAGACGCTTAGCAAGTGGAGGTGGGACCATGAGGTCAAGATTATTATATTTTAAACAAGTAAATTATAATAAGGAGGAGCTAGAAAACTAAATCTAAAGTCGGGGGCGAGTGCTCTTTACATAAGTAGTGGAATTTTGTTGATAGTTTCACGTGATGGCGGTCCTGTCTCTACCAGGATCCTGCACGTCATCCCATAAGCAGGACGGCCCATCTGCTGGGTTAAGCTGTCCTGGTATATGTAACATCAATGATAAAAAAGAAGTAGTTTGAATTGAAGTTCTGGCTTGATTCGAAAACTACCGAAGCGGAGAAATCTGTCTCGAGGTAGAGGGGAAATATGACGAGTACCCATCGAGCCGTGTTCCAGCGTTTACGTAGAGCCGGTGAAGTGCGTCGTAAGCGTTGAATGAGCGACGCGTTGAATACTTCTTTGTCTTATTTACCATGACCCTTCTATATTGCGGGGGTCAATTGCAGGATTCGCGTCTTGAGGCGACTTGGCACCGCATTGAGCTTTGTTGTAATCCTGCTTCGAGCAGCCAACCTGCTGACAATACGATGAGAGGGCGGTCGCAGAGATATTCTCGTAGCCATCCGGGCAGACAGTAACCCAAAACTCTTTGGTGGCTCTTCTGCCACAATTGTAGGCGTTTCCTCCTTAGGCGTTTCCTCCTTTGGCTCGGCACCGCATTGAGCTTCTTTGTAATCCTGCTCCGAGCAGCTAACCTGCCGACAAGACATCGACAAGGCGCTCGTAGAGATATCCTCGTAGCCATCCGGGCAGAAAGAATCCCAATAACTAATGTCGGCGTACAAAGGCTTAGAGCAATCACATTCGTTCTGCCCGTCCCGAGATGGTATCGACTTGGGCGTTCTGACCGGGCTTGCAGACCCCAGCGCCGCGGCGGGAAAGAGGATGGCGGCGACCTTCATTGTAGAGAAGAAAATTTTGAAAAGGTTAAGAGCTGGTGAGTTGAGGGTAATTGTTGTCGTATCAAAAGTCTGCCTTGATAGAGCAGCGAAAGTTGTTTATATAATTGGACGCAGGGCAGGTAATTTAGAGGCCGGTAGTCTCATCGCTTTGTTTTACTCAAATTCAAACTCGAGCCCCAGCAAGTATCTTTTCTTAGACCCATGCTAAAACTTTACCAGATTATTACGCGGCAGCCGTAAGCCTCATTCGATAATGCGCCATATAGGTAATTACTAGGCATGACAGAACCGGGGCGACATGGTGGTCTGCAGCTGTGTCGTTGTCAGGGTGGATGCAGATTCTTTCCCAAGGTGCGACAGAGTGCGACACGAATCGCTTGTACGTATAGAGAGAAGCCCCTCATTCTCGTGCTATATTACTCAAGGCGGCGTTGGAAATGAAAGGGATTAGATGAATTACTTGGCATCTTGTCGTGTCAGTTGGTGGAACACCGATATTTCAAGGACGCTCGAATTCACAAGTGCCGCTTTGTTGTGATATGCATCTTCATGCGTATATTGCTGCCTGAATACCGCGTGCTAACCGAGCCATGGCCCGCACGTAGTGGCAGACCGGCACTCTCTTCGACACCGTCGCCGACGCCGGCCGGAACCATTGCGCCGATTCTGCAACATACTGATATGCAGACAAGACTTACAAGCGCAAAATGCGCTTCGGGGGCTGACGGGCAAACCGACAGCTAACAAGTAGCTTTTGTGCCTTGGCTTCTGACAAGTGCATAAATTAAGTCGCACTTGAAGTCTGTGTTTGCCAGACTCGCCACGAGCCTCCCTGGCTGGCTCTCGAGCCGCATTGCCACCCGACCTTGCCGACGGCGGTTAATTTCGAAATCTTTCTTGAGAAAGCCAGCCCTCGTGGTGCGCCAGATGCCAAGACTGCCCATGAGGCCCATTGGTAAGTTGAGTCGCTGCTTGCGTCGTAGCACACCTCGCGAGGAAGGCCACGTACACCCTGTCGGTCGATGTTTTCTCGAGAAATAAGCAGATCAGCAGCCAACACATGTACAAAATCCTACCAGAGCATGAAAGAAGCTCTCTGAGATCCATTTAGTGCTGCCGTGGAAAGAGGCCTCTTCCCAAGTTTGAGCTATGGCCAGCTCAGTTGAATCTGTTCAGATTGCGTTCTGGTAATATGATGACGAGATGCCGGCAAAGAATCGCCATCCTCTTTTGCTATAATAGCATTAATTAGAGCATCTTCAATCATTCATCGCGGTCTTTGCGCTTACATCAGTGAACATATGTGTCAAGGCTAGTTTCTGAAGGTAGAAGCACCCATCTTCGGCCGGGACATTTTGTCAATGAGCTTGCGATTATTCTAATCGATGGATCAACACTTCGCTCAGGCCGGGCCCATCCTCTCTATACCTGCTGACAGGCGCATCAAATTCCCCAGGAGCTGTATCGGTCGCTGCGTCGAGTCTGATGGAACGCCCAGGCACCACCACCAGTCAGTCTCATGCCAGTCTCGAGGCAGGCAGCGGCCTCTTCCTTCCGTTCGTTGCGGCAGACCAATTTCCCTAGTTCGGAAATTAGGGACGGCGTGTAATATACACTGCTTTGACACCAATCACTCGTTTAAGGCTTAAAGCGCAGCCTCTAAGACACAGAGTAGCGCTCTGAAAGAACGCCTGGACGTTGAGGGAGGCTGCTACATCGACGCGACTCGCAGTACATACAACGATGGCGTAATGTCCCGCGCAAGACGAGTCATGTAACGCGCCAGCATTATTTGAGCCCGGATCAACTGCAATGCCGACTTAGCTTGGCATTGGTATGCTATTTATCGTGCCTACACGTAGAGCATTTGGGTGGCTGGCTGGGCTGGGCTAGGTAATCTACGTGACACAAAATTAAAAGTAATCATGGTTACGCACGCTGCTCCAGTAGGTGAACAGCGACTTTCTATCCCGCCCATTTCTGAATGGCTTGAAGTTAGTAGTAGACAACGCAACTCAACAGAACTCCCTTTACCTAATAATCAAGCGCGCCATCAAGCTACGAGATCGTATCAATCGCTTATGTATTCAATCATGCGGAATCCATGCACGGCTCGTCTAATAAGAAGGCGCAGTCAATAGAGGGACAGGAGTCGTTACTCAAGCATAACTCCCTGACTGCTAACGGCTAGGCGGTTTTGACGGAGATTATAGCCTTCTTAGAGAAGTTATATGCTCTTGCCAAACGCGCAGAGGGAAGCAAATTATCATCTAATCGAGGCGTGTTGTCCGACTATTTAACGACCCTTAATACCCTTTTAAAGCACGCCAGGGAGTACCGTGACGACATTAACTTCCAGGCCCAAAATCCAGACCTTACCTCCTCCGGCATCCGCCAACTGCGTGTATGTATTGTCAACTGCTGGACGAAGCTTGATGAGTATTTTGTAATAATTAATAATACGCCAGCCCATTACGCCGCCATTGTTACAAATCCTTAAATAGAATGGAAGTACTTTAAGAGGTAGTGGAAGGACGCGCATTTGTGGAAGGATGCCACGCTCTCCGAGTTGTGGCTGCCAGGTGGCAAAAGGGCATCAAATTCGCTGTGGGAAGAGTACAAAAACTTGCCTGTGGCAGACCCGTGTACTGGTTTATACTTTCTTTACCTAAGTAAAGACCTATTTAAAGGTTAATATTATTATTAATAAAAACCCTTAAAGATTTTCTATATCAGAAACTAAAGCACCGATAATATAGCTTCACTTTTCTGCCGCTGTTGGCCCTACTTAGGCCTGGGCTTCGAAGGCCCTGGACTTGAGGTTTACTGCTACCCCACTCATTGTCAAGGGCATCAGTGGCAGAGATGTTCGCCGAAGATGGCCGAATAGCAATAATTTGCCCTTTTATGCATCATAGTCTCTTGAAATGCGAAACACAACTTGTTCTCGACGCAAAGCATCTCAAAACAGAGGCCCTTTTTATCCATGCTAGCTGGAAGTTTTCCCGATCCGCGGGAGCCTTACCACCATTCGGCGGCAGATTGCCGGCAGGTAGGGTAGAGTCTTGCTCAACGTATCTAAACTAACTAAGCCAAGTACCCATGTATAACCTGTTTGATACATAATTATACATACGATAGCGCAATTGGCATTGGGCGCCGTCAGGCATTTCGTCTTATACAACGAGGAGTAATCCGTAGTCAGCCTCAGCTCCGTGTGTGGGTGATTGGGCGGCGATACCCGGCTACCCACTTTGTGCTGAGGCATGGATGCACGATGATGTATTTGTTCTTTGTTCGGCTGGAATGCACTCGCAAACAAAATTTTCTCAAGCTTAGCACGCTGTCACGAACAAGTAGGGACCGTCGGACTCCATCCTCACATCCAGCCTGCGACGGACAACAGATGCAAGTTACGATGCCTCATCAACCAAGAGCTGTCCTGATCGTTACCGGTGCCTGGCATGTATCCGGTCACTATCATAAACTTGTTGCGGCAATTGAGGCGCGCGGTTTCCGCACAATCTGCGAGACACTCCCGACAAACAACAATGTAGTGCCGCCAAACACGACACTACAGGACGATGTCGACTTCATCCGATCCATCGTTGCCAAAGAAACGGCATCCGGAACTCACTTGACTGTCCTCGCTCACTCCTGGGGTGGCATGATCTCCAGCAGTGCCCTTGCCGACTTTGCTGTGCCGCGGGGCTCGACACAGGGTGGTGTCACAGACCTGATCTTTATGTGCGCCTTTGTGCCCCGCGAAGGCGAGTCTCTGTATGGAGTCTCCGGCAAACAGCCCCCTTACCTCGTCGACGAGAATAACATCATGGTGTGTCGTGACCCCTTGAAGCGTTTTTACAACGACCTCGAGCCCGAGGAAGCCGCGTGGGCTGAATCGTTGCGCGTGGCACATGGCACGGTAGCGCAGAACACGCCGCTCAGTGTGGAAAAAGTGGCTTGGCGCACTATCCCATTGAGCTACATCTTCTGCGAGAATGATGAGGCGGTGCCGCTCTCCTTGCAAAAGATGATGGTTGGCCGAGTTGAGAGCGACGGTATATCAGTCAAGCAGTACAGCCTCGCCGCCTCGCACAGCCCGTTTCTCAGCATGCCGGACAAGGTGGCCGATATAGTCGAAGAGGTGATGAACAGGGTGTCTGAGTAGACCAAGAATAATGTCTGGACGTCTTGCGAGCAAAGTTTCGCTCCGTTTCATCTATTGGCCTTGACCGTCGCAATCATTTGGAGAAGCTGTCTGGGAAGGTCGAGCCGCTTTCATTAGAAGAAGAAAAGGAGGAATAAAGGGCTCAGTTGTTATCCATAAATTCTATGCCCATTCACCCGCCAGTATAAGCAAGTTGATCTCTCTTCTAATGGTTCGATATTGTTCAACAGCGCTTGCAAGGTAGCAACACGGGCTTTCTGAGTCCGAAAGAGATCTGGTCGACAGATGAAGCGCATTTTCTTGGAGGCGGGAAAGATGTTGCACGCACATCGTACACACGTGTTGAGAATGCGATTTTTCGATGGTGTTGAAGGCTTGACTCGTGCATCGACTGGGAGCTGAATGCGAAGTGCATATTGAGTAACTGAACACTAGATCAAGTGAAGATCAGCCCATATGTAGAAGCACTCATAAATATGGGTAAAGACTAATAAACTCCTGGGGGCGGGCCGAGAGTAAGCCGTCGTTGGGGCTGGGAGGCGTTTCGGCTCCGGATTCAATGACACACACAGATCGAGGGTCACATGGGTTGATAGGTCCATCACAAACATGACATGGAATTGGATCCGGCCCCAAACAATCAATGTTCGAGGAGGCTTGCCATACTCTGTCAAAACACCTGGAGGAACAAGTGGACTGTGAGGAGTCTGCCCACTTAGTCCTTGTCGCTGATGGGCAGGAAGAGTTCCTAGCGCCGGGCAGCGTCGAAGCCTTTCTAGTCTCGCATTGACCCCGTATCCTCGTTTTTTTTTTCTTCTTTCAACTCAGTGTTATTGTGAGAAGCAATCAAGCGTCGGGGATTGCGAAAACATTCATGTACATTGCAGTGTTGACGAAGCGCCGATAGACACTCGTCCTTCCCGATGGTAGATAGATGCGCCATCAAAAGCCCAAAGACAATGTAACGAAGCCACTAGCCTTTCATTGGCGGAATTTCTTCACTGCCATAAGCACCGGCTAGTGCTGGAGAAGACATGGCAAACAGGTTTCGCAGCGCCTCGAGAGTTGGCAAGCATAGTCTCGGCGAGATATTGTTGCCTCTTCGTCTTTTTGGCCGTCTTTTTTTTTCTCGGGACTCGGGCTCTCGCTGGCTTGGTCGATTCAGCGAAAGGGTTGCAGTCAAATCGGAGAGCAACCCTCGCCCTTGCCGGTGAGGCTGATCAGCTGCATCGAGAAGGAAGATTACACGCTGCTATTCCCGGAATCCCGGGGGGCAGAATTGTGGTTGCGACCATCTATTTCTTTCTCTTGTTTAGCTTTCTTTTTCTTTCAATGTAAAGATTATTCCCACGAATCACGCGACACACGCGTTCAACGTGAGCCCTGGCCATTTTAATGATGCTTTGACGACCCTCCATGTCAGCGTAGCATCCGGACCTGGATAAGGAGCGCCCTCGCTTTCTCGAGGTCGTGCACAGAACAGGGCAGCAATGAGCATGCAAATGCCGACGTTTTGGGCTATTAAATTTCGATTTTTCTTTCTCAACGTGTATCGTCATTGATACTGAATCTGAAGTGGTCCGTGGAGGATCCTTGTCAACGGCGAGCAATGCCGTAACACCAGAGAGGGTATAAATAGACGCCAAGTCTGCCATCTTGAAGACGGTCTGTTTCTCGTATCAGTCAAGCTCTTTGCGCGGGAACCAATATCACCAAGCCTTCAACATGAGAACCACTGTTGCCGCCTGTGTCGCTGCCGCTCTGGCTGGCTTCACCTCTGCCTGCTCTACTCCTGGCAACTACAAGGTCACCTTCTACGGCTACCCCGACAACGACCCTCCCGGTCCTGCCATATCCGGCAACTGCGGTCGCGGCAACCGTGCCGGTGGTGAGTGACGCAAAGCGAAAGCTTGGCGACCGTCGATTTATATTCCGTGATGCTAACAGGTCTCCAGGTACCGGTACCTACGACGACCCCGTCACCATCGCTACCGCTCCTGGTGAGCTCAACCAGTGTGAGATTGTCTACCTGCCTTTCCTCACCAAGTATGGTCGCGTTGAGGACTACTGCGCCCAGTGCGGTAAGTGATACCATGCTCCAAGTGTCTGTCTCTGGAAGGAGGGTAGCTGACCGGGGTGTATGATAAGAGTCCGACTGGAAGCGCGGCCAGCCTCACATTGATATCTGGACCGGCTCTGCCAGCCGCAACGGAGGGCAAGCCCAGATTGACTGTGAGAACCGTCTCACTCCTGGTGGCCGCTACTCCATTGTTCGCGACCCTCCGAAGAACTACGGAGTCAATAGTGAGTCTGTCCCCACGTCGCGAATTGTGAGTCTGCCATACTAACATGGATCGAAGCTGCTCCTCTATTCTCTTCTCCAAACACCTGCAACACCGGCAACGTCTACCCAAACAATCCTGCTCACTGCTAAGAGATTGCACGCATACCAAAGTCTCGTCTCAGCATAGACTAGTACATACGTCCAACACGTGCACAATACTTTTGCGCACAATGAATAGACAAAGCTGAATTGAAGTCCATCATCGATGAGAGCGGTATCATGTGCCCGGTACCTGCCTTTTTTGGAACAGGTAAAGCTCTATAGACTCTTCCTCATGACCCAACACAGGCAAGCCTAATATTTGGCTGTCTTGGACACACCACTGGCTGTCCGCCATCAGGTCAAAGAAGGCTCGCTCCGATGCATGCCGCGGCTTCGTGGCTAGAAATACCTTTGTCTCAGTCGCTCCGCTCTTTTGCTTGGCTCTACTTGAGCTCTCGATAGCATTCAGAGTCTCTACCAGTGCCGGTAGCATGTCGACGTTGTAGGTGCAGTCGCTTATGATGATGAGATCCCAATGGCGAGATGCCACTTCATGGCCAAACCTCCCTTTTCTCCCATCTTCCCAATCAAGATTTTCGTAGAGTAGTGACATGTCGCGGCTCGATATGCTAGTAGCTATGTGCTGCATGTTCGACCTGGCCCTCTCCTCAGCCTCGTCCAGATCCGTCATCACGATTGTGCACTTTTCCAAGCCGTCTTTCCGCATTTCTGGAAATATTGTGGCAAGTCCAATACCCAATATCCCAACGCCGCATCCGAGCTCAAGAATACTGACCGAGACTTTTGACGAAAGGGTAGCCCTGATGGCTCTAGGGAGCGTCTGTTGGCTGCATTCGAGATTGGGGCAAAGATAGGCGCCGGCGATGGAGCACATGGCGAGCACGCCAGCGTCCCAGATATGCCGAGCTATGCTTTCGCCAATTTCCTCTTCAACTTGTACAATATACTTTGCAGGCCCCGCGTCGTCTAGCAAAATTCTTCGCGTTGACACATCGACGCCTTGATTTGAGCTACTCAGTGCTGCCCAAACTGGCATGATTTGCCCCTGCCCTTGGCTTTTCTCTGCGTGTGAAAGAATATTGTGTCCGCCATCTGCAGATATTTCTTTTCTCGCCAAGATGCAGATATTAATCTTGGATCCAGATGCCAGCGCGGCTTGCAGCGGCCTCGGGATTGCAATCTTTGGCTTCGCAACCCGCATACCAGATTGCCATATAATCTGACCCTTCTTGGCCAGATTGATTGTTATCGGGTCAGAGAACTCATTTATTTCTGCGGTAATTTGCAAATCAAGTGGCACATCTGGTTGAAGAAATGAGTCGCCGAGATCAGTGGTGATGGTGAAAAGCAGTTGGAGATGAAGGCCGGCCTCTCGAGTGACCTTGGGCGGTCGAAGGAGTCGAATGTAGTGCATGATGTTTTATTTCGGGAGACAAGTTCTACCTGACGAAGGAGCCATAACCAGACGCATGTGCCGCATGTGCTAGTTATCGCAGAGTCGAAATCGAGCCAGACATGGTGACCAGAAGTTTTCAACCATATCATGGCTTAGTCATCTTACCTGCGGCGGCGTAGCAAGCAAGGAGAAGGTCCCAAGATGATTCGTTTCTTGGTGTTTCTCTCGAGAAAACATGTTTCTGTACATTGACTAGTTTGAAATAGTAAACTAGTTTGATTCTGTTGAATTTTAGCTTTTTCCCGCCAGTCATCGAGATAACGTGGCAGCCGCCGGAAGCCGCCGTTGATACACCACCCCTCTGCGGTGCTCGCCGTCTTACAGGTCATGATAAGAGCCCTGTTTACCTGACTGAGCGCAACTATTATTATATACCGATTGAAAATAGATGCAGAAAAATCATTCATCATGTCCCTCAACTCCAAAGCCCTTTTGCGCAGACTTCTTGAGACTATTGAAAATGAAATCATTCCAAAGACACAAGACGGCGTTGCGTCCGGCTCCAAGGTCTTTGGAGCCGCTATCCTGTCCCGACACGACCTGAAGCCGCTGACTGTCGCGACCAACAATGAGCGGGTGTCACCGTTGCTCCACGGCGAAATCAACTGCATCCAGGAATTCTTCACCAAAGACTTTCCTGACCCGGCCGACCGCCCCGACCCGCAGACGGACTGCCTCTTCCTGGCCACGCACGAGCCCTGCAGCCTGTGTCTCAGCGGCATCGCGTGGTCGGGTTTCCGAGAGTTTTACTACCTGTTCACCTATGAAGATAGCAGGGACTTGTTTGCCATTCCACACCACACGACATTGACATATTGCAGCAAGTCTTTCGTGTCCCGGGCACGGAATCGGAGGAGCTGGTTGCCAGGCGTCCGCTGTATAACCGAGAGAATAAGTTTTTCAGGGGCCATTCTTTTCGGGAATTGGTAGAGGGTCTGGAGACGGAGGGTGAGAAGAAACATTGGCTGGCTGAGATGGAACGCGTGAAAGCTCAATACAATTCACTTGGTGAGACATATCAGGCAGGCAAGAGAGCCGGAACGCAGACATCTAGCACCTGGAAATAGCATATGGTTGCAAATGAATATATCGAGGTAGCATAACTGAGATGCCAGATTTTGAGGACTCGTGCAAATAGTGTGGCTTCATGCCAAATCTTGAGAAGGTGTGTTGGGTGTGTTTGGCATGTCAATACTATAATGACAAGCTTGGAGGTTGTGGGGTTGACCACAGGAATTTAGACCAAGTGGGAGTTACGTGAGACTAATCAGTACAGCTGGTATTTCTTCCCGCTGATACATACTAAACAATCTGATTAATGATTTAAAAGATTGACTTCAGAATGCAGTGCGTGATCGCCTTTGCATCTCATGTCCGCATTCTCCGCTGGCCCCGCTTGGCTGGAAGGCGATGTCGCCATGCCGAAACTCCAAGAATTAAACACGGTCGGAGTTTCGAATGCATCAAAATAAGTTACGTGCCTCTGGGCTGGCCATCACCTTTTCATCTCAGGCAACCACCATGACGAAAGCGCAAGGGCGGCAGTCATGGAGATGTGGGACAGTATTGTAATCACTCCGCCGCCGCGGGCCGAGGGCGAGAGCAAAGAAGCTTTGCAGCAATGAATCGTTATATATACCAAGACAAATTCTTCTCGCATTAAACTCATCTAAAACATCCAGTCATAACACCATATCAAATCCAAGAACAGAAGTCAGGCAGCAGAGTCGCATCACCGCAGCCAAATGTCATCTCGCATCTCCGACTTTGCGCCGCTCAAGCGCGCCGCCACGCGCGACTCCCTCGAGCCGTGGCTCAAGTCCGTCACCATTCTGTTTGGAAGCAGCATGCTCGTCTTCTTCCTACCCATTCTCGTGCTCGTTCCGCTGCGCGTGCCAATACCGCCCGTGCTGGAGTCGCTGCTGCGCTGGGGCCCCGGCGGCGCCGAGCAGTACGAGGAGATGATTGCCATCATCTACATTGTCTGGGGCGTTTTTCTTTTACGCGCGTCCGCGGACCCGTTGCGACACGCGTTGTTTCTCGACTTTACCGCGTGCGCCAACGTCGCGCATATTGGGCTCATGACGCTCATGGCCGTGGTCAACGGGGGCGACCGCATCCACCTCGTCGGCGATGTGCTGGCAGCGTGGCTGGTGCTGGGCCCATTCCTCTACATATGGAGCTCGGTGAAGAGGGAGCGCAAGTCTCTGTTGCAGAGTTGAGGGCTCTATAAGGGGGGAGGTTGACGGACAGTGCGAGAACTTGCTTTATGATTGAGGTGTTGGCAAGGAACTTGTTTCATCACGAATTATTGGCCGATTCGCTTAGTTGACCAATCTATTTTCTTTATGCACGTTACATGAATATGTTGCCAAGAAATAGTACTATTTTTTTTTCTTGTTTGCTTTCTACAAGTAAATGTAAAATTTTGGAAAAAGAATCTTTGTATGTATCAGCTCGTTAAGAAAAGTCGTAGCAAGCCAGAGACTATCAACAGTTATCCTTGAAAGGACTATCGGACGCGAGAAACTCGTTGCGTCTGTAAAAGTTGTTTTTGTTTCCGAGAAAGTTGTCCAGCCCAGAAAACACCAGCATCGAGAAAGTCTTCCTGGCCGTTCTGGTCAAAACTAATTCAGGTCAAAAGAAACCGCTCAGGTCAAGAATGCTCGGGTCAAAACCGCTCAGGTCAAGCATGCTCGGGTCAAAACCGCCCGGGTTAAAACCGTTCGGGTCAACACCGTTCTGTCCGGGATTGACAGGCCCGTTATTGCCGTTGTCAACATCATCGCCGTCCTGCACGGGAATGAGACCAGGTTCAGTCCAGGGAGTGGGAGTGCCCTGGGGAGGATTGCCAACACTAGTAGGAGTCCCAGTCCCGGAAGGAGTACCAGGCGGGGGATTCACAGCAGTTCCGGGAGGAATCTCAGGCCCATTTGGGCCATCCTTCCCGGGAGGGCAATCTTCCCCGGGAGTGCAATCTTCCTCGGGAGAGATACTAGGCCCGGGAGGGGTACCAGTTTCGGGAGGAGTGCCGTTCTCGGGATCAGTTCCAGTTCCGGGAGGGATTTCATCACCAGGATTGAAACCATCACCAGGATTGAAACCACCTGGAGGATAGAAACCACCTCCAGGAGAGATACCGTCCTGACCGTCCTTCCCGGGAAAACTTCCAGGAGGGTTTCTTCCTCCCGTACCCGGAGCCAACATATCTTCATGGCTGCATTTCAGGTGAGCAGCCTTGCTATATCGTGTGTAGCTATCTGCATTGTTCAGACTGCTGGCGGAAGTGATTTTTTCAATTTCTACCATGCCATAGCACTTGTCATCGGTGTCGCCCCAAGAGTGTGACATCTCATGCAAGAGAACATCGCCGAGATCTTGGCCGCCGCAACTGTCGTCCGTCTCTTTAATGTCGCAGAGTGTGATTGGATTCGTTCCGGCTCTGGCGTTGCTCCATATCGTCGTTACTCCCGCATCTGTAGGCCCGCACTTACTGCCTAGGCAACTGAGAGGCGTAATGCCCTTGCCCATTTTTTCGCATTCATCAGCAATCTGGGTGAGGTGTTGTGAAACGACGTCGCGGGCTCGTTGATGGGTGGTCTTGAAAACCGCCTCGAAAATATCATCCTGTTTGCTATCTTTGCAAGCTGCCGCGCCGCTGCGAGCTCGTTCGGCACATTGCTTGTAAGCCCTTTGAACATCTTTTTGGAATCGTTCGCATGAGCTATCGACGCCTCGCTTGTCAAACAGGGCCTTGTCTGCATCTGAACCTCGAATGACACATGTCTGGGAGTCCGGCCCCTTGGTCAAGTCTTCAGATCTAATGGCTCCATATCTACCGTTTAGTACGGCGCATGAAGCTTGTTGCACCAGTGCAAAAGAAAGTAGGTCCAACTTCATGGTTGCTCGCGTGAAAGAAAGAAATGAAATGAAATGAAAAGAAATGAAAAGAAATGAAAGAAATGAAAGCAAAAAAGAAAGGGAAAGAATGGAATGGTCAACAAACTACAGAATGCAAGCCTACAGTTTTGCGATGCCTTATATATAGCACGAGACAAAGGGACGTGAAAGGCACATGATATCTGCCAACGGCATCTGAGTCGTGCATGTCCACGGCCATCGCCAACAACAAGGACGGTTCAGGAGCTTTCTGCAATCACTTATCGCTTGACCAAGCTTCATGTAAAGTGGCGAGTTCACTTGGTGGAGATTGACTGGCTAGTATTCCCTGTTTTGTAAATTACGTGATGCCATGATAATGAGATGAACTCTCGTGAGATAGGAGAGGACGCAGGACTCGGCCGTGTTCTTTGCATAATTCAAGCATAAACAAAAGAAAGGCCACTAACACAGGCCGATTCCCTTTGGCAGTGGATCTGCAAACCTCAAACCTCCGACTCCACTGCCAAAGGGGATAATCTAGGTATTACACTCTAACTATATATCTCCGGATACTATGGGAGTAGTTGAGTAATAATGCTGAGAAACCACCTACCTAAAAGAGCTAGTTGGTGATTCTTTGGTCTTGTTGGTGCGACCAAAGTCCCGCCCAAAGAGTGGCTGGAAGTCCGACTCGACGAAAAGCCCCTATAATTTACTCCGAGAAAGTCTCCGCTCGTTCCTTTCTCGACCTTTAAAAATAAAAGCCCGACGGTGGCGGTAATGTCAGAACTTGTGGCTGACTTGAAGCCCTGCGCTGTGCTACTACCGTTGAAGGCTCATGTAATAAAAGCTGTACTACGAAAAGGGCTTTACATCATAAGTGAGTTGTTCAATTTTAAAAACTTGCTTCAATCAATTCAACTTCACTTCACTGATGGACAAAATATTTCCGACGTAAAAATCCACGACTATTTCGTCCCGAGATGCCCCCGCGATCCTGTAACGTTTAAGGAGGTATAGCGCACAAGATATAGGGGATGGATAGATGGCTCACAGCATGCGAACCCGCCCTAAGAACCCGGGAAAGGTGGATACTGTTGACTAACCAAGTTGCCAAGTTCTTCTAGCTTATCCGTATGGTCCTTTTTAGAGACCTTCAACTCTCCACCATTACCTGACGTCTTGTACAAAATAATCCTGGTGCCCCGTACTCAAGTTTCAGTCTCACATCACGGCTTTGGATATAGTGCCGTCTGCGCAGGCTTGAACTCTTGGTTTTTTATGCGTCCGCCCTACATTTACTCATGTGTTTCGTCGAAACGACGGACGATGCATTGTTTGCAGCTTGTCGGTCGTTCATTGTTTCCTTCAGGGAGCGGCTATGACTTCCAATTTCGTCCAAGGGCATTGAGCAAGGCGTTCTTGTTGCTGAATCACTGCTTATTTAGTGATTCGCCGAATATCGAATCCGGAGTTCAGCGATTCATTCAAGAGGGTCGTCAAGCCAACCCAGGAGCATCATTGGGCAGCTCCGAAACACGCCAGGTGGCGCGAGGATCAAGGAAAACTTGAAAGCTGAATTGGCAAAATACTCATAATCAAATTGCTACACGAGCTCTTGGTTAGCGGCTCCGAACGCTCACCGCGCCAGGCATTAGGCGGAGAGCCAATTTAGCTGCCACGACCCTGAGCAAAAGTAGGCTTGGCCAGAAGACTTGGTACTGTAATTCCTGCGCCTTCTCAGGGCTTTCCATGGTAGAGAACCAAGCCATTTCCACACAAGCACTGGGCATGTGCTGTTGAGCATCCAATAGCCAAATTGACCAGCAAGTTGCCATCGACAGGCTCCTTTAGCAGCAGACTTCGAGACAAGAAGGTCATGGCATTGAACAAGGCAGCCACCCTCGAGTTTCCATCTACGGCGTGGTATACAAATCAGGAGAGGACAATCCTTTTATCGTGCAAAGCGTGCCGTATGGCCCTGGTGAGTGGCTAGCATGGCAGGCCGTGCTTCATACCGTCCACCGCATGGCTCTGGCTTGAGTCACGTAGAGTCGTGGGCAGGTTCCGAGGCTATCAGACACAGGCTTCTTGTCCCACACGCAGACTCTAGCAGACAAACTTGCAGCTTCAGTCACTCGGATACAATTTGGTATCGACCCCTATTCTTCCCCAAATCAGCAAAGTCTTCCGGCTTTTGTGGCCTACTATATCGGCGATGAGAGTAGGGATACGCAAGGCTTTGCTTGCTCTACAAGAGCTCACAGGCTCGCACAGTGGCGTCTCTGCCCGAGGTGTTTGCCCCAGGTCAATGACTCTAGTATGGAGTGTGCGATCAGATTGAATACTTCACCTCGTACAACGCGTACAACAATGGTACAATTGCTGCGCACTCTCACAAACAGCTAGGCATTCAACCCAGCTCACTGCCAGCCACACTGTCATGAACAGATCATTGTCCCGGCCGTGCAGGTATCATTGTTCGTAAAGACGGATGCCTCCGACGAGGCAATACGTCAGACGACACAGGCCTGTCCCGCAAGGGACCGTGACATCTGGACAAGAGGGCTGGAACAGCATACGCCTGACGAGAATGTGGACAGCTTAGACGCCACACAATCTGGAATCTCACCAACGCAACATCATCAGGCTTTCTTGCAGGGGCCGGACGTACGGCCCGCAAAACAATTCGACAACAGTTTGTCCTCGCCGTATGATCCATGTTGCTCTCAATCACGCAAGATGTCCAGCACTTGTCGCTGACGACAGATGCTCTGACAGTCATATCGGACTCGATTGTCATCGTCCCTAGCACTGGCAGAGGCTGCAAAAAATACATTTTTTTCTAAAGCTATTCTACAAGCTTACCAAAGACGCAGTGGTATGAGTTTCATTAATTGAAGTCGGTCGCTCCATAGGCTATCTAACACGCACAACAGGGTTGTCATGCAGCGGTACCCCGACAACGTCACATTGATCGACCGAATTATGACGAGTTGGCACAGGCTCGTCGATTACTTCACCCTTCCGATGATGGACTGACATGTGCAGCTGTCATTCTGTTCGGTCTCAGCCTCTCTGGCTGGCGCATATGACAAGCTCGAAAGGACCAAGTTCAGTATATTGAACCGGCGATCCAAGCTGTGCGTACGCTCTGAGAAGGCTCGGAGGCTTCAAGCCAGAGAAAGAGAGACCGTAGCAGGAAGATTCTAGTCTGCACGAGGCGTACAGGGAGACGAATCTGTCAGTCCTCATCCACTCGCGATGACTTTAGTCGATTCATCGAAAGGCAGTGCTTTTTTGCTGCCGTTCGGTCTCGGCCCATAAGCGCGCTGCCAGCACCGACGGCCGCGACAGAGCCAGCAGAATCTGAGCCAGCTCTTACGGTAGCAGACGGGCTGCCCCGGTCGCGGCCTCCTGTGTCATCCTCTCCCGCCGACACTGTCTCTGACAAGGATACTCCTAAAGGTGGGAGAAAAGTAGAACCTTATCGTTTTAGAACCCTCATTTCAGTAAGACTTTTCAGCTATATGTTGTGATAGCTGACGAAATTCCGAGCAACAAGTACAAAGTGTCCATATTGAACCGATTTGTTGTGAGTGTTGCGGGGATTTATGTGTGTACTTTTGTGACTCCAGCCTATAGCAACTAGCAAGAACCTCAACAATCAAGCAAAACATGGACAAGGAACAGATGAAGAAAGCTCAAGTATCCTCGGGGTAAAGGAAAGGCTTGATATTCAGCTGTGGAAAAAAAAAGAAAAAGAAGAAAACAACTTGGCCAAACAGGTGTCAAGAAGCGTACGACGGCATAAACCTTCGCTACGGACGCACGCCTCAAAGCTGGCTTTCATCTTCGAGTCCTTATCCTTGAGGTATCACTAAAAAGCAGGCACCCTCATAATGCAAACCAAAGGCTTTCGTGCCTTACATGGCATCGATATAAGGCATAGGGTACCGGAGATCTGCGGAGATGGAAATGTTGGTATGTTGGACGCCATATGCTCAGCTGGGCGCTTCACCAATGACGATATCCCGTGCATTTGCCAAAAGAAAAGTAGAAATGATCGACTGTGGTATTTGCGGGTAAAAGGTTCGAGGTATTCAAGCCCAAGTAGGATGCGCACGAAGACGGCCGGGCCTGCGTGCCATCACGAGCAAGCCTACTGAAGATTGTGGTTTCAACACTGCAACATATTAGTGGCCTTTTTAGTCTGAAGAGACTTCTTCTGTCTCGCTTGGTAATACGCAGTGGCTTTTGCGACAGGACTTTTTACAACCGTGCTGAAGGATAGGAAGCGAAGAGCTGATGTGTCAGAAGAAGCACCGGAGTATCGAGGCGAATATTTAAAACTTGGCCGCCATTTCAGGCTTTTCTTTGAATGAATTCTCGACCACGTTCAGAACTAATCCATACTCAAACTGCAATTACTTTCCATGAGACACAAGAGCATATGGCGAAATTTGAAGAGTAAAATTTAGGGAGCCCTGCACGTTCAAATTGACTGCAGCGTGCATACCAGTAATAAAAGTGATGGCTTGCTGCATGGCTTACTATAAAAAAGCCACATCCATGCGCCCAGCTCGTTACACTGGTTCGGCGGCAGCTGCTAACTGATGGTGGTCAAGCCCCAACTGAGCACGAAAAAACAACAACTACTTCGTAGGCCCTCGGTTTCGAATCGAAGAGTTCGTAATCATCTCAAAAGCAAAGTTTGGCGTGTGGGGGGGGAGGGCGCGAATCGCAAAAGTACCTGGATGCTAAATTCCACGTCGAGAAGCAAATGTCGAGCACTTTTCTTTTTTTTGTTGGCAAGACATTTCATCTTTAGTCTAGAACGACAGCTGAAATCCAAGAAAGTCAACTTGAATGGTGAGCTGAATGATTCGTTGTGACAGCAAGTCGTTGGCGCCGAATGTAACAGTGACGTGCATCACAAGATATGCAGGATGCATCACAGCGCTGCACACCACCTTGATCCGTGATTATGCGACATGTATCTAAAAGCAGGCTGCAGGTGGCTTAATTACATGACAGTATGAATCAAGACAAGAATTAGCTCGGACTTGTCCGGTGAGTGACAACACCAAAAAAAAGGCAACCTGCAGAAAGTGATCTCGCCTTGCCTGCACTTGATGCACGCTCGCCTTCGTATGACGACGCTGTTGAATAACTTTGAAGATCAACCTGACGTGCATGCTCAGCATGCTCAGCATGCACCGTAATGCCCCCTTTCAATGACATATGCAGTGCTAGCGTGAGGGTTTTCTCAAGGCGTCATCATTCATGTACGAATATCGAGTACGCAAAACGCTCGAGCTGCAGAGTCAAAGCCGTCATCAAGTCATGCATTCAGCGTCTCCATGCTACAGAGTGAGCTCAGGACAAGGAGCCATGGCAGAATCGGTTGCGGAGCCTCAACATCCATGCGGACTTTCGAACAGGCAGTCTTTATTTTCCCCTCCCCTCAACTGATCAGCAAACGGACCTGGCAAGTTATGCAGGAGATGGCGACCACGCGCGAATGCTACTGTAGCCACGCAACTGGGTCCTCAGCGGGTTTCCCGAGAAGGAGGGGGAAGAGCAGGTATCGAGAAGAAAAGAAAATAACACTTTGGGGGTTCTGCCATAATTTGATGAAAAATACTTCAAAGGGGGCGGCAGGAAAAAAAAAAGTAGGCAGGTGTGGTCCGACCGTGCCGAAACACGCAATTCCTCAAAAGGACAAAGAGAATCAAATTGTGTAACGCGCCGGGTCTGGTGTTGAAGCAGACGGTAAAGAACAAATTCCCTCCGCAGTTCGCACCCAATTCGTTCGCCAGCCTCCTGCCTCTTTCATCGCCTCCGGCCAGCGGTCAGCCACAGGCTAGCCGGTCCTATTTCCCTCCGTAGTATGATGATTATCAAGAGGAGGTGGTTGGGGAGGCAATCGACAAGGTATTAGCTAAGTTGCCCGTGCAGTATGTATCCGTAATCCTCGTTGTACAAAAACTCCGCTCCATGTGCCTAGCCGCAGACTCTAGGTCAAAAGATTGTTGTGAGAAATAAGTAACCCGATTCAAGGCCGTTCACCGCATTACACAACCTGAACTGTAACTATTCAAAGCTCAAAAAGCTACAGAGTATACACAGCCATGAAAGGTCAGAGGAGGCTGGTCCCGGTTCAAAAAGCAAAGACATTGTCCAAGAGGCCTCTGAAACATCGACGGGAATCAGATGGCCAAGTCCTCCGTAGAAAAACCTGTTTTTTACACACCGTCTCTCGACATCACCAAAGAAAACAAGCCAATACTTTCTTTTTTTAACGTCACGCCCTTTCCCACCTCTCAGCCTCATCATCTGCACGTGTCCGCCCAGTCTCTCCCCGTGCCAATCCATCTTGTTCTTCTTTGTACGGATAGGGCTGTGGGACTGGGGACGAGGAATGTAAAAGAACAGGAAGCAAAGAAAGAAAAAGAAGCAGGCTGGCAGTTCGGAACGGCACAGCCGACACCTGATTGTCTCACTCTGATTGGACGCGACTCAAATTCCGCCTAGGGGGGGAGGGGGGGCGCCGCCGGGCAGCTGGGTCGCGACATGCAGGCGCTCTGGCAAGGGAGAAGGAGGGAAATGGGCAACGTACGATTCTAATCTGTTTTTTTTTTCCGGATTATGCCAACTTTAGAATAAGCCATGATCAGACAAGGACTATCATTCTTGTAATGGCCGTAGGGCATCGGCGCACAGAATGCTTGTCCTTGGAGACGGTGGCCGTCGGCTAGAGTCATGGCGTGCAAGATCTTAGTGTTCGTTCATAGGTAGTGTCATGCTGACCTGTAGCAATACTACGCTATCGGGCAATGCACTCAAGGCTCCATTATTAGCCGTTTCGGAGGACGGTAAGCTGAATTTGGGCCAACGGCTGGGGGCGGTGGCGTACCAAGTCAATTGCGAGAGTGGAATTATTATGGTTTTAAAAAAGTTTTCTTGTTATCAAAACATCACTATGTGGACAAGGTTGGTCAATGTTAAATATTTAATCTTGTATATTTTGATAATTCAAACTATAAATCTCGGGCATAAATGCTTCACTAGGCGAAGCGATATTATCAGTGTAGAAAGTCTTCTCTCGCAAAACGATACTCTTCCAGTCTATAACAAAAAATCAAAACCGACGTTTCTTTCCCAGCGTACTTCGTCGTATCTCCAACGACAGCCGTGGGTATATCTAAAAAAATTCAGTAAGACAAGAACATAGTTGACACCAAGCTTGGTGTGCTGCGCAGCGCGCGCTTTCCGGTGGTAGTACAGGTTGCCCTTGCATCCCATCTTGCGCGTCGTGCCCCGTGTCTAATAGACCCTGATATCCAGAAAAGGAAGACAATGAATAGGAAATAAAGCAAATACTCCGGGGTATAAGTTTGGGTATCCAGGCGTGCTCGATCCACGGATAAACAAAAAATCAGATTAGTGTACAGTCTGACAGTGCCATTTCCTGGGTGTTGAAAGGTTCCATATGGTTCGTTGCTCAAAGGTCAAGAGGTTCCGAGATCCAAATGGTTCGAATGGACAGGTAAAGGAATAGAAAAGGGAAAGTTCCAGGGAGCCGCGGATATAACACAGGCTTTGGGTAAATTCTCCTCGGAGTGTGAGAGAGCCGTCTTCAAGGTCCAATCCAGGCATTTATCGGGTGGGGTTCCGGACAATGTCATCACAATTGGCATCAAAGCGGAGAATAAATAGACGAATGCTCTGCATAAACTTGTCTGTCTGTTCGCCCTCGCGGTCGGGACCGAAGAGAGTATGGACAAACTCGATACCAGAGCTCTTGCCCAGACCAGACTGGCGCTTCTTGGCCGCCTTGAGCATGGGAGCCTCACAGGCCTTGAGAAGAGCTCGCAGCTTCTCCATGAGACGCTCGCCTGATTCGACAAAGTCTCCAAGCAAGTCGCGGCTTTCGGGGTTGCGAACACTGCCAATGACGTTTTCAGTGACCTTGATCTTGGAGTTGAGCTGGATCAGAAGCAGCCATAATTCACCGGCAATGTCGGCAATGGGAGCGCCACGGCCTTCACGATAGACAGTCCAATCAAAGATCCACTTGCCTAAGCTGTTGAAGTCAAAGACACTGCCGAGCAGGAGAATGGGTCGCTCCTCGGGATCCCAATTCTTGAGAGCATAGCCAGCAGGTATCCTGTGGCGCTTTGCATCGGCCTCGGTTGCCTTGCGGGGAGCAGGAGGCTCATCTGGGTTGGGCTTTGTCTTGTGGGAGCTCTGGGGGCGTGCAGTAGAGGGGCGTTTGGGGGTAGCCATGGAGGAATGGCGGGAGTGGCTGAAGCTAGTAGGGGGACGGGTCTGGAAACGCGGGCTCTGAGGCGACTCGCGAGGGGTGAAGCGGTCGGGACCAGGCGTAGCAGCGCCGCCATAGGTAGGGTAATCGTAGCCATTGTGATAGTAGTAAGATGGAGGCTGCTGGGTCTGCTGATAATCATGCTCATTAGTGTACCGCCCTCCGTCATGATATCCATGGTGATTGTCGGGGCGTTGGCCGGTGCGGCGGCGTGATTGACCTGGCAAGATGTAGGTACCTGCCAGCGTCTCGATGATCTCGTCCTCGTCGGATTCTCCATAGGGAGTAGAAGCCCGGACATGGAAATACGAGTGTCTGCGATCGCCCCGCGAGGGAATGTGGAACGAAGCCGAAGGCCGGCGCGACGACGAGAAATGTTTGGGACTCACATCAACATCAACCCTGGCGGCGTAGACCCCATCGCTGGTGTATCGCGGCGAGTCCCCCCACGGATGAGGACTGTAGACGGGCGGCTGCGGGCGGACTACCTGCGGGTGAGGCGGGAATGGAGAGCGCTGAGAGTAGCTGGCAGCCCGTCCGTGAGCGGCACGCGTGGCAGGGCGAATGGGCGTCGTCGGGCTGTCGAAGGTCCAGTCTCGTCTCGGCGAAGGGGTGGCAGAATAGTCGCGATAATCGCGATCATATTGGGGTGTAGAGCCCGGCGTCATTGGCGAGGGAAAGCTCATGTTGTTTGCTTGCTATGCAGCTTTGGTTGGGGAGGGTAGTTCTTTTTTTTTTTCTTGGATTTTAAATTTTGAAAATCTTGACTGATGCCCGCAGGACATCTACTCCCTGGCTCTCATCCAACAACTACCCGTTGAGGGTGGGTGTGGTGATGTTGTTGCTCAAGCCGGATGCGTCTTTTCGAGTGCAATTGGAGTCGTTGTCATGCAGGTGCCGGGGCAAAGTCGGCCAGTCACCTTCCTATGTCGTGAGATGTGTATTGATGAGGAGAGGTGTTTCCTGTTGCAAACATGACAGGCCTGGTGTGATTTTATCAATTGATTTCCCCGTTCGAGGAAATACAAAGCCAAGTTCCGAAATGGACCTGACGGGCAGTGAAAAACGGTCGAGGCGCCGGGGCTGGCAGTAAGTCAGCGCAGTCGGAAAGCGACGTGAGTAGCGATGGAACAGACGTAGCTAAACGTCTGCGTCGTGAAGAAAAAGAGCGGCCGGGAGCGAGTTGTATAGTGAATTGGTTGTTGGCAGAAGCCAAGAGTGGTACAGAAGAGGAGAAAGAAGAGAGGGGGTTGGAGGGAGTGCAGTGAGGATATGTAGTTATATGCTGTGTGTGAGGGCGTGGACAGGTAGTGGGTGGGCCTTGGGGGAGGAGAACCTAAACATCAGCCACGACGCCAGGACGGGCCAGGATGGGCAAGGACCAGGGGACGGGGGGGGGGGGCATTAGGGGGCATGGGGGGTGTTTAGGGGGGGTGGCAAGCAAAAATCAGGCCGACCCAGCCAAACCAGCCCAGGCGGGCGTGCAGGGGCCGAGCAGTAGTCAAACAGAAAAAAAGAAAAAGGCAGTGTCCAAGACTCCAAGTGGTTGAGGGGGTGTCATTCAAGAGAGGCAACCATCTGGCCAGATGCTTTTTATTTCGGCAGCCAGCGCGGGCCAAGATATCGCACAAGCACAGCACGCCCTTGTATTACCAGTAATAATACTCCGTAGAAGAAGAAAAAAGGACAACGCTAGTGGTGTGCTGAGCCAAAGAAAAAATCATGCTGTCTTTCATCTTCTTGTCCCTCGTGCCCTGTTTTCTTTTTTATGCTGGGCTGGATTGACTCTTTCTGCTGCCTACCTATTAATTTGTTTCAAAAAGTAATTTTTTTTTTTTTTCTCTTCTGTGTTTTGCTTACAAACGCGCAGCTTCCATCACCATCTAGTAGGCCCTGGGCGCCGCTGGAAGCCCGGGAACGTTTGACTTTGCACTAATAATTAGCCAGCCACTGACTGCGCCAGCCTCTTCTTTATTATTATTATTGCTGCGCACAAGCCACACAGCTGTTATGGAATCCATCGTCTTGGCTATTGGTGCCCTGTGCGGCCCATTTGCAGAGCACTGCAATTCTTGCAGAATGCCAGCAATAAACAACATGGCAAACGCACAAATTTTATTATTTTGGCAAATGAAAAATAGAAAAACTTGGAGCCATACCAGCATAAATTCCAGACAAAATCTCCCTTTTTTTTATACCCCTTGCCCGCCCATCCATACTGCTGACAATGCGCTGCCTCTTCTAGCATTGCTGTTTGCCAGTCGGCAGTCGCGCACCCACGCCTACCTGCCTACGGAGGTACCTATTCGCTTACTCGCTACACATCATGCCTGGCTCTGCCTACCTACCTAGGTAGCTAGGCTTGCTACCTAGGTACCTTAGTAACTACGATACTCCTCAAAAAAGAAATTTCCTTTCCCTCTTCCCAATGACACATCGTTGAGCGAACCGCATTCACAGCTCAGTCTTCAGCCTATCTTTTCACCTTGATTCATCATCGTTCCTTGTCATTATTCCCTGCGCTTCCCTGCGCTTTCTGGAATCCCAGTGACGTTTACGAGCAGATACGCTCCACGCTATTCCAGGGCTGCCTGCGAGAAAACTCTGCCCCCAGCCCCCGTCAATGGAGTCCAATTACCACCTATCAGGGGTCAACCGAAATGACGGCTCCAGTGTCGAGCCGACCTTGTCTATTTAGCGGCCGGATGCACCAAGATCTCACTTCCGCGACCAATGCAAACAAGAAAACTCTGCATTCACAATTGATGGCCTCATTCTCAATCATGGGTGCCTTGCCTCCCGGCCAGATCGCACCGTCTCGTATAAGATACCAATACCACTCTGTAATAAGCTCGAAACTTGACCCTGATGAGCGGGCATCCCTCGCACAAAGGCTTCTGCTCGAGTACGGATACGGGTTGCTGCCAATTCATCTTTTTTACTATCGCCGCAGATGAGGTTTGCCACTACAAAATCCGAATTATTACTCGAGCGCGCCATTTGCAAGCAATACGGTATAACCCATGACCAACGTTATTGCTGCATCGAATTCCTACTACGAAATGGACTAGCTTGCCCCGTAGTCATTCAAGCAGCCACCAGCTTGTATCCGTATAGTCTGGTTCTTGTGCAAGGCTACAATCCTTTTTCCATTCTCGCAGCATTCGATATTTTCATGCAGCAACCTGGACGCATATGTTTACTCACATCTGTCTCTCAGATCGCCAGACGTACACCGATCGTTAGTTGCCCAAAATAAGCGCTCCCGGAAAGTCAGCCTACATGCTGGCAAAGACAGCCCGTTGCAGCTTTTCGAGGGGTTTGCTGTCACATGTGTGCACCAGGTGGTGGGTGAGCAAGACAAGGCGCAGTGGCGCCGTATATCGGCCCTCATTGGGCGCACTACAACAGCAACCAAAAGGACAAGCTACGACTCAAGTCATTTGCATGAGCTCACGACCAGAGTAGCACCTTGTCGGCCCTGACTTGTCCACGTTCCATCATCTGCCGATTGCAAGTTCATGACTCGGCGGCCGTCAGGGTCGCCACACAGCTCCCAAGCGCCCCAACAATCCGTCTGTACTTTTACGCTGCGTCTGCTGCTAAGACAGGCGCCTCCTGCCTGGGCGAATAGGGTGCTTTCCTGCAGCAGTTCATATATCCAGAGCCACATTAATGCACTGTTAGCAGCATGCAATAACTTGTCTGCGTTGCAGCACAGATAACCAGTTGCAGCGCAGATAAGTCGCTGATACGGACGCCTACCGAACATATTGCAGCTCATCATGTGAGCGAAGCATTACCGTACACAACGCTCCTTGATCCGCAGTCATTTTCGTACACATGTCGCTCACTGCCGGCTACGGAGTACACAGCGGACTGGTTTGCCTCGTCTCAGCCACTCGCTTGCCAATACGGGCCGGCGCGCGACACTCCAAACAGAGATGAAAAATCATTCACACACAAGTATCACCAATAGACCTACGCGTCCAGATGGTGAATTGCGCTACACATCCATCTCGAAGCTCCTGCAACTTCGGGTTTGGTGGAGTTTTAGAGTTCCACAGCAAGCGGGAACCCGCACCCTCCCGCTCTCCGCAGGATGCTAACGCAGTAGTTAGTGGCAGCGGCCCGCCGTGCTGGACGATGAGCGATGCCCAAAAAGAATGCCTGTCACTTGTAAGTTGTGTGTGTGTGTGTCTGTTTGTTTCTGTATAACAAGGTAGTTTCGACTCGAGTTGAGGTTCGTATACCAGCTCTCGACGCATCATGAGCACTTGGCATGGTAGTGGGAGCCAACATTTACCAGGATGCAAATTCTATTTATTTACCACATTACCGGAATTTCATACTTTGTGGAGCTTTGGCGCTGCGACCAAGGCCAGGGCTCTGACCTAGCGTCTCAAATTGTACAGAACTACCAGGTTCTTAAGCAGCGACACCAGCCAACCAAGACAGCTGCGAACAACAAGATCAACAAACAATGGCCTATATTTTTACCATTCATCGTCGCCCTGATTTCACACCGCCACATTGCCGCCCTTTTACAAAAGCTTCTTCACATTTCACGCCATCGCTTGCTCATGATAGTTGGCACTAGCCATCCACGTCACTCCATACACGCCCGTATTGCCAGACCTTCTGGAAGACTTGACATCACTGGGCAGGTAGCCGACGCCCCTCACAATCACAAGAACAGAAATTTGACATGAAAAAAAAACGGAAAATTATTGTGCGTATTACCATCCTATCTGGCAGGGATGGAGGTGATCTCGCGCACAATTGGCCAGGCCCCCCTGGTCTTACTTCACACTTGACGCCCAGGCCTGTGTGCATGGCTGCCTGAATCCTATCTTATTTTATTTTCGCTGGCCAAGACGAGCAACGTCGCCTGAGCACTAAAACAGGACAACCGCCTCACTTTTCTTTCGATGAGGTAAAAGCCCCAAATTGAAAAGGAGCTCACTAGCACGACTGCCGCTTCCCTAATAATAATCCACAAGGCAAGACTAATAGCAGGCAGCGCGGGAAAGTGACTCATGATGTCAGACTCGCACCTCGAAACGATCAAACGAGGCTCATGTATTCGCTCCCAACTGCGGCGCCGCTGCAGAAAACAATCTGTATTGATGCCAAAAGCCGGCCCTCTATTTTAGCTCCTTCTACGTTGTTCAAGGGTCGTTGCAGAATCCATGTTGGCTGAATTGTGATTGGATACTAATAGCTGAGAGTCTCCGACCAAGTGATACTGGCTCCTTCTGTCAACAACGACGCACCCCATTGAGTTGCCTCATCTACCCCTGTCACTTGAGCTGAGTGGTTGCTCTGGATTATCTATGAATATGTACTTGCCTACATCAACGATACAGGGACAAAGACGATGTTTAGCGGCGCTATCAGTACACCATTGTAGGTGAAGGATGGACGGACCATCACGGCCTCTGATACGCGCTGACCGACTCTTTGCTTTGAATCAGCAATGGAGCATGGGTGTGTAGCAAAACTATGGACCATGTCAACGATTTGTTAAACGCGATGACATATGATGCTGCGAGCGAGAGGGGAGTTTTGCATCCATGAGAGGGGTCCCTCGGTTGACGAGGGCTGGCCTTATTCCAACGACTGCTTCAAGGACATGACGCACGCACATAAGCCGGGAAACAACGAATACCGAAGCAACGGTCACTCTATTTTTCTCAAGGAACATTTTCAGTATTCAAGATTGACATGAATGCTGCCGAAATCGGACAATGTCCCGCAAGCTTCTCTTGACGGCGCCGATGGGTGCCAGAAGCAGCACAAGCATGTAGGTGGGCAGAGCTCTACCGGCACCACGCGACTGTTTCACCTTTACTCTGATCTCGCAATATATCGCGCTTTTCATGCCATCTTTCCGCCATCTTCCTGCCATCTTTCTGTTGTGCTTTGCTCTTGGTAGGCCGTATCACAGTTCACAGCATGGCCCCCAATGCACCTAGCAACGGGTAAGAAACTTAGGGACGCAGTGGTCGGGCGTGTGCATATACACAGCTGCCGGACGGGCGGGTGCCCCGTCAGAATGTAGTCATTCTTGTCTGGGGCCATGCAGCCAGCTGTTTTCTCTGCACTCAAGTTGATTCTTCATCTGTGCCCCTCGTGCTCGGTAGGCTCCCAAAGCACTGCAGTCATTCAGCTATTTGGCAAAAGCCCAACATGCTGCGCGGATACCCAACCTCTTCATGCGCTGGCCCACACCAAAAGAGAGCCAGAGGGGTGCGCCAGCGAAGCAAGCCCGGCAGCATGCAGCTCATGCCGGCGCGCGCCTTGCCGCTGATGCAAGGCGAATTTATTTTTGAGTCGCGTCTGCGGTTGAAGCCCTAATGGGTTTTTTTTCTTTTCTTTTTTCCCCCGTTGCTTCTAGCTGGATTCTTGGGCGGGAAATGTTGTGCCCTTTTCGGGCCGCATGGTGTGTAATGGTCACTGAATACGTGTTATTGGGCGGCATAATTGCCTACAGCGGCCCTATTCAGCCGCAGGACGGGCTCCCTTTTGTTTTTTTCTCTGGGTTGCCCACCTTGACTTGCACGTTGGAATTGGGCATACAAGGCGTGCGAAAGAAAGTCATGCGAGAAGAAAGACAAAGAAAGAGAAAGAAATTCATCCAGTAGTTTCTTTCACGCTCTCTCGCCGTCCTTGTTGGGTCATTGCCCAACGCCACACACCGGGGATAATTGCGCCACATTGGGAAGCTATCCGCCACGTGGAGGGAGTGGCTGCTTGTGGCGGTGCGCAGGGACCCATTCGTCTAGCGTCTTGCCCAACCGATTGGTTGCTGCCCTTTTTTTTTTTTTTTTCTGGGCAGGTGCTATACGTCACCGCAGGGCTCCCGTCTCTATTTTATTTTGTTTTGCCTCGTGCAGCAAGGGAAATGGGTCATGCAAGATTTCGGTGACTCGATCGCGGGTCCGTGATGGTGAGAATGAAGACGGATTTTCATCTCTTACAGGGGGGAGAAATTAGCTCCTAGGGTTTCTTTATTGAATGCATATTTAAACGGCTTCTTTTTTTTTTTTCTCCCAAGACGTGAATCGGTTTCAATCGGATACGCAGACGTCTGCCATTGAGCACATGACCAACGGGCGTTGGGGCGTGTGTTGAACAATGACAACATTGTCACGATGCCAAGAAAAATTCACGGCCCTCGTGAAACTCTGTTGTTTTCTGAATAGAAGATTCTGATAATGATTAAATCTTGTCATGATTTACATGTGAACTCCCGGGACGAGCTCTTTCCAGTGACTCATTACACTCGGGTATCCTAGCTACCGACCAATCCTTGACTTACACGGGGGAGGGACGATTGTCGCGAGACTTCTGGCATGCGCCAGGGTTCCACGATAAGACGAGCTACCAATAAGGCTGTAGTACGTTTGAATTATCTCGACGCCATCGCCCTTGACAGCAATCACATGTTTATTTTTACCCCGGGTCTGGGCATTGACAGGCCCCCCATGCGGTGGGTGATTCGCCACCTCTGTTGGTTTTTTTCGCCTCAACCAACCTGTCATTTTTATATTCTCCCAGGCAGGCTCTCACGTGGCTGTGCAGATTTAGGCAGCAGAGATGCATAATCGCATTCCTTGCAGCACATGTGGAATCATGTGCTCCTGTTCAACGTCACCCGCGCCTTTTGCTGAGGAGGGCAAGGAATGTGTCCAAGCTGTCTACTCACAAGCCGTCATTGTCGTGTTTTGCCACTTTCGTATCGCTTCACTTCTGCGTTATACATTCGAGGCATGGATTGTAGCTTTTTATATTATATTTAGGCAGAAGAGGCTTTACGTAAAATCACAAATCACTATCGGCACCCCCTTTGGCCGCTGGCGTATGAGTCAACATTGGTCAGTCGCCTCTGAATGTTGTCTCCTGAGGCATATCACTCTATTCAACATGTAGCACAACCACACTGACCGCGTGATACAGTACGCTGTTGTTGAAACAAGAAGCTCATCACACGATGCCTCGTAATGAAAGCTGCCTAGCTGCCAACTCGAGCCTTGGACACTGTGCACCGAGATACGAGAACAACAACTAGACTTGCCCTTTTTTTTTCCACTCGCCTTTCTTCTTTCATGCATCCAGAGGCTTCCGCGCATGCAAGTTATGAAACGGAAAATACGAGTGATACTTTGGCAAACCATTATCCCCAACCGCCGTGAGCGACTTGCGAACGTCAATGAGAAAGACCTCGGTCTGGGCCGGCGTCCACTCGAGGCCGTCACGAAAGGGACGGCGAGCGAGGCCGACGAGCCCTTCCATGCAGACGTCGCGCAAAATATGGCCGCACTCTTGTAGCCGCCGCCGGCGCGCCCAGGGCCCGTTGGGGCACTTTTTGCGGCGGTACCCAATGTCCTGGAAGCCCGCCTGCGAGAGCTCCTCCCCGACGTGCCGGATCCCGAGCAGGTCGGAGCCGCCGAGCGCCTGCAAGCCTCGGCGCAGGTTCTCAAGAAAGTCGCGCCACGGGTAGGGTCCGTCGCACGAGGAGTCGTCGCACCCCGCAATGTACTCAAACTCTTGAATTTCAACGTAGCCGCCAGGCTTTAGGTGTCTGAAAGTGAGTTTGCGAAGAACAAGTGTCAGCAGCTTCTAGCTCCTGATTATACCCATCAAATAGGGGAGGATAAATCATTCTTACTTGTATATTCGTCTCCAGAGTTCTTGTCGGTCTCTGATGGAGTGTACAATATGTCGGATGTGAATGTAGTCAAACATGTTGTCGTCGTAGGTCCAGCCGGCTGCATGCTCAATGTCGTCCACAACAAAGGACACGTTTTCCGGCACCCAGTCAGGCTGGATTGGGGAGAGATCCATTCCCTGAAACGTAGCATTGGGATAAATGTCTGCCACTAAGGGAAATGTGAGTTGTGTGTCACTTTCCAATCATGATGTAGCACCAAGTCCTCAACAGATCTGGAATACGTACATTCTATGCACCACTTTCCATTGCCGGTTCCTTTTTTTTTGTCCGCGTCTGTCAGCACAATAGGTTTCAAAAACGAGGCAGGTTAGGTGCGTACCGAGATCGAGCACTTGAGCTCCGTTCTGGAGCATTTCGTCAATGGGGGCCAGCAAGTACTTTCCATCGCAGAGGTGCAATGTCAGGTCGTGCTTGAGATCATCGCGACGTTGCTCATTCTCATCGTTGGGAAATGCGTACTGTCCAGCATGGTATGCGTGATACCGTAGACCTCCGTCTATGATGTGTTGGCGTATGCTTGACGTGAGGCTCTGTGTTTCGTCTGTGTAGTCTGGGTCGGTGTATTCTGCTCCTTGCTCAATGCCATAGATCATAGCCACCTCGTCGGCATTACCCACAGCAACGAATTCAGTAGAGTTTGTTGACGCTTTGTCACTCATGGTTGCTCACTTGCAAGTTGCGTGTTGTGAGTGTTGTTGGTGTTGTCGGACCCCAAGTTTGAAACGGAATCGAGCTACAAGGAGCAGCTATCCTGTAGCATAGTTGAAGGGCGTCAACGGGAAATAGCCTGGTCGCGGAAGCAGGAAGCACCCGATTTATAGTCCCCCAATCAAGTCAGTGTAAGATCAATGTCCACCTGACGAGGGTTTCGCCGTGCTTAGATGAAATGCAGGCTGCCGAGAATGACACTGGGGCGCGTAGTGGCACGGCTTCAATCTCGCTGACTCGTGTTATAATAATAAGACAGACAGCCCTAGAGTATCAAATGCCGTTCCGCTGTCTGCGTCGAATTGCCGTGGCAAGCTTATGTCTTGACCTGCGGGCGCTGCAGCATGGTCCTGGCTTTGCCTTTTTTTTTCTTTTTCTTTTTCCCCCCAAAGAGGTAAAGAGCAAAGAAGAAGAAGAAGAAGGCAAAAGAAGTTTGGCGATGGGGGAAAATTGGGGGGAGCCTAGTCAAATATTAGTTGTTTCTATTTTGATAGTAACAAGACTCCGCTCTTGACTTACTAGACCCAGCCTTTTAGAAGAAACAGAGTTTACGATCGGTGGGAGAGAGAGCCTTGGGACTAGTAGTTCAGAACAAATAAAAATGTGGATTAACTCCAGTCTGAATGTTATCAAAAACCTGGGGGGAAAAGAGGCAATAAATAGTACAACAGTCCCCTTTTTCATGGCCTGTGGGTTGTCGTGCGCGCGCCGTAGATCAGGTGCGCCGGGCCGTTACCAGCCAGTTGGTAATAAGGAGGGGGAGGGGGGGGGGCTTTCGTCGTCTCTGATCCGCATGCCGTGAGACAAGCCTCAGCTCTAATAAACAGGGAGCAACGGCTTGCGCTGGCGCTGCTTAGGAGAGAGAAGATTACGGAATACACACAAGGACAAAGTTTGTTTTTGCTGGGCGCGTGCACCTCATGAAAGACAACAGCGTGGGAAGGGGAATCCGAGTATCCGTAACAAGCACTGGTAAAAAGTAGGGCACCATGTCGGCAGCGTTGTCTCTGTTCGTGTACTTCGTAGGTAGCCTCCTTGCCAGCGAATAGAGTTGCACGATGCATTCCGGGAATCTGGTTACAGGTCCCTTTGGTCTACGACTTTCTTTTTCCTTGATTACTTGTTAAAAATTTCAAGAGAAAAGAGTTGATCTGTTGTTTTTGCTTTTTCACGGCTGTAAGCATACACCATGTGATACCTTGCACCTTTTTTTTTTTAATTAAGTACTTTGCTTTTTTACCTCTCACACACACACTCGAGCAACGCAAACACCACGACAAAGGCCACAAGCATGAAACGGCGCCCTCGACACAAGAGTACCATTAATTGTCGGAACATATACTTTCTTGGTCCGATTATGTGTTGAAAAAGAAAAAAAAAAAAAAAAACAAGAGCGCTCGCTACGGGTTGTCGGCTTCGTGGCAAGACAAAAGGCGTCCAAGCTGACCGCTGCCCGTTGTTGTCTCGTTGTCGCAGTGTTGACGAGAACCAGGCGAAAAAAGAAAACCAAATCTGAAAAGCATGTCTAACATTTCGCGCAACGAAAACCACGGCGCATAGTGCGGTGTACCATCAAAAAAAAGACGCAGCGCGCAATCTACTTGCTGGTGCCACCCTCGCGGGTGCCACGTCCGTCCCGTCTCCATTGACATGCATGCAATCCACTGCACCCCATATTCATACGTTTTTGGGCCTTTTTTTGCAATAAGATGGCTGTCGGGCTTTGGATTGAAGATTTTGCTGCATCTCTGCGGGTTGCGGCGGTTGACAGATTCCATTCTCCTCTCCCCCGGCCACGACATAGTCAATCTGTATGGTACCGCACTTTTAGCACTTTTATTCCACTGCTGTCCGTCATCAAGCGACACCAACTACAGGCGTCTGATCCAGCTCGGGCGTCGTTTCTCTCTTTGCTTTACGCTTTGCGCAACATGTTCGCTTCGGCTTCTCTGACTGCCGAGTACCCCCGTGGTGCCACAGACGAAAAGGCTTCCCACGTTCTCGGTAGCAAATGTAAAAAAGCAACTCGCAGTCGTGGCATCGTTGTACAGCACAACGCCCGCCCAACGATACACTGACCCAGGACCGCGGACTTGGGTCCCCTTCAGCTGTCCCACACCCATGCCGTCAAAAAGGCAAGAAAAAGAAATAAAAGGACAACAAGGAAAAAGAAGCGAGCTACGTCCTGTTCCAGAGTAGAGAATGTTTCAGCCCTTGTCTGTCCTACCGTCTCCCACGTAATTAGTAAAAGTGATGCCAGGATAACCCGTCGCACAGCCTTCGTCGTGGAGCCCGGTTGCAATGGAGTGACCCGACAGTCTGGATTCGGTCCACAATCACCATGAGCCATGACTCGTCATAAAAGTTTCTCATCGGCCGATGCTTGGCGGTTCTCCAGGCCGGGAACCTTGTGGGCGGCTTCTGCGTTGGGAAACAGATCTGCAGAGCAATTTGCCGCCAATCGACGGTAGGAGCATTTCACACACAGTGAGGACGCAGGGCTCAAAACAAACTGAACAATAAACTGAACAATAGAAACGTGTATACTCGATAAAATACCCATGATACTGAGATACGATGTGTTTCGCCTAATGAATGACAGCAAAAGAATACCCAGAAGCAACCCATCAGCAGCTTGCCTTAAAAACGGTCAAGTGAAATCATAACCCAGATACGCCAGACAATAGAGCATAAAAAAAAGCTCGTCTATAGAAGGAGGGCAAGACCCGCGAGCGCGCCGACGAATTTGACGCCGTTGCGCTCAGCACCACCAACCATGGGGGGAAGAGTAGGGCGAGGGGCACCCGTGCCGCTGACAGTGCCGCCAGGGGCGGGCTTGCCATAGCCGCCGTTGTTCCCATAGTTGTTCCCATAGTTGTTACCATTGCTGCCGTTGTTGCCGCCGTAGTTACCACCATGATTACCATTGTAATCACCAGTCTTGGTGCCGTAGTTACCACCGTTGTTGTTGCCATATCTGCCAGGGTCATCGCCCTTGTTGCCATTGTTGCCATTGTAATCGCCGTTGTTGTTGCCATATCTGCCAGGGTCATCGCCCTTGTTGCCATTATAATTGCCATTGTTGCCACTATTGTAGCCATAGTCACCACCGTTATTACGTCCGGGGGCGGCAGTGATGACGGGGTCGCTGGGCCTGGAAGGAGAGGGCTTGGGACACAGGTCGCCGTCGCAGGGAACAATAACAGTGCAGTCCTTGCCGTGAGGGCAGTTCAGCTTCTGGTGGCACTTGTCGCCGTCGCACCTGGCGTAGTGGCAGTCGGCGCCGTCGCAGATGAGGTTCTTGGAGCACTCATCGCCGACACAGTGCTCAATTACGCACTTGCCGTCGTAGCAGACAATCTTCTTGTGGCAGTCGCCGTCCAGGCAGCCAGTGGCGTAGTCACAGTTATCACCGCCCTTGTGAATGACGAGCTTGCTCCAGTCGTCGCCGGGGCCGCAGGGCTCGATCCAGCAGTGGTCCCCGCGGCAGACGACGCGGTCCTTGTGGCAGTCATCACCCTTGCAAGGATACTCGGGCGCGCAGTGGGGGCCGTAGCAGACAATCTTCTTCTTGTGCCACTCGGGGTCAGGGCAGATCTCGGTGGTGATCGTCTTGGTCTGCGTGGTGACGTGCGGATCGGAAGGGCAGTGCACAACGGTCGAGGGGCAGGCCGTCACGGTGTGGACGTGAGTCTCAATCTTGGTCTCATACTTGGGCTTGTCCTTGCGGCTGTATACGGTGCAGAGCTTGCCGCGGTCACCGCCGCAAGCATGGTGGTCGTTGCCAGGGCAGGGAAGAACGCAGTGCTCGCGGGGGCTCTGGGTCAAGTGGGAAGACGCGTCGTCGTCCGCGCAGTAGCACTCACTACAACAATCGTCAGAGTTGATGTTCGCTCAGATGGCACGCACGGGGAAAGCGGACTTACTCTTTATGGGTAGCAAAGTACTTGGACGGGCAGCTAGCAGCGCACAGGTCCAGGGACATGTGCTCAGATTTGGCAACCTTTTTGTAGTGGGCAAAGTCGGCCTCGTCACCTGCACAGCCCACGAGGCTGAACTCACCAACAGTCTCGGGCATGGAGACGGGGTATTTGGCGGTGGCGGTGCCGTTCCCGACCAGATGGACGGCCATGACGGCCTTGCCCAAGCCAAGGGCGAGGATCAGGGACATCTGCATATTGGCAGAGTTTTGAAAGGGCTGTCTGGGTTCAAAACGAAAGACAAGGGCGTTGAGCCTTAAAGAAAGTGACTGTAATCGCAAAGACGAGATTGAATGAAGAGAACGAAAAGCAACATTTCCAAGGCATTGGCAACCGTTATTTATAACTCTTAGTCTATCGGTTCGTGACGCGCCAGCCTGTAATATTGCTCCTCATGCAGTGATTTTACACCGATTGCCCGACAAAGGCGTTTGCCGATCTCTGTTGAAGAATGCAGTCTTTGCGGGTGGTGGACGTGACAGTCCTTGTTGTGTCTTGAACCAGGCCTGCGGGCTAGCCGTCTTCCCCGCGTTCGGCTTGTCGGTGACTCGGTCTGCGTGTCGAGTACGCTTGAAGAAGGGGAAGCAGAGCGCGTCTAAGTGATTCTGCTGTGTGAGACAGGAACTCGAGGGAGCACGACTCTGCCCACTCGGGGCTAGAGGGAGGGAATTCCAGCAGCGCAGTGTCGCCGGCAGCCAAACACGACTTGCTCTCGATCAATTGCTGCATCAAAAAATTCTATACTGAGTACGAGAGTGCCTCTGGAGAGCAGGCTTGCCGCAGCTTTGTGATCCTGTCTGCATTGGCATGGACGGTATTGGTTGCTGCTCGCTTCGGGGCCTAGCCGCATCTCTCGATGCTGAAAATCGAGGTGTGACTTGGGCAATATTTGTGAAGCAATATCCTTGTTCGTTGGCTTGCTTTCATTTAAAGCCCATTCTCCAGGCGCATTCCCCGCACGCTCTATTCTGCGGTCAGATTTAGGTGTGGACATTTTAACCGATGGTCCGCAACACAAGCCAACGCGCCTTGCGTGGTAATTTCCTGCCGCATTTTCACTCCGCTTTAGGTTTCATCGGATCGGAATCTGTATCGACCGTAAGCCATTTACTGTGCATGCCAATAGATCCCACAAAGTCTATCTCGTCACTAGTTGGGCGACGCCCCCGTCGATCAACGCGTTTGAGAAGCCGTGATGGCCTACTACCGTAGGAACACAGAACCCATGCTGAAAATCGAAAACAGGGGATTGTCTTTCCCAGTTTCGCACCCTTTCAGGCTCCGTCTCTGGTTGACTGATACCCATGGACAGTACGTCTCGCGGGTGTCGTTGGTAGACGCGACGAAGCTGGGACGCGCGTTGTGCGGTGCAGATGGATCGATTTCGCGTTGTTGCATTTTTTTCGCTGTAGGGTAGTGGTACAGCCATTCGCCGCAACATCTTTTCTACACGTCGTCTGGTCCTGAATTATGTAACAATCAATTTGTAGTAAATGAGTTTTCATTGTTCGAGCTTCAGTGGTTAATTTGATACTGTTTTTGTGGGTAGTAATGGCTGTCCGGCCATGTTGCTGTTCTCTCCTGAAATGCAAATCGAAGAGCAAGGTCAACCATCAATCTTGAGCAGTACAACTTCGGCTCTCTCTCCAGACAGAATGCATGAAGGGACAAACTCCGCCCCACTGATTTTAAGCCAGTCCATTATTTCAATAATCTGTCTCACTACGTGAGATAAACGTGAAACATTTAACGCGTCCTCTATAACAAGAACAACATAGCTGGTGACAGAGGGAATTGCGTGGCGCCGGAATTATGTACCTAGATAAAGATAGTATTCCTTTCATCACCACAAATACCACAAAAATATGATAAAAGATAGTACGAACAGCCGCGCAAGCTTCCAGGAAGACGCCAATGCGCGATTACCTGTAGATACTCTTAAACCCACACGATCAGTCATTATCGGTAACCCTTCTGGGCTATCGGCGTTTCGGCAGCCAGTCCCGCCAATCAAGAGATCGAATCGACCGACGACGGAGCGATGGAGCTTGGGGCCTGAAGGAACGACAGGCAAGACACGGGAGCGATCCGGCCCCGCCAGCCCTTGCACGCAAATCCATGGACTCTGCCAACGAATGAAAAGCAGGACCATCTTGCTGGTAATCGTGACCAATAAGAGGGCAGGATCAGCAAAAAGGCCAGCTGAATTGTTACTCGTTACCCAACCCCTGCCCGCGCAAGGGCGAACCAACCGATTAAAGCCGTGAAGCATGCGCGTCTGCGGCCACCATGGCTACTCGTGACAGCTTCTGCGGAGGGCCCGGCCAGCGTACCCATACATGCATGCGACATCGTATTTGATAAAATCACGCGCCCTTTTCCTTTTCCTCTTGTCACCAGTAAAAGTAAATAGAGCGCATGGGGCAGCACTAGCTACACCCGGATTGGGCTCCGGCTTGGGCGGGTGCGGGCGCGGGGCTAAACGGGGACTTGGTAGCTTGCCGCTATGATGCCGGAAGCGGCAGTTGAATCTTGAACTGCCGATATGCGGGGGTGGCAATCAAGATGTACTTGATACTGGGATGAAGATGCAGATATCTACTATCCCCCCTGAATAATCATACGTGACTGATGCTTCAAGCGGGGTTTATTAGTTCAGCCCGCACTTGCACCCCGTCGTACCCGTCTCGTCTCCAACACACGCAAACGCAAGTTCCCCGCGGACATGGGTTGTCCGGTTGTAACATCTTTGCCATGGAATGGTCATGCAGATCATATGGATCCGGCTCATCGTGGCACGGTGGGCATAAATATTACATAGTTGTTCATCGGCCCTCACCCTCTGCCGTGTGCTCCATTAGATCTACAATCCTTAAGCTGTGCAACATGACCAATACAAAGCTTCAATTTCACGCAGACCACATAGGGTCCTTGATACGACCGGCTTCTCTGTCAGCGGCGCAGGCAAAAGCCGACGAGGGAAGCATCTCTGACGCCGATTTGAAAGCCGTTCAGCGAGCAGCCATAGACGACATTGTTCAGAAGCAGCTGGCAAACGGCGTACGTGCCATCTCGTCGGGCGAGTACGATCGCAAGTATTATTTCTCGGGTTTCTTCGAAAAGCTGGATGGGTTTCATGAAGTAAGCCCGGTGCCGTGGGAGCTCGCGCGTATGTCAGCGCCGCCAATTGCTGCTCTGAAGAAGACCGGCAAACAGTACCCAATGGCCGTGGTTTGTCATGGCAAGATTAAACGATTGGATAGCCCATACATGGACAACTGGAAGATGTTGCGTGACACTTTGCCAAGGGACCAATGGTCCTTGTGCAAATTTACGATGCCGCCGCCTTGCTACTTTCACCTGCGTCTAGCCAAAGGCAAGTGCTACAGCTCCGAGGCGTACAACAATGATAGCGAGTTCTTTGCCGATCTGGCTGTGGCCTACCAGCAAGAGATTCAAGCTCTGTACGACGAAGGCCTGCGAAATTTGCAGATTGACGACCCGACGCTCGCATACTTTTGTTCCGACGAAATGATGACGGCTCTCCGGGACGAGGGCGAGGATCCAGAGGCGCTCTTTGCGCAGTATCTCCAAGCGCACAACGACTGCATCGCGAAGCGCCCCGCGGACATGCACGTGGGGTTGCACATTTGCCGGGGCAACTTTGCCAAGTCGATGCACTTTAGCCAGGGCTCGTACGAGCGCATCGCCGAGCGCTTCTTCTCGACGCTCCACTACGACACTTTTTTCCTCGAGTACGACGACGAGCGCTCGGGCGGCTTCGAGCCGCTGCGGCACCTGCCGCGGGGCAAAAGCGTAGTTCTCGGGGTGGTGACGACCAAGGATCCGGCGCTCGAGGATGGGGAAACGGTCAAGCAGCGCGTGTTGGGAGCGGCGCGCATCGTGGCGGCCGGGCAGGGCGTCAGCGTGGAAGAAGCGATGGGAAGCATTGGAATCAGTCCGCAATGCGGGTTCGCAAGCGTTGCGGTTGGGGCGGACGGCATGACTGAGGCAAGAATGTTTGCCAAGTTGAGGTTGGTACAGGATATTGCGCGGGAACTATGGCCGTGAATGTTAGTTCAGTGGACGCCATGAAGGAGGAAGTGGAAGCAATGGCATTGGTGAGGGCGATGACGTTATAAACAGTTGCATCGCAAGTAGCACGGACGGAAAGGGCAATCTGATCGCTAGCTATTACCGATATTTGTGTAATACCGAGCCAGATTCGAGTATGGCAATGCGAGATACTGCATTGGTGCGTGGCGTGCGTCTTGCAGGCGGCGATGCCACATGGGCTCTCCGCTCATAGGCAGCCAGGCGGCGTCGTGTCCCGTTGACATAGCAGGCAATGCAGGTTGGCTAAAAACTACAGGCAGCCGCAAATAGACACTCGGATTGGCTATTCATATCGTAGTTACAGCACCCATGGTTGGCAATCTTGTCCAAGTGGTTGTTTTGGTCCTCGACGCGCTTCATCTCTAGTGGTTTCGGCCGCCAAAGCCGAGAATAGGCCGTCGGCATCCGACGCAGGGCGACGCTGGGCGTGCGGGCTGATGTTTGCACAGGCAATGCATGGCAAGGCATGGACAATCTCACCGGACCAAGAGCTGCATGCGTGACAAAGGGCGAAGAGAGGTCACAAGTGCCTGATGACGTGGGAGGAAAATAGAGCCTAGTAAAACGACGAAAGCAGCAAGCAAGCTTGAGCTCAGCGCGTGGCTTGTTTAGCGGGATGCAGGACACAAGCCCCCGCGCCAGCGGCTCCCAACAACGCCTACCTAAAGACCCCTTAAATGCTGCTTGAAGCCATTTGTACCTACCACGCGGGAGGGGCAAGTTTTCAATGTGCTGACCAGTAAATCCCTCCTGAGCCGGCATACCATGCCAAAGTTATGATTTTCGAACCATTTGTCAAATGACCGTCAGGCATCAATGACCAGAAACATATTGTTTTTACTCCATGCTCTATACTCCGTATCAGCCCGCTGCCTGTCCCGCCGTGGCCCCACCAACTGGAGCTGCCCGCCATTGCTGCCCAATGAGAATCAGTCTTGTGCTTTCCCTAATCGGCGCTCGAGGCTCACCCGTGCTGCTGCTGTGCATCATCGCTCGCACGCGACGCAACTCTGGATTCCCCTCGTCTACTCCCACCTCCCATATCTCTCCGATATCTCTATATAGAATTCTCTCACCTACTGGCGCAGCTCCAATCTGTCCTCTACATTCTGCCATAGTGTCATCAACTCTCTGTCCGTCATGAGCGGCTAGCTGGCCTCTTTTCCTCGATATTTATTCTCAAGTGCTCGACTACCCCTCCGCCTCGAGTCTTGGTCGCCAGTCAGCTGCCCATCTCGCGCTCCCGATAAGCCGACTACCGCCACTTTCCTCCGCCGCCACTTGACTTTGATTTTCGTCTTGTTTTCTTCGTAACACGAGCAATATATACCACCCTCGGAAACTGCCGACGAATCTATATCCGACCAGACTGTACAATTCTACCATGTTTGACCTACCTGCTATGCTGCTATGGTGAGTCCATCATCCGTTTGCCCCGCGCGGGCTTCGCCTGCGTCCCGTGCCGCAACGGGTCTAACCATCTTCTTTTCCAACTTTCTAGCTCGGTAGCATCCTTCCTCTTTCCCATATTCGCTTCCTATAAGGCGCTCAAAACCTCCGACCCTGCGCAGTTAACACCATGGCTCATGTACTGGGTCGTCTTTAGCATCTGCCTCTTGGCCGAGTCTTGGGTAGCATTCATTGTCACATGGTTCGTCTTGTCCTCTTAGCTAGTCGTCGCATTCAAACACTGACGACTTCCTTCTCTTCCATCAGGATACCCTTTTATGGATACTTTCGCCTGATATTTCTGCTCTACCTCATTTTACCACAATCCCAAGGCGCCCGTGTTCTATACGAGCAGTACGTCCACCCATTTCTGCAGGACAACGAAGCCCACATCGACGAGTTTATCGCCAACTCCCACGAGCGTCTCAAATCGATGGGACTTTCCTACATTCGGCAAGCCATCAATTATGTCAGGGAGAACTTGCTCGGAATGCCCCCTGCTGAGCCTCCGGCGCCAGTCCCCGAAAATGTCGGCGCGCAAGGCTATACGCAGTCTCTCCTCTCGAGGTTTAGCATCCCTTCCGCGAAGTGGACCGCCCCTGGTGCTCACAGCGCCAGCGACTTTTATAGCCTCTTGTCGAGTGCAGTCTCGGCCGCTAGCGGTACTGGGGTTGCTAGAAGTGCCCAGGGACCAAGCGACATGACTGCGTCAGGCAATCTCATCCCGGAGCACCTGCACGACTCTGGAGCCAAAATCAACTTCATCTCCGCGCAGAAAGAGCGTCTCAGCTATTTACTGGCTGCTCTAGACTCTGAGGCGCAAAAGCTCCAAAATGAAACACCAAAGCAGGGCGCGCCAGGCACCTTTGACGGACCAGCAGACACTGCACCTACACCCCGATCGCCTAGCGGCCTCAGCATGCTCAGCGCTCTCAGTAAAAGCCGGAGCGAGGCTGATTTTGAAAAGATTGAAGCCGACAGCGGCACCGAGGAAGAGCTCACCATGCGCAGGCGCAATGTGTCGAGCGGGGGCTCTTGGATGCCTTGGGCATGGAGCGGCGCCGACGACGCGCACAATCAGGATCATGGCTCAACCACTGGGCGGGAGCACTAGGCCTGCAACTCGTGCTGCAGTAACCGAGACGAGACCTTTCCCTTGGGAGGATCGACGTTGGAGCGTGAACGGCGTTGCTGGACAGCACGGGTTTACATACTTTGGCTAATTCGATTGGACTTAGATATACAGTCTTACAGTGATACAGTGATACAAACAGGCGTTTTGCAGCATGATTATTTTCTCAGGAATGTATACTCATGGCACGTGCAGTTCAAGAGAATCAAAGGCACCCATTGAGTTATGCAAACTGATGAATTGTAATGTACATGAGAAGGGACGAGAATTATTTCGTCTATAGTGTCCCGTCATTAGGACGAGTTTATTATACAATTGCGAGGACTCACTCGGCAACGACAAAATCCAGTATGATCGAATATCTTCTTTCGATCGCTCGAGACCGCCCCCCCCCCCCCCCCCCCTTCCCCCCTCTTGGGCCGTCGTTTCTTTATTAGTGTATTCGTCTCGATTTATTTCGTCTGACGGTAGGGATAGGCCACGTCGACGGCGCCCTTGCGGTACCACAGCGTGCGCTTCTTCTTGGTGGTGGCATGCTCGACCCAGACCTCCTCCATGCGGTTCTTCTTAAACCAGCGGATGAAGCTGGGGTCCCAGAGCTCCGACGCGATGCCCAGATCCTTGCAGCAGCGCATGAGTGCGTTGGACTTGCAACCCTCGACGGCCGAAGGCAGCTGATCGGCGCCAAAGTAAGAATTTTCTCCCTGCGCCTGCGAGACAAACCTAGTAGCCCGTCTGTCAGTTTCTGCGGTACCTTGCCTGTATTTCTTTAAAGGAGAATGGGGTGAGGGGGGCTGGATTTCGTGTGCCTTACCTTCCGTCTACGATCAGGGCGTACTCGCGCGTGACGACGGAGTTGCCGACGACGGCGTCGCCTTTGGGGATCAGGCCCCAGCCCATCGGCCCAAAGGCCTCGTTGAGGCGCCGCCGGTAACGAATTTCGGGGAGGTAGATGATGCCGTCGGGTTTGACCTCGATATCGTCGACGTCGAGCGGCTTCATGAGCGCGGCAAACTGCCTCGCCGTCACGGGCCGGCTCGCGATGCCGTGGAAGCTTGCGGACCAATCCACCACGGGGATGTCCGTCGTGGTATCAGCGACGCCAGTCGCATTTTCGGCGTGCGCGATTGTCGCCGGCTGGTAGAACAGGTCGCTGGGAATGGCGGCGGTGGCGGCAGAAGAGGGCGAAGCCTTGCCGGTGGTGGTGGTGCTCGACGAGGTGGAATAAGGCTTGAAAAAGGGTTTGGAGGCAGGTCTGGGCGACGGCGCGTATTTGGGCTTGGCGGCAGCGGGTGCGGCGTCGGGCTCCGACTTGGAAGAAGAGGAGGAGGAGGAGGAGGAAGAAGAAGGGGAAGCTGCTGGTGCAGAGCTTGTAGAGGTTGACGAGAATCGTGCGTCGAGGTGGCGAGTGACGAGGCGGCTTTGACAGCGCAATTGCCGCTGGGCCTGCGAGAGGACCCTTCGAGAGGCGTTCATATTATATGAGAGACAGTAATGGAGGATTCGATGGTTGAATTGGGCGTCGAAGTAGAGTTTGTGCGATGCAGAGATGGATAGGAGAGAGAAGGATGCACGACAACTTTTTCCAGGCTCAAGCTTGCAGTGCTGGTGCCCCACAATTCTGCCTTGTAGGTCAAATAGCATTTCATGATGAATTGGGGTATTTCTATAAATACAGAGAGGTATGCGATCGAATAGTATACAGATGACTGGCCGTCTCGATGACAAACCTAGGCGTCCTTGGTGGATGTTCGCTCTTCGTTTCCGTGGCGCTTCCAGCACTCTTTGAATTGCTGCATCTGGTGATGTTTTAGCACGGCGTCGTGGAGGGTTCAGTGATTACCAGAAATGAACAGAAAAGTAGGAGCAAAATCAGAAAATTCCAGTTTCATTCTTTAAGCCTTACCTCGGAAGTGCATGCTCTCCAGTCCTTCTTCTCAAAGTAGCAGTCCGTCATCTTGGCATTTTCCTCTGTAGCATCCATAAAGTCAGCTTACAGAGAGGCCCACGGGAGTAGATGATGCAGCCCAACAGTGAACGGGTATAAAACCAGACCAAACACCACTTATAAAGGGAAGGAAAAAAGAAAAACATTATAAAATCCAAAAGGTCCATAGCAACTCACCAGAGCATCCTGTGCTGAAAATCCTCTTGTCCCTGTTGTCCAGTGGCATTTCAAGGTTAGCATCGGATTGACTCAACCGTTCCATGGCCAGCCCAGCAACTCTTGCCCACTTCCCCAACGGCTCGCCAACAAGACTCACCACTCATCCGGCTCATCGTCGTCATCTGTCTGCACTGTCGCGTCGGGCTGCTGCACCTTGTCCTCCTCCGCTTTTTGGTTCTCTGGCTGCGCCGACTGCGACGATCCCATCCTTGTTGTGTCGGGGCCGCTACTTCTTTTCCTTGAGCAAGAGGGTGCAAGGTGGAAATTCTCCAGACTTCTCTGCAACGGTTCGCGATCTGTCTTAACCAGGCCACTTTTTTTGGGATTCACAAACATGGCGCCACAACGGCTCAATGTTCTCGTCTACACAGGTAATTTACTTTGGCCTTTTCCCTTGAATGTGCTCAAATTCGCTCAGTGGCGCTGACTTGAAGCCTGCCCTTCCCATACAGGCACCGGCACGACTGGCGAGTCGGTCCGCCATGCCATGTACTCGCTGCGGCGGCTGCTCTCGCCCAACTACGCCGTCATCCCCGTCAGCGAGGCCGTGCTCCTCAATGAACCCTGGCCGTCGACGTGCGCACTGCTCGTCATCCCCGGCGGCGGTGACCTCGGCTACTGCCGCGTGCTCAACGGCGAGGGCAATCGGCGCATCGCCGACTTTGTCAGCCGCGGCGGCGCCTACCTCGGTCTCTGCGCCGGCGGCTACTACGGCGCCCGCCGCTGCGAGTTTGAGGTCGGCAACGCCCCGCTCGAGGTCATTGGCCCCCGCGAGCTCGCCTTCTTCCCGGGGACGTGCCGCGGCGGCGCCTTTCGAGGCTTCGAGTACGCGAGCGAAAGAGGGGCGCGCGCAGCCCGTCTACGCCTCGAGAGCGACCTCGTGCTGGATACGCTGCCGACGGAAATGGCGTGCTACTACAACGGAGGCGGCGTCTTTGTGGATGCGAAGGAGTGGAAAGGGAAGAAGGTAGAGGTGCTGGCAGAGTACTGCGATGAGCTGGATGTCGAGGGCGGCAAGGCCGCGATTATCCAGTGCAGCGTCGGCGAAGGCAGGGTCATTCTCTGCGGGATGCATCCAGAGTAAGCTCGAATCTGGGTCGCGCCAGACAGAAGAAAGTGTACTTGAGCGCTGATACGATGAAAACACAGATTCGCCGCTCAGAACCTGCACCGCCAGCCCGACATTCCTGGCTACGACGAGCTCATAGCCAGCCTCGCGCGTGACGAGCGCACGCGCGCCGGTTTCCTGGGTCTTCTCCTCGCGCGTCTCGGCCTCGAGGTCGACAGTCAGGGCGGCGCGGCGCCGCCGGTCCTCACCAGCCTTCACCTGTCCGCCGCGGACACCGCCACGGTCAGCGAGCTCCTTTACGCGTGGCAGGACGTCATTGACAGGGAACACGGGCAAGACCTCATTAAGAGCGAGGCCGACACATTCCGCCTCCGCAGCAAGGACGACGCGGCCTGGAATCTCAAAGATTTAAACGAGGCGCTGACCGGGGCGCCCGCCGCCGCCGCGCCGGCACTCGACGCGCACGGCGTGCCCGACTACAAGGCCGTGACCAAGGACATTGTGGCGCACGAGCAGCAACTGCCGGACGAGAAGCTCACGCCGCGCTTCAACCACCGACTCTTCTTTTCGAGCCTGCAGCAGTTTCAGGCCATCGAGAGCGATGCCAGAGAATGGGGCAATGCTCTTCTTTACGGTGATGTCGTCACGAGCACAAATGTACTCCTTGAAAAGTATGCAGCGGCCACCCAATATTTTCGAGGGGCAAAGAATGCTAACAGTTATGCCTTGGTAGAAATCCCAAACTGATTGCAAAGCTGCCTTCTGGCTTTACGTTTACCGCCTCCACACAGCTCGCCGGCCGCGGCCGCGGATCCAACGTCTGGGTTGCGCCGCCCGGATCCCTTCTTTTCTCCGTCATTATCAACCATCCTGCCAACCTCGCCGCGTCTCGACCTGTCGTTTTTATCCAATATATTGCCGCCATTGCCGTTGTTGAAGCGATTAAGTCCTATGGCCGCGGCTACGAGAACCTACAAGTCAAGCTCAAATGGCCCAACGACATTTGTAAGTCTCATACAGACCCTTGCTACATTACTCCCTTATGATTCTCATGTTGACTCTCTTTGGAAAGATGCGCTGGACCCAAGCAAGCCGGCATCGGAAAAATCCTACGTCAAAATCGGAGGCATCCTCTCCCAGTGCGGCTACTACGACGGCAGCTACCAGATCATCCTGGGCATCGGCATCAACGCCGTAAACCCGCGCCCTACGACGTCCATCTCGGACATGCTCGGCGAGGGCGCCGCGCCGCTGCACCTTGAGACCATGCTCGCGCGCATCCTGACGCGCCTCGAAGCCACGTACGCCCAATTCCGCCGCGAGGGCTTCTCCGCCAACCTCGAGTCGCGGTACTATCGCCACTGGCTGCACACGGGCCAGGACATTACTCTCGAGGCCGAGGCTGGCGCCAGGGCGAGGGTCGTGGGTATCACGCGGGACTGGGGCATGCTTCGCGTGGAGGAGACGGACAGAGATGGCCGGGCGACGGGGCGCATGTGGTCGCTGCAAAGCGACGAAAACAGTTTTGACTACTGGAAGGGTCTGGTACGAAGGAAAGAGTAAGGCGTTGCCAAACATTGGTAGCATGGTGTGAGGATGTAAATAGTATATTGTAGACAAAAATAATACAGGTGATGCTCTGGTCAGAATTAAGCACACTTCCGTGGCATAATTCCGCACAGATGCACCAGTCGTTGCTTTAGAGCCAGAGATTGTCTTGAGGCTCGTCGCGGAGTCTTGTTTCTCTAGATTGTAGTGTATTTTCCGCCCATAAAACGCCGTGCCATGCCGTAGTCGAGTGAAGATGTACATGTATACAAAGGAAAATTCTCCTTCACGTCTCTTTTTCCGCAGCCACACATTCCAGAGTTGCCAGGTTGAATTATGCGCATCTCATTGCTGATTCGAGTACATTGTCCTCAAGAAGTCGGATTATGAACCGTTCGGTCGGTCGCGCGCGCGCGCATCGTTTGCGATTTGTTCGATCCCGGCGCAGGATCCCATCTACCGGTCTTTGTAGACCTTGGGCTTCCAGCCCTCCTTGGCCTCGGCCTCTTGCTCAATCTTTTCCTTCATGGGGCCGAGCTCGCGCTCAAAGCGTTCCTTGGCGCGGACAATCTTGCTCTGCAGGTAGAAACTGCCCCCCTTTTGCGGCTCGTTGGCGTCAAACAGACGCTTGTAGCGCTCGAGTACCTCCTCGACGTTGGCGTGGCCGCCGGCGGGCGGCTTGACGTTGAGCACCTTGCAGGCCTCGTCGAGCGTCATGCCGCCTGATAGCGAAGCACCCGCCGAGGCGCCGCCACCAGACTTGGCCTGCGCGCGCTGAAAGGCCGATGCGGCCTGGGCCTGCTTGTATGCCGCCATGAAGGAGCGGCCGAGGATGCGCGAGCCCGTCACAAAGGCTGTCAAGACGAAGCGGTGCGCCTGCGAAACAAAGAAGAACTGGTTAGCTGGATGTGTCTCGGGTGAAAGAGGGCAGGCCGTCATCAGGCGAGGCCGAGCAAGCTGTGCGTAGGCGCAAAGATTTTGGCTAGACCCTGCAGAGGGGGGCCGAGGGCTGCTTCCGTACCATTTCTGGATCAGACGAATTGAATCGCTGCCTGCAAAGTTGTGTCTGATAGAGTACAATAAGAGAGGGCAAACAAAAAGCTCTCTCCCGCAAGACAGCAAGATGCTTCTGCGTCGTCAGCTGGGGGCGGTTGAGTGATGGCCGTGGAGTCGAGAGACGCAAAGGAGAGCGAAGTCGCGAGATTTCGGAGGCGCTAAATTTTCCTTTACGGTCGCCGGTCCAGCGCCGACCAGACGCTAGAAAAGATGCCTGTGTGACGTGCAGAGGCCTGATTAGTCAGGACCGAACATGCTCATCAAAGAGGGAAGATCATTAGATGTCATATGTCAAGAATATATACCTTTCTATAGAAGAAAATCATGTATTTCATTTCATGCAATTGTAAAAAGGTTCTACATCAGTTCATGTCTTCTAAGTCGTAATTCTACTCTAGCCAGGGCAATACTTCATTGGTCACCAACTTCAGTTTGGTGTTCCTGTAGCACATTTGCCGCCGTAGTGGGCTGCTCCTAAGGGCCTGGGTCGCCTGTGAGCCTGTGAGCGGCTCATCGCCAAACCTCAGTTTAACATAAAAATCGTGAAATATCGACAAGAACACATTCCGATATTCGTATTGACAGGTCAGACGATCCCGCTTCACAGTTTTTCATCTCCCTCACTAATGTCCTTTCGGTTCTTTGCAGTTCGGCTCATCCCAGGCAAGCTCGCTCTCACCTTCATCTTGTTAGCTCCCGTGCGAGGAGGGGCTATATTCAGCCAGCAAAACATGACGCCGCAAGAAATCGCAGACTTGCTCCAGCGCGAGGGCCGCGGGGAGTCTACCGAAGATTACGATGAGACTATTGAACCGGAATATGCAGTTCAGCGACGAACTGACCTGTTGGCTGGCGTGCTTGAGACTTGCAAGGAGCTGCGCGCCTCGGACCAGGCACAGCTCGAAGTAGTGGCCGAGAAGCTGGGTGACGGTAGCCGCGACGGTAAGTCGCCTAGCTCCCAAAGGTCCGAAAATAAAGAGAGACTCGAGGCTGATATCGTAGGCAGAGGCTTGGCGCTTGCCGTATGGTGATTCTAGCATCTTAACCTTTTTTCTCGAAGAGCTTGCCGAGGAAGACATTATCAACAAGCTCAAAATTCACGCTCTGCGAATCGTGGGAAACGCATGCGCAGATACAAACAAGAATCGAGCTCTCGCGGTTGAGGACAGACGTTTGGAGGCGGTTATTCGACAACTCAGTGACGAGAGTGTCGTTCAATTCACTATTCCGGTGCTATACAATGTCATGGTCGACTACGGTGTGTGCCCACCTCACGATAAAAAGCAGTTGACTGAGCTCGTGAGCAATGCGATACTAATGGAGGCTTGATGCAGATCCTGCCCAAATTCTTGCGTCGGAGCTCAAGATCAGCTCAGCCATGATGAAGCTCCTTTCCTCGCCAAATCTGCCGCAGTTTGCCGGCGTGATCCTCTACTTTTGCCGCATTCTCGCGCTCATTGTCAACAGAGACTCCGAAATCGCCACCGCCGCCGACGACACCGTTGCTGTGCTTCTCTCGGTCGCCACCAGCGCCCCTTACAAGGACGACGCCGAGGAGTTTGCCGCGCTCGGCACTGTCGCCCTCGTCTACCTTGCCGCCGAGCGCTTCCAGCAGCTCGCCATCTCTCACGACCAATTTGGTCTTTTGTTGGACGCCTTCCACCACGCTCACGTCGGCCTGGACATTTCCCGCGTCGACGACCCTGAGGTAGCCACCGCGCTCAAGCAGCTCCGCCTCTCCATGCTCAGCACGCTGGCCGAGCTCACCTCGCATGGCGCCTTTCCGGCAGCATATCCGCCGACGTCGGCGGCCGTGCAGACAGTGTTTGCGTGGCTGCAGAGCGGCAACTCGTCGCTGCAGGCGGCCGCGTGCCTCGCGCTCGGCAACTTGGCGCGTTCAGACGATGCGGCGACGGCGCTGGTCGAGCAGCACGCGCCCCAGACGGCGCTTGCCAAGGTGCTCGCCGACCCGGACGTCCAGGACACGCAGCTGCTGCACGCGGCACTCGCGTTCCTTAAGAACCTGGCCATTCCCACGCAAAACAAGCCCGCGCTGCGGCCGCTGCTGGAACCCGGCTGCGTGCCGCGCATCTACGGCCTGGACGCGCAGCCGCAATTGCAGTACGGCGCCGTGTCGTTGACGAGGCTGCTGCTGGCCGGCTGCCCGGACAATGTGGCGCAGTTTTGCAAGGACAGCGGCCAGGAGGCTGCAGAGGGCGATTCCGACGCCGCGGGGACGGGAGACAGCGTGGAAAGCCTGATTTCACTCTTTGGCCGCACCGACACGGAGCCCACCAAGGTCGAGGCTGCTCGGTCCGTCGCCGCCATTTGCCGCGTCCTGCACTCCGACGCCGCCGCGGAGCTACTCCCGGGGCGTGGAGCGTCCGACAGCGAGAGCCGCGCCGCGTTTTACGCACGCAACGACGTCGGCAAGCCGCTCGCCTTTCTCGTCACACAGGAAAAGTGGCATAGCCTGCGCTCCGAGGCCTGGTTCGTGCTGGCGCTCATGTCGCGCTCTGCTGACGGCTCACGCGTCATTGCCGCCGTGCTCCAGCAGGAGGCTGTCTCGGCACAGCTGACCAAGACCATCACCGGCGAGAAAAAGGGCGGGCGCGTGACGGAGGTGGTCGACGACGACAAGGACGAGAGCACGGCCGCGCTGTCGGCCGCCGAGGGGCTGGGCTTGCAGCCGCAGCAGGCGGATCCGAAGCAAAAGGAGCGCATTGCGGCCGTCGAGAGGGAGAATGCGCTCGTCATGTGCACTGAGCTGCTCAGGAACTGGAGCGACGAGTTCAAGCCTTTGAGTCGTGCATTTTTGGAGGGTTTGCTGAAAGACGGCACTGAGCTCGTGGTGGCGCATAGAAACAAAGAATTTACCACAGTATAACCCAACCTAGGTAGAGAAGCTACAGTATTGTACTTCAAGGGTTCGAAAGAGCTTCGAGGAGTCAGAGCAAGTCACATGTGCCACATTGTCAAAACAGAGTCAATCAGAGTCACATAAATATTTTGATTCATTTAGCGTCGAATACAAAAGGGAGAGCCAATGATCATGCAAATAATTCTTTACCCTGGACTATGGACCGGGCCAAGCACTAGATCGTAGTAGCCTTTGCAGCAGCCGACCCATGCCCATCCCGTACGATACGCAAAGAGCACAAAAACCCTCATAAAACACCAGTATCCCATTTTTTGTGTTGTATCCGCTCTCTCCTTTATTTCTTCGCACCGTCTGCCTCGGCCTTGTCCTTTGCACGCTTCTCGCGGGCGCCCTGGTAGCGCTTGGCGGAGCGGGCTTGGCGGAGGGCCACGTAGGCGCCGCCCTTGACGGGGGCGGGCATGTCGCCCTTCTTGATCTCCTTGACGCCGAGGTCGGTGGGGGTGACGGGGAGGACGGAGGCGACGGTGGCGGCCGTGTTGACCTTGGAGAGGTCCGTCTTGGTGTCGCCCTTCTTGGGGGCGTTGGACTTGCGGGGAAGCAGGATGAGGCGCTCCTTGTAGGCCTTCAGGCGGGCGACGTTGAGAGCCAGGGACTCCTCGGAAAGGTTCTGGCGGCGGAAGTCGACGGCGATACCGATGGTGGGAGCGAGGGGACGGGCAATACCAGCCTCCTGTGAAAGTTGTTAGTTGCCTGAAGTTCCGGCAAGAATGATTCCGCGCGAAGTCGTATCATCATCCAACGCTATCCCACTCGAGTTCAAGATTGTCATCCGTCGTATGGCGAGCAGTTTCTTGCCAGCACTCGGAATCTTTCGTCGTTGGTTGGGGTTGCGCGAGAGAATGGATGGCGATTTGCGGGCTTGCTGGTGTATTTCGTACCTTGAGCTCAGTCAGAGTGAAACCGCGGCCGGTGCGGACCTTGCGGTTGTACTTGATGGTAGGGCATCGGACAATGGGACGGAGCTTGTCGACGGGGCGGGGAGCCAGAGCAGCGGCCTTGGCCTGACGGGCAGTACGGCGGGAAGCCTTCTTGCCAGCCTAGAGGTTCCAATCTTGTCAATAACCACGTTTTCTCATGCCTTCGTATTCGCCGAAAATCATCTGCGCTTGGTTTAGCTCGGAGGTAAATTCGCATACCTGGTCAAAGTGCGTGCGTACGCGACGCTGCCAGTCCTTGTGGAAGTCTGTTCAAAATCCTCAGTCAGTCGTCGATTCCTGCGTCATGTGTTTCGTCGGTCGTCGTAGCGCTGCTATTCGCTTTCGGTGCGATGGTTTTTGGGAGATATATGCTCACGGTTCTTAACGATCTTCTGGTTGTGCTTGATCGCCTATTCGAGAGAAAAAGTCCAATGTCAGTAATTGACTCTTTCGTTGTGTGAACACGTGTCTTGCGCAATTGCGGGATTCGTACCATTTTGTCTGCTTGCGATCAAAAGATCCGGATTGTCGATTGTTCGAGAGGCGTGGAATGATCAGAGGAGTCGGAGGCTTGACAATTTCTTAGAAGGGTTTTCGTGCCCTACGAAATGCTACGTACCTTGTGGGGTATGCCCTTTCTGCTGGGCGAAACAAGCGAAGGGAAAAACTTGTGTGGGCAGGTCACGTGTGCGTTGGCTGCTGGCGGAGCAGTAAAATGAAGTGTAGACACTGCAATTTGCAAACGAGAGAACGGGGCATGACGGCCTGTTTTGGTTTGGCGTCGGGTGGATTTTGTTGGCGCCGTTTGCTGTTCATGCCTGGATTCAAAGGCAGCCAGACAGGAAGCCCGTTGACAGCTGGCAAAGGAAAGCTATAAAGTCTTCGCGCGCCGCCTCGGTTTTCCATTTCTTTTCTTCCTTTCTTCTTCATACTTACCTTGTTCCGAAGTTCCCAGCTCAAGATTTGGGGGCTTCAGTGTGGAAGGCCTGCATTGCACAGCGCGGTGTCGCTCCACGCTCTATTGTCCTTCGGGGCCATAGGGGGCGTAATTTTTGATTTCATCCGTTTTCATTGTGAACGACGCTATACGCGACGCCATGAAGAAGACGCCAGCTACTGTAGATGCCACTTGTTGCTCTGAAGATTGATTCAAAGAGCTTTACCTCGCATGTCCGTCTCAGCTAGACAATACTCTCCAATTTCCAGCTGTCGAATTGCACACTGATTTGTATCACATCAGTCGCGTTTGTGCAACACATCAAGATGCTCTGCTGCCGCTAGACAGTGTCTGCTTTACCTGACGCGAGATGCTCACGCAGAGCTTCACCCACGTCGTCCGCGCGACCTAAATTTCCAGGCTACGTCCACAAACGTTGTTTTTGTTCATCTAACCAACATGTCACCTACAATTGATCCGTAGCAGCACCGGCCTTCCTCACGTCTAACCTGTGATCTCTCCTCCTTTCTGTATGGGCGTTTGCTCAGTCAGTCCCTACCTACTAGCCGGCGAGTACCACCAGTTCTTCGTTTTTCATCAGCTTCAGATGTTTGCGGAGCAGGAAAATGCACTGCTCCTGAACCACCCAAAAATCATTTCTCCTGCCTTCAAACGTATTTGACAGATGATCCAAGCCGTAAATTGCAGCGCATAGCTCCTGTTCGCCGGGATTTCTCCGTGCCAATCATAGCACGCGAATTCCACGCCAAACCGGGACTCCAAAAAAATCTCATGACATGCTAGAACTCCTTTGAACCCGCCCCATTTTCGCGGCGGAAAACCTTTGGACAGCTCGTCTCTCGTCATTCTGTACTACCAATCCACCTTTTCTTCCCCTCCTCGTCTGGACCAAAAACAGCACTTTGCAATTCAGCAGTCGAAACGTTTCGTTTCTTTCCTTTCTTGTCAGTCTCCTATCACACGAATCTGACGGGAGCGATGGCGTCAAGGATCGGCCCGCGCACCGTTAAGGATGCTACGAGATTCACCTCGACGATACCGCACGCCACATCAAAGACGGCCGCGCCAGTATCTCCCTCCGTCAGTGCCGCGACACCCAGACCTTCGAGAGTTCCCGGCGAGACGCCCGAGCAGCGCGTCAAGCGACTGCGCCTCGCGCACCTCGCCGCGCAAAAGGCCCAGATCAGTCAGACGGACCGCATCGTCGACGCCTCCCGACGACTTCTCGACGTGGCTCACCGCTGGACCATAGGCGGCATTGTCGTCTTTACTGGTAAGCCTTCCTCCCCCCCGCCCTCCCCGAGGCCGCTTTTCATCCAAGCAGTGTTCGCCTCGGTGGCAAATAGTCAGGAAACTAATGGGTGGCGATCGTAGCTGTTGCCGGCGTTGTCAGCATATACTCGGTATGGGATATGCTGCGATATAATCGCGCCCGCCGCGCCGAGTGGGCCGAAGCCCAGAAGAAACTCGAGTCGGACGAGCTCGCCACCGCGCGCCTGGCGTACCTCAAGGGCACGGCGACCGAGGACCAGATTGCGCTCGTCGAGGCGGCCAACCGCGAGGCCGAGGAAAAGGGCATCCGCCTGCCACCCCTCATCGCGCCCCCCGAGCACCGCACGCATTTCGAGGAGCACCTCAAGCCCACGCTGCAGGGCGACGGCGGCAGCGGTGGCAAGGAGCCCGCTGCTGGAAAGGGCGTGTTTGGCGTGCTCTCCGGCGTTTTTGGCAGCGGTGACGGTGGCAAGGAGGAGTCACCCGCTACTGGGGCTGTTCAAGCTGCGGCCCAGCAAGTAGAGGCTGTCGAGTCCACGACCAACAGCGCATGGGACAGGGAGCTGGAGAACCAGCGCAAGGGAGGCAGCCTGGATCAGCTGGGTCTCGCGGGTGCTTCCGGCGAGCAGACTTCTACTAAGAAAGGATGGTGGCCTTGGTAACTGCGCTTTGAGTCTATGACGGGGCCAGAAAAATGAACAGCATCAGCTTCATTGTTTACTTGGGATCGAAGTCGAGAGGCCGATATGTATGTACGTGATAAGAGGGAAGGCTTGTCAAACTGTAACATAAACTGTAGATGGGTCGAGCATTAGACGGCGTCATGGAGTCTTTTTTGGTATGTACGATAGATGAATCTCTCATCCTCACATCTGCACAATCAAACAAAATGCACAACAGCAAAATTGTGAGCACATAAAGAGTGAATCACTGTAATAAATTCATGCAGAACGCTCTGCTAATGGGCCCAGATTGACTGTAGTCAGAAGGCCCTTCTAAACAACGCTGCGAGTCGACACTGCGATCTCGAGAATCTAATGATGGTGGCGAAGAGTGCAGTAACCCAATATAACAAGAAAAATGTTTCGCTGAGAGATCATCGACTGCTGAGGAAAATATAATAAAACGCTTCAATCCGTTAAAATGCAATTAGAAACAATCAGCCGCGTCCCACTCGAGTAACATCGTGAAGGCGTCTCGTGGGCAAAGTTTAAGTGTACAGCTCCTTGAATGGAGAAGGTTCAGACTGTTTGCGAGTCAAACAGGGGAAAGAGATGTATATCCAGGGAGGAATCGCTTGAATCGTGTCGATCAAGCGCCCTGCGGGCTTCCAGGGGGGGTTCGAGAGCTCTCTCCGCCGGATTGGTGGTTGACCGGTCCTCAGATGACGATCGGTATCTGCTTCGCCAAGCAGCGAAGCTTTTGTCGCTTCTGCGACCACGATAATGGTCTCACCGCACTATCCCATATCTGCTGTTCTGTGTGAGGATCTGCGATGAAGCTTTTCCCTTTCTAGGAGATTATGATGTGATTAAAGTGACCAGGCACCTTGTCTCGGCATTTGTCGCAGTCGGACCTGTACCCTATACTGAAGCTGCGCTTCATGCCTGGCTGCCATGTCCATGTATTCACAGTGTGTCGGCTCCGAGTATGACCCTTTCGGTGAGAGGTTGGCGAGTCCGGATCACCCTCTCCGTCGTCGGACGCGGTCGGTCGCTGGATCTCGACGTCCATCATGGCATTTGGGTGTTCCATTGCCTGGAGCGCGGTCAAGTGTCCGGGAGAATGCGCCATGCAATCTTCTGATTCCGATATTGGAGAAGGCAGCCTTCTATCATTCTGCATCTGCCAATTTCGGTCCTGCGGTGCGTCGCATTGTGCGCAGGGTTGATCCGCAAGTCCGACTTGGTGGTGGCCCATGTTGGCGATGCCTCGGCGTCCAGCGGCAGCGGATGAATTGGCCCACTGTTGGCCTCGAAGCTGGCCGACAAAGCTAGGTTGAATCGGCGTAGGTATACGGCCAGTTACGGCGTCGGGCTGCAGATAGCTTGGTATTGCGGACTGCATCTCGACAGATTCCATCGTGGCCATTTGCTGGTCGTGTGAACTTGAATTTTGCCAAATTGTATAGTCGGAAGCTGTAGCAAAGTCTGTCTCACCCATGCTTGAAGCCATCATTGTGGGAGAAGACATGTTCTGCTGCATCGTCACTGACATTGGTGAGGTGCGAACAGGAAGGCATTGAACACGTTTCTAGAGACGTTGTCAGCATGGCGAGTCTGGGACGTTTGCAACAAGGTGCGTCGTCGGCTTACAGCGCGGTGTTCAGAAAACCCAGCAGGCCCATTGGCCAAATCAGCCTCGTCACGGTGCCTCTTCCGGCCAGTTTCCATCATGTCGGTATGCTGCTGGGTAGCAAACATGTTGGCTGAGATGCCGGTCGCACGCGGCCGGGCAAGACGAATTGCAGCGACGAATTGCAGCGACGAGTGTTTCGTCTTGTACGGCGAGTCAAGGCTAGCGTAGTATTTATGCAGCCGCGTGCAGAAAGTGCAGCAAGTGCAGGACGCGTGTGGGCAGGTGGCTGTGACTAGAGTGCTGCTGCGGCACAGTCGTGAAGCGACGTCGGTAGCTCGTATTTGTTGCAACGGGAGGGGGTGGATTTGCTTTTGCTGAGCGAGCGTTCTCGGGGTATCTTGGGTCGGCTGGACAGAAGGGAGTGGAAAAAAAAGAACAAAGTACAGAAGAGATGACTTATGATGTGATGTGAGCAGAACGTTTAGTGGAGGATCAATACTCGAGCCTGAAATCGAGGAGAGCAGGCCGTTAAGGAGCGGGGGGAAGAGGCGGGAGAGGCAGGCGGAGAGCGAGAAGGCGATGGTTGGTAAGGGACCAACCACTGCGACCAGGTGGCAATGACGGAGAGGGGACCCTAAGGCATTGGCTATTAATCACAACGGCAACCTCGAAGCAGAGAGACTAAAAGTACGTGAGGGATATAAATTAAGAGAGAATCTGGGGTGAGGTTTTTTTTGTTAGAAAAAACTCACCCTCAAGAGTCGCGTTGTTGAATATGTTTGTCTGAGGCGCACCCTCTCAAGGTGCCAGAGGCGGAGAACGTTGTGGCTTGATGAGTGGCTGTGGCTCAGCCTTTCCTTGTTACCCTGAACTGGTATATCAACGCGACTTCGTCGTTTTTGTGAAGTAATGCTGTGCGATGGAGGCTTGGTACGGTGTAGAAGATGAATATCTGTCATCATAATTTCTCGACGCATTTATCAAACAAGTTCGAGTTCATCCGGCCATGACACATGATTCATGGGTACAGTTGCAGTCCAAGCTTGTCAGACCGGCGACACCTACTTGCCACCCGAGTTGTCTGGCACTGGCACACTGGTTGACTGGTAGTTTAGTTGGCTGTTGCAACCATTCTGGGACATGCAGCGACCAGGCTGTAGAAAAATCAACTCAGCTCATGTGCAGTCCATGATGGCTGCAGACCCTCGCATATTGTCTCTCGAAGCACCAATGGTACTGGTTGGTAGATTCTTGGCTGGTGGCTGGCAAGATGGCCGTTTGGCAGTGCATATTCATGCTTGCGAATAACTATCCAGCTGGGAGATGGCGACCGACCAGGCTCTGACCGATACTTGGAACTTTCTGCATCTGTCTAGCTACGCAGAGGCGGAGAGACGACATTGAAGGCGGCACAGCAGGCTGCATGACTCTCCGGCTTTATGCTACAAATTGCACGCTCATCGTTGATAATCAGCATCCATAGGTACAGGAATATAGTCCCGACAGATCCTGGTCCATAGCGCGCGGTGCTGAAGAACGCCACATGCTGTGAACTTCCCGACAGTCGACCGCGAAACTGTACTTGGCAGGGCAGGCTGGCAGGGTTAGTTCGAGTAAGCATTGCGACCAAACCCGTTTGTGAGATTGATTTGGGACGCTAGTTATCCGCACTTTGGTGTTTGGGATGCACTTATGGAGCCTGCCTTATTCGTCTCGATTATTTATTCTCCCAATGCCGCTGGCGTACCCGCATCTGACGTATTACTTCCGAGTTATTACATCCACAGGTTCCAGCGGCTGCACGCACCCATCAGCCCATGTACCACATCGCGTCTGAATAATGCACCTTTACCTCTTGTCGCTCCAAGGGCATCCCGCACTTGTTTACTCGAGGGCCCAGAAACTGACTTGTAGGTACCAGGACGAATGCGCTCATTCCAGGGATGCAAGCTCCATTACTCGTCTACAACAAACGTTCCGACTCTGGATTCGGTGGCTCCCAGTGGCCCTCAGTGGGATTCCGCTGACCTTTGAATGGCTCGTGGTGCTTCCAGGCTATTCCAGCGCTCTTCAGTGGCTGTCTCGGGCTGGTGGGGTACGCCTTTCCTTGCGACATCGACAACTTTTGGAGCTAAAAAAAACATTTTTTCTTTCCAAAAAAAAAGGGACCCAGAATCCCCAAAAATTTAGCATTTATTAGGCGCACTTGTACTACATCCGAACCTCGCAGATCTGACTCACGTAGACGACCTCCGCATCTTTATAATTTCCTTCTTCTTAATTGGCTTCACGGCACTCCGTACATCTTGCAACCTCTCATTCTTTCAGCTGACATTACCTCCGTCCTGCAGCCTGGTCGACCAAGGGCTCCGCTGTGTGCATATTTGTCTCGGAATCATCTGCAATTGCCCCAAATCTGCACTCGCCGATTTACGGATACCCAATTACCCAAACATATATCTATAGACTTGCCAGTCGCCTCCAAGCACAAAAAATCTCAGAATATGTCGTCTACAAGTCTTTTCGGCATGGCTGCCGATGACACCCGGAGTGAGTCGTCTTTTTCACAAACTGCATCGCTTTTCTCGGCCAAGTACAGCCGTCTTTACGTCCGGCGCGGGGCAGTACGACCCCTCGATATTTTTCGCCCAAGCTGACCGCCACCCTTCTTCGCCCAATTTCGTGTATAACTATGCAATTACATTTTACTGACAAGTTCAAAAGTTCTGGGACAGGATCCCCTCATTCCTCCCGCCCTTCTCACAACCGAGATTCCTTTGACCGACAATGCCACCAAGACCGTTCTCAAGGGCCGCAATGACGCCGCCGACATTGTCCTAGGCCGCAGCGACCGTCTGCTGGTTGTCGTCGGTCCTTGCTCTATCCACGATCCCCCTATGGCCCACGAGTATGCCGCTCGCCTCAAGGCCCTCGCCGATAAGCTCTCCGGCGACCTCTGCATCGTCATGCGCGCATACCTAGAGAAGCCCAGAACCACCGTTGGCTGGAAGGGTCTGATCAATGATCCCAGCATTGACAACTCCTTCGAGATTAACAAGGGACTTCGCGTCTCTCGCCAGCTCTTTGTCGATCTGACAAATAACGGCATGCCCATTGCCAGTGAAATGCTCGACACCATCTCTCCCCAGTTCCTTGCCGACTGCATCTCTGTCGGCGCCATTGGTGCCCGTACCACCGAGTCCCAGCTTCATCGTGAACTGGCCTCTGGCCTGTCCTTCCCCGTCGGATTCAAGAACGGCACTGATGGCAACCTCGGCGTTGCCATTGACGCCATTGGTGCTGCCGCTGCCAAGCACCACTTTATGGGTGTCACCAAGCAGGGCCTGGCCGCCATTACTCGTACAAAAGGCAACGAGCACGGCTTCGTCATTCTGCGTGGCGGTACCTATGGCCCTAACTTTGACAAGGAGAGTGTGCAGGCTGCCAAGAAGACCCTGGAGGAGAAGAAGCAAAAAATGGCCATCATGATTGACTGCTCACACGGTATGTGTCCCGGTCAAGATACTGCATCTATTTCATGGACTAATACTAACGCGCTACGCAAAAGGCAACTCGCAAAAGAATCACAACAACCAGCCCAAGGTTGCCAAGGTTGTCGGTGACCAATTGAGGGAGGGTGAAAAGGCCATTATTGGTGTCATGATCGAGTCCAACATCAACGAAGGCAACCAAAAAGTTCCGGCCGAGGGCCCCTCTGCTCTCAAGCCTGGTGTAAGCATAACAGATGCCTGCATTCACTGGGAGGACACAGTGACTGTCCTCGAAGACCTCGCCGAGGCTGTCCGCACCCGCAGACAAGTAAATGGCAGCTCCGCCTAGACAAAAAGTTGACTACGAGAATTGTTTGCATGAGTCATTTGAAAAATGAAAGGTCACGGCACTCGAAAGTGAGACCAGTAGCGGATAGATTCCGCTTTTTACATATAAGAAATCTGTACCATCTAGAAGATGGAGAGTGTAATTTATTGGACAGAGAGCCAATTCGCTATAGCCTATATACACTCATGAGTACCTTGTATTCGATTTACATAACTTCGTGCGAAAATCCTGAAACGCCACTTAACGTAGATTGTAACAATATATGCATTGTCTTTCCTCACTGGCCGGGAGAAACGGGAGCGTACCCCATATTCTGATGAGCAAACGTACGATGCTCTCGCCACTGGGTTAAGCGATTGTAACCAGTCCAGCCAAGCAGTCCGACGGTCCCTAAAATGAAGACCCAAACAATAATCTTGTCCTTGTTACTGTCACGCTGGAAACACATTGTAAATACATCATCTTCGGTCGCATCCTTGCAAAACGGAATGCCCTGCTTGAGACAAAACGCCTTTGTACACTCGGTGCATGATGTCGAAGCCGATCGCGGCGCGACAGCCAGGCTTTCGCTCGAGGGTACGTCTACCGTATCGAAGAATGGAGATGATCGTCTCGACTGGTGTTCTGGCCCAAGAGGAATGATGGTGCTATTCTTGAAGCATGTGCATTTGCAAAAGGTTGGCGCAGCTAAGGCCGAGCTGTTAGAAAGCAAGCTTTGGGCATGGACAGGTGAGGGTGCGGCACTTACAAGATGCGGCAGCTAGAGAAATGAGCGCTGCAAATAGAAGCGCAAGGATATATATTCGCGCCATTCTTCTGTGAATTGTCGCCCATGAACTTGTGACGGATGGCGCGTTCAAGATGATGTCCTGTACCTAGGGGCCAGCGACGTACCTTGTCCTGTGGGTCAGCACTGTAACGCATGCCACCATCTGGTTGGCTCAATTGACCCTTGTGCCAAAAAAGTTGTCCCAGCTTTGGCGCACTTCAGGAGCCATTGCCTTCATCCACCTCTTTTTCTCCCCTTCGAAGAAGGAAAACTCAACACAGCCGCCAATATGAAGTCGGCAATGCCCCGGATCTCGTGGGTTAGGGGCGTCAAGTCCCTGCACCGTGCGAGCTCAGCCGTCTCGCGCAGGACCGTCGCCGTCGCCACTCGCTCCATCTCGACGACGCCCGCGCCGCGCAACACAGAGATCCCCGAGGACTCTATCCTCACCCGGCTCCCTCCTACCCACGCCCTCGACAACAAGGATACCACCGACCGGCGCCCTCTAGCCGTGCGCCACTCGCGGCTACCGTTCCCCGCGAGCCGCAACGAGGCCGCGACGCCCAAGGAAGTGAGCGCCGCGGACCCGGTGTACGAGCCGGCCACGTCGCTCGAAGACCTCGCGGAGGCGGGCACACTGAGCGAGTGGTGGGACCAGCCGGGCCACTGGAGCGAGCTGGATGAGTTCACGGCGTTTGCGAGCGCGGAGAAGGTCACAGATAAAGCCGCCATTGCGGTGTACTACCGCAGAGCGCTCGTCGAGGTACTGGTCCTGCAGGAGACGGGCGCGCTGGGAGAATGGGCTACGCAAAAGTGGGCAGAGGGCTCGCGCGAGGACATGGATGCTGCGCTCGCTGTGGAGATTGTGGCCCAAGAAGGCGGTGCGGTGCTCAAGGGCGAGGTGGCTGCTGTTGCGAACAGCTTGAAGCAGGTGTCCGAGGTCTCGGAGGAGGTTGCGCGACCGGAGAGAATCTCTAGTGAAGAAGCTGCTGAGATGATCAAGACGTGGGACTCCTCATGGAAGGACATTGCCGTCAATGATCAGATGAAGTTTGCCGTACGTATTACCGGATCGAATTGTCGCGCCTACACTCCATTGCTAACTTGCGTAATAGCTCCGCAAACGACTATACCAGCTCACCGGCAACATGATCCCCGACGCCAAGCTCGGCGCCGCGACCACGGTCGGCCACCTCATCACCCTGACGGCCAAGCAGCCCAAGCCGCAGCGGCTGGCCGAGATTCTGCAAAAGACGGAGGAGCTCCAGCGGCTGGCCAACGTCAAGTTGCACGACCGCCGCGTCAGCTCCATCGACAGGGAAGTGGCTGTCGGCCGCTGGAAGCTGATTGAGGCTGAGCTGGCCAAGAGGGACTTGCCCATCACGGGCCAGCCCGATGTGTCGGGAAATAGAGAGAGGGAACACCTCCTGGGGAGGATATAAAAAAAAAGAGAGGAAAGAGGGCGGCACGGGAGACGACTGTAAGCTGAAGAGTATGCTTGGAAAGCATGCTGTGTATAATGTAGAACAAATCTACAATTGTCAAAGTACAATGTGGAAACAGTTAAATGGTCGATAATGGCTACTGTGGTTGTCACTACTACTCAACGTGCACTCTCGCAATGACACACGTATATCGCTGACCAACCAGCAATTTCAAACATTGAGAGTACAAATATGCAGGCTTTGAAAGACCATTGCAGTCTACACGAGTGATAATGCGCAAATAATGTTGTGCTCCCCATATTCCCTTAGAGATGCCGAGGAGGAGCGAGCACAACAGAAAAGAAGGAGGCGGGAAGTTGGTCGCTCACCAGTGGCCTAGAATGGACGCGCTATTCTATTTTTCACTCGCGTTACTTAACACTTCTAATTACCAAGATCCCGCTACGAATGTTTTGTCGGAGTAGCCCGCCGGTATTAGGAAGCAGGCTCAGCACTAAGAAATGTTCATAGCGAATGCAAGTGTAAGGAATGATCAATTTTGTGCTGCGTGAGTTTTGTCTAAGCTTGAAATATCTGTTAATCTACATTGCTCCTTTCTTTTATATAGTGCCGCTCTAAGAGCACGCGTTGGCGGCCGCGGTAGGAACGGGGTGGAAGGTGGTGATGGGGTCGACGATCTTGTTCTGGGTGCCGTTGACGCCCAGGTTTAACCAGGCGACGATGCCGTCCTCAAGCTTGTCACCGACGAGCTCGTACTGAAGGTACGGGTAGCCGCCGGCCTCGAGGTCGCCCTGGAGGAACTCGTCCTCGGAGTTCAACGTCTTGGCCTGCTCGTTGGTGTTGTATGGCGTCAGCTCCTCGACCTTGTCGATGAGGTCCTGGTCAAAGTACATTTGCCCAACGTGCGAGGCGTGCGCGTCGATGATGGTGTTGTTGGGCAAGACAGTCGCGTTCGGGTGCGTCAGCACGTGAATGTGAGCGGTGCGGCCCACGTAGTGACCCGGGAAGATGGTCTCAAAGTGCACTGAGCCATCATCGTCCGACTTCTGAATGCCGCGCAGCCACGTCAGGCCCCAGGTCTCCTCAAAGGTGTCGTTGCGGTCCTCAAAGCCCTCCTGCACGACGCCGCCATAGACACCGGTCGAGTTGGCCTCTGCAGGGAAGGAAAAAGGTTAGTGTTGGTCTGGAGAGACAGAGGTGTTGGTCGGGGGTGGGGAAACATACGCCAAACATCAACCCACGAGCCAGCAAGGGGTTTGCAAGTGTTGACGTCGATGAAAGAAATGTCTAGGTGAATGGGGACACCGGTCTGGTCCTCGGTAATGTTGGAGCGGATAGACTCGCCGGCCACATCTGTGTGTACGTCTTTAGCAAGTCAACCGAACATGGCATCTTAGCGGTACGTACAGTAAGGTCCCAGGATTTCCTCGGGGGACAGAACACACGAGGCGTTTTTCTTGGCAATACTTGCCTGGCTCACATCGGCATCGTAGCTGCGGACGGCGTGGTGCTCATCGCGGGCGACGAGGCCGCGCTTCACCCGCATGCCATGGATGGTGTTCTGGCGGCGCTGGATGGAGCGCTTCGTGACACCCAGGGCGTCGAGCGTGTCGCTGCAGTGATCCAGGTTGGAGACATTGTCCTTGAGGAACTCGCGGCGCTTCATGGCTTCCTTGTGGTGGTCCTCACCAGGGTGGCCGGCCACCAGAGGGATTGAAGCGAGGCCGAGGGCCAGAGAGAGAATAGAGGTATACATGACTTTTAATGTGGCAGAAAAGAAGGGGCAAAGATCTAAAAGGATTCTAGAAAGAGTGCTGAAGAATTCGAAGCTGCTTGTTCTGTTCGATTTCAAGACGGAGCTGGGCTCATGGCTTATATACTGAACTCTTGACGAAGTCGACAACCCAGACTAGGCAGAAAGAAGCAGGTCAACATCTCATCCGCGGCAAAATCTCCTGACTCGTCGCACGACGGTAGCATCTAACAAGATAGCTGAGCCGGCGGCAACTAGATTCGTTGTCGATGGAGGCTCCGCGTTTGGTTTCCGGCAATTTAGCTTGGGCGTGGTCCTCGAACAGCAGCTCCATCTTTGGAGGGTCAACATCCACACAACAAGAAAAGAACTATAAACCGAAGCATGAGCAAGAATAGCCCGACTGCCTCAACGGGCCAATGAGAACAGACGCAATCTAATCATGTAAACGGTCATCCCACAGAGGCGGCTGGGCGTTGGCAGAGTTACATGATGCAGCGATGCCTGTCTTGACTGGTGACAAGGTAGGCTAAGCGGGGAACGGACGAGCAAGAAGTAGATGCGCATTGGTAATCCAGGATCGGAGCATTCTAATTTGCGGATCACAGAGGTTCCATCAGCATGAATGTGAACTTTTGTGTCTTCGGCATTCGCACACCCCCATTGTGATCACTGATCGAGCTGTTCAAGGTCGAGCTAGGCCACCCCCGGGTTTTCATGACTAGTTCGCAGATGCCTAATTTGGGTGGACAGGCGATGATTTGTGAAACATATCGCTGCCCAGATCGCCGACGGTAACAGTATAGGTACGATTTCCGATATTTGAATCATTGAGAGGCGTCGGGCGCAATTCGCATTGCCAGTACAAGGGTCCTGCGCCCAGCCTTCCTTCTCCTTCTCCTTCCCTCTCTCCTTTCCGCTCCCCTCTCCCCCCCCCCTCAACTACTCACGACTTGCAGAGTTTCCTCCGGCTGGCGTATTGGCGCATGGCAGGTTGATCCATATTTCAAGACCACGATGTAACGCCAAAAGTATGCTGGATAAATCCATAAATGTATGTTTCAAGGGCGCTTGCGTGTACGCGTGGAAGGTGAAGAACCATTCGGAAGATACGGAAATTGAATACCGCCGCTCCATATTAGACTCCAGAATCGCATGGCCCAGCTTGCATGTGCTGAAGATTCTCCAGATAATTAGTCTAGAAGTCGTCACCGGATGCTTGGTATTGAGTGATTTCGACGAAGTAAGTATCCTTTTCAAAAATTATGCATGAACTGAACGCTGAGGTAAGCTAGCTGTAAGAGGTAGGTGGCTTGAAAGTGGCGTTGCCAGTTGGCATTGGGGGACTTTTAATCATGATCATAATCTTGGTCTGATGTATCCTTTACACATTGATTGCGCTAAATAGCTGCGCATAGGGTATTAAATGGTTGACTGGCCAATAGTAGGCAGTGAAATAATAAGCAATCTACATGTATATATATATGCATTATTACGAACCCTGCTGTTAACTATGCCTACCACAACGTACACCCTGCCCTCAACTGGCGTGGCTTGTCCAGGTGAGCGCCTCCCGATGCTGGGGGTGGAAGGGGCGTGCCGCACCACCAACTTTTGCGCGGGTGCGGACGACAGACGATTGGTAGATCAGATATGCTACTTGATGGGGATCCCCTTGTTTATCTGTGACATCTAGCCCGGAGGATAAAAAAGACGCAGCGACGGGGAAAATCTCAAACAACGGGGAGACCCATTTCGGGCTATTGCGTCAATGGGACCGTTATGTCACAGTTTTCATAGTTGTGTGTATAAAGAAAACAAAGAGGATAATGGCGGAAACGGGATATTCCGCCGAAAGGCTATACAATAATAGAAGCGTCATCCGGAATACTTGAGTTTTGTAGTGCGGCAACCGGGAAGACTATTGCGTGTCGAGTCACGTCACAGCTAGGGGGAGGGGGAGGGGGGGGGGGGGCGGCGTGGACGACATCTTGCGTAAAGGGAGATGATCGCAATAGCCGCAAGGTGGCTTTCTAGATTTTGCCGGACGAGGCGCAGAATAACGATGATCTCGTTCTTGCCGTTTTCTACCTCCGTCCGGCCTCGAACAACAACTGGCACATCGCATACGACGCAGTAGCTTGGCAGCCTATTCTGGACGGATTCCAAGGCAAGCTAGTAGTTATGGCGAAACCGTATGGCTCAGCGGCGAGCGCTCCAGCAAACAGAATTAAGGTTGGGCGATGCATATCACGGAGCAAAAATCGTTGCTAGCGTACGGCCTACGTCAACGGGACTCCAGCTGCATCGACCGTGCGCAGAAGGTGAAAAGAAGGAATCAGCTGAGTTAACAATGACCATTGTGTTCCGTGAACTATGCCTCTTGGCACGTACGGTGAATTGAATTTGCCGTCTCGAATGGCAGTCGGTCCCAGAGTCTTAATTAATTGCAGACATGCGGAAAAAAGGTGAAGCCGTGGTACGACAGCTGTGACGCACGCTTGCTGCGAGGGGGTGCTCTCGGGCCTGCCTCTGCGTTTCGGCTTGTGCTTACTCCGTGGACAAGGTCTCCCGGGACGTCTTTTCTTCCTTCATTTTGGCTGAGCTTGGCACAACTTGGTCTGGCGAGACATGTGTGCTTCTGTCTACCTTGACCATGGCACATAGATCGGACGTGCGTTGTCTCGCGCTGCTGCCATCTCAAGCTGGTCAAAGATTACCCCTCGTGCGCACCACGTGAACAAAATAGGATTTATTCTGCTGTAACACTCTAATGTTTGATTTGTCCTGTGCCCTGGTCACTTTGATCTGTTCCAAAGAAGAACACGCCCGTGATGTTTCCGTGGCAGCGGCGAGACAATTGGCAAAAATGACATTTTCTCTGAAGCCGTAGGCCTTTGCGACATCATCTACGTTGAAATGAGACCAGTGACCAAGAATCTACTGTTCGCCTTGCTGGTGGCCAGCGTATCTGGTACATTACAGATCGAGTGTGGTACCTCGACAGTCGGGGGGCGCAGTCGGCTGTCAGATTTGCTCATGCGGCATCCAGCCTCACAGTACAAGACGTTTTGCGGGCCGACGTCGCCGCAGCTGGAGACTTGGCAGAGCGAGCAGCCCTGCGAAGATGGGCTGCTCTTCGTGACGCCTGGTGAGGCGGCCGAGAGACCAACGACAGAGAACGAGGCAGACGTGGAGGGGCCAGCCATTTTTCGATCCAACGGCGACCTGGTGTGGACGCAGGATGGATGGGGCCGGACGCGCGATTTGAAGGTGCAATCAGTTGGCGATCGAAGCTACATGACATTTTGGCACGACGAAAGTAGTCGCCATGCTGGAGGAGGGTCATATGTCGTGGTGAGTTGTCGCACCGTACTGGGCGCGACGCGCGAACGAGGCAGCTAATGATGACGTTCAATTGATGGTAGCTGGACCAATCCTACGAAATGGTCAAGGAGTTGAGACCCGTGGGCGAAATTTCGTCACGGCCCGTCGAGCTTAAGCTGACGGATGATGGAACGGCGATTATGGTAATGCATAATGCCACGCAGGTACACAACCCGTTAGAAAGCTTGCAGAATGGGTGGATCAACGACGCAATCATCCAAGAGATTGACATGACATCGAATGAACTCGTTTTCGAATGGAGAGCCTCGCATCACTTCAATGTTACGATGAGCCAGGCTCCTACTGAGAATCAGGGCCGCACTCCCGAGACGGCGTTTGATTTTTTCCACGCGACAGGCATCGATCTCGACCACAAAGGCGACTACGTCATTTCGTCACGCAACATGTGCAACGCCGTAGCGCTGCGCCGCGGTCACGGCAACGTGCTGTGGGTGCTGGGCGGCAGGCTCAACTCGTTCGAGGACGCTTCCGAGGGGGAAGCCGCAGCCATGATTTCCAGCCAGGGCATCCAATGGTACGGCGACTCGACACTGCTGCTGCTGGACAGCGGGCACGTGCCAGACATGGAGGGCTGGCCCGGACGGCGGAGCAATGCGCGCAGGATTCATATCAACACGACGACTAACACGGCGGCGCTGCTGCGGATGTACAGTACGCCTGCTGCGGAGACATCGCGTCATTCCAAGGGCACTGTGCAGCGCCTGCGCAACGGCAACGTGTTTGCGGGCTGGGGCGACGACAACCCTTTGGCAGCCACATATACCGAGTATTCAGAGGACGGACAGGTGCTATGCGCAGCACATTTCCGGGAGGCGACCGTCGCCTCGGCCAAGTTCTGGAAAACGACTAGCGGCGGCGGCGGACGCGTGGTGTCCAAATACTCCTGGACAGGCACACCGGCGGCGCAGCCGGTGATTGTGGTACGACCGCAGGAGGGCGCGCTGTACGTGAGCTGGAACGGCGACACGCAGACGACGGCGTGGCTGCTGCGCAGCAACAACACGGAGCGCGGCGATGGAAGCCTGGGCGCGCTCTGCGTGGTGGACAGAGCAGGATTCGAAGCACGTATCCCGATCCCGCGCGACGTCGGCGAGGTGATTGAGATCATGGGCGTCGACGACCGCGGGCGGACGCTGGTTCGGTCGGAGCTGATCTGGAGCGAAGGGGCGAGCGGCACGTGGTCAACGCAGCGGATGCTGAAGGCTTCGACGGACGAGGATGTATTCGTAGAGCCATCGCCGTCATGGCAGCAACGAGTGTCAGCGGGACGGCATTGTCGGTTGAAGCGGGCGCTGCTGGGTCTTGGGCTGAGTGTGGCTGCGTTGTTATGTCGTCGAAGGATTCAGTGGAAGAGGTTGCGGGAGGCTGAATGGCGGTATCCGCGGCAGATGGTGATGAAGGGAGAAAAGAGCGCGGTTTACGCGGCATGAAATTTTGGTAGCTTTGATTTCTGGATGATTGTTTACGGTAGTTTTGGAGCGAGCGCACTGATTAGAGTGATTCCTGAATTATCGCTACTAGTAGGTAGTTACTCTTTACATTGATCTGCATTGTTACGCACAAAGACCGCAGCCACGTTGGCTCGTTGACTCGTAATTGGTGATGACGGCCCACAAGTGACATGTTTAGTTGTTATCGGTTACGCATACTGCATGCAGCAAAAGACTGACGCAATCAGAGAGGACGTCCGACTAGTCACAAGATGATGACGGAGGATTTCCTATCATTATCCAAATTCAGATTACGGCGATTCCTTTTGTCTCTGAAGGATTCCTTGTGTGTTGGTGTGCGTGGCGTGTTGGCGCTGGAACCCCGCGGGCAGGCAGCGGCGAGGGGCCGAAAAAGGTTAAGGTTTCTTTCAGGTGGCGTGGGTCAGGGAAGCCGCCACCGCGAAAAGCACGCAGCGCTTTCGTCTTTCGTCAGAATCGGGGAGCTGGAGCCGCACAAAAGACGCAGGAATTGGGGTATATAAATACGAGGCGAGTTCCCTTGGGTTACTGCCAGATCTCAACCATCAGGCTCAGATACAATCTCGATTTCATACACACAAACCTCTTTAACAACACCAACACTTTACCACCCCAACCAACCAACCTTCAACATGAACGGCAACTGTGGATGCAATGGCTCTGCCTCGGCCTGCAACTGCGGCTCTAGCTGTACGTTTTGAGACCTTGCTAGAAATAAGCACGAAACGAAATACTGACTGGATTTCAGGCACCTGCACTGGCTGCAAATAAATTGCGCGACTGGTAGTGATGCCGACAGCGAATAATTCGATATATCAATATACCCAGGGGACGAGTCACGACGATGAAACGACGATAGCAGCGGCATCTATGCATGTAGTATAGAGTCGGAGAAATATAAAACAGTTCAGATTAATTTTTGAGTCAATATGCACTGTGATGTTATGTCGCGGAGGGCCAGTCCTGGAACCAGATTTGTGCCGGATACACAGATTCGTCGCAAACAGTGATGTATGTACGACACTAGCTAGTAATTGAGAGGACATCTATCTTGGCTCGGCCAGGGTTATTTATCTTGGTTTGGCCAAGGGTATTATCTTGGTTTGGTCAAGGCCATCTGTCTTGGCTTGGCCAAGGATAATCATCTGCCAAAGATCTGTCAAAATTAAGCAAATGTCTCTACGCAACTCTGTTTGAACGGGGTTCATTCCAATCTGCTGCTGCATCAAACGGCTTCCCTCCGACACTGTTGCGTCGCATGCAATCAGCATCGATCGAGGTTGGGGCATCTTCAAGTCCATCCGGAAGATGGGTTCCTGGCACGTGTAACTAGGTACCTAGGTCGGTTTGCTACCTACCTTAGGTAGGTAAGTAAAAGGCATGTTTACGCAACCTGTTCGGAGTAGTGGCTCTAACAACTCGGGCCCACTGTCGGCTACGGCAAAGGCTGCTGAGATCCAGTGGGAAAAGAGGAATTAGAATGCACAAATCGTGCTCGGCTACGTATACGCAATCGCTGATGTCTTGTACCTGAGAGCTATTTTTACAATAGTCGTTATTTCACTAGCTGCATGTAATTAATCTCTAGTTAGTACTGAGCCTGTCGCTCACGTGTCTGTCCGTCTACCTAACTGTGCGCCTAATAATTAAGCCACCCCGCACTTTGCTTGGTTTGGCCTCGGCTCAAAGCTTCTTGCCAACAGCCAGCTGCCAGCTGCCAGGCTGCCAGCTCTCGTCCGTTTGCTAACGTTGCCGTTTGCTTTCTGTAGGTAGTCTCGCCTCGCCACTTTAGTCACTGACCAGCCACGGCACCCGGGGCCAACTCTTGATCCCGTGCTCAACCACAGCCGACCACAATTTCCCCAGACTCTCTCTTTCTCTCTAGAGTTCATCGACGTTGGCACAGCTTCCATCAAATCTGCGACGTCTTCATGCATTTTAGCTGCTGCCTCGCCTATTCCTCCCTCTTGACCCCCTCTTATTACCCGCTCCTCCCGCGCCGTGTTCCAGCAACCCCAGTGGTGCGCGGTCGATGACGTCCTGAGACTTATTGCGCCTGACCACCTCAAGCCCCTCTGAATGGCTGCCTTTGTGAGTTGTCCCTGCTTGTCCCTGCACTCTGTTACGCCACTAGTCTTCAAGATCGCTGCGCCCTGTTCTACCGATTGGCGAAGTCTTCAACTTCTACTTTTGCACAAATCCATCTCCTGTGTTCGGGCGCATCCGAAGTAGCTTCGGATCGCCATCTGCCCTGTCAGAGCTTAGCCGAGCTACCTGTCGCGCACTTCACGCCCGTGATTCTACGTGCGTGGCAAGCTTGAAATCGTATTCCTTGAAATGCGCCGACAACTCGAAATCGCACATCATCTTTTACAAGTACCAACGCTAATACAACGTCCCCCGATCCCAGGAGCCACACTGGCCGCCTGCCGCAGCCATGTCTGCTCATGACGACGACTCCATGGTGTCCGGCTCGCCCGCCCTTCTGGACGAGAGCTTTGTAGCTCCGCCTACTTACGCCGCATTCTCTCCCGTGACCCTATCTGCCAACACGCCCTCGAGATCCTCCCGCCGCTCAACTGTACTTGTTCATCAGAAGAGCCCGCTGTTGCTGGCCACTCCACCCCAGATCACGCGCGCTCTCGCTTATAGCCACCCCTTTCTTCTACCGTTTAATACCTTTGTTGGTCTGTTGACATGGAGCACCGGCGACCCATGGCAGAGCTTCCTGTTTGTCTGCAGTTTTTGGTTCCTTGTTCTCTATGGCGACACCATTTTGCTGAGGGCCGGCCCTGTCGCAGTCGGCGTCGGTATCATCGTTGCCATGTACGGTCGTCGCTACAGCCCACTTAGCAGCAGCGGCTGGCGTAAACCTGTCAAGCTCGATAAGAAAAAGAAGTCTACTACGGCACAGTTTTCGAATACTGATGCCGCGGCTGGCAGCTCGCATGCTGCGGTCAAGCCGAGCAAACAAGCGGATGGCAGCACCAAACACCAAAAGACATTGGACGAAATTGTTGAGACTCTGAAAGAGTTAACCGGCCGCTGTAACGCTTTGATGGAACCGCTGCTTGAAATGACCGATTTTCTTAGCACTCAGCGCACCGCCACGAGTGCCACTACCAAGCCTGCCTTGACCGCAATGTTTATGCGCCTTCTCATTGTCACTCCCTTCTGGTTTGCGCTCACAATGCCGCCTTTGAGAGTTATTACCGTCCGCCGGGTCGTTCTCATTGTTGGCACAATCATGCTTACCTGGCATGCTCGTCCAATGCGCGTCTGCAGGGCTATCCTCTGGCGAAGTCTAACTGTCCGTCGTTTAGCTGCCGCCGTTACAGGACTTCGCTTCGACACCCCTGTGAAGAATGCCGCCGCCGCTCAACTGAAAGCTGCTCAAAGTCGCGGTCACCGCCGCAATGATAGCTCACGGAGCGCAAAAAGTGCCGGCGTCAAGTTTACTTTTATCATTTACGAAAACCAAAGACGTTGGATTGGTCTGGGATGGACAAATAGTCTGTTTGCGTACGAAAGGGCTGCGTGGACCGATGAGCATAACAACTCGCTTCCTTCCAAGGACGAATTTGAGCTGCCACACGCTGAGGACGGAAGCCGTATGCAGTGGCAATGGGCTGAAGGTAGTCGATGGCGCGTGGATGGTGCTGCAGACGAAAATGGGGCCGTGGATTATGACGGCACCGCCGGCCGCAACGGTTGGATATACTACGATACCAAGGTAAGGACATCAGCAGTCTCAACTGAGTTTGTGCATTAACGACTCGTAGTGGAACAATGGACGCCGAGGAGTTGATGGCTGGGGCAAGTGGACAAGACGGCGCAAGTGGTACCGAGATGCCGAGCTTGTCGAAGTCGAAAAACACAATCGTCGCCAAGCCACTACTAAAGACAGTGCTTCGCTGCACAGCAAATCAGACTCTGCCTCCTTGGCCAACGTTCCAGTCATTGTCGAAGAGAAAAGCGCTGAAGATGCCAATGCCAAGCTAATCGACGATAATGCATCCGTATACTCGACCTCTTCGAAATCGTCATTTTGGCCTCCGATATTACGGAGGCGCGCCACAGATCGAACTGCCGCTGACAAGGAAAAGGAAAAGAGGGAAGCGCGCGGCAAGCGTGCGACCGAAAGACAAGACAGCGGGCCGGATACCAGTGGCTTGGGCATCGAAGTGGAAATGGAGCTTCAACGACAAGGCAAAGATGGAGGCCAATGGGGTATTGGTGATGATGCCAGGATGAACCTAGAATGAGATATGATACGTCTATTCATGACCATGTACATTGTATGTCATTGCACGCTACTCTGAAAGCCTTTTCAGCTAATGCAGGGCTGAGAAAAGAAGAACATTGAGCGTGATACGCGTCTTAAAAAAAGGTGTTCCCCATGCCTTTGCCGAATTTTAGAATAAGCTGGAAACGTTGCCGAGAAAATGGGCCTTATAACCAAAGATACTCTCACTTCCGTGAACTCGAAAAGCTCAAAGTCCGCCGTTGACTTCCTATGGCTGAGCTACTAAGTATCCCAGAAACAGTCCGCAAAGGAGTCTCTCTCCCTCTCGGCATTCGTCAGCCCGGTATCCCGCCTTTCCTGGTATCCGCGAAATGGGATACTTCGATAAAACCGCAGCCCGCCTTGATCTGCCCAGCCCGGCGCCAGCGGCGCATGCATCAGGATGACCTGCTGCCCGTAAAATTTGTTGTGAAATCTGAGCAGGCAGCTAAAGTCTTCGAGGAACGACATCTCCGAGTTCACGTTCCACTCAGGCCGCGCGCGGTCAAACGGCCGCCACTGCGCGAGCAAGTGCTCGCTCATGCCGAGGATGAAGTCGCGCAGCACCCGCAAGAGCACCGTCGTCACGCCGCCGCGCACCACCGTCACGGTGTCATCGGGCCGCGCCCACGGTGGTGGGTGCAATCCCGCGAGGTGCGTATGCAGCGCGTACAATTCCCGCAGCTGCTTGTGTAGATCACCGAAGCCGGCGCGCGCGGCGCGCGGCATGCGGTGCACGTCGGCGCACACCTCCTGTATGTGCCGCACTGTCCAATAGGGCGGGCTCACGGCACCGCCGGCGCGTAGCGCCTCCACCTCGACGATGCGCTCGCGCTTATAGGCCTCCCGGATGGTGCCCTCCTCGTCACAAGGCACGAGCTCGACGGCCGAGGGGCTCCAGAACGGGTGGGCGGGGGTGGCCGACTGCACGCGAAGATGAGACACAGTCCGCGCGAGGGGGCTGATGGTGGACGAAAGCGGAGCGGTCGGGGCGGGGGAAGGAAACGGAACCGGGACCGCGATTTGTGAGGGGAATAGAAGAGGAGGCGGAAGCGAAAAGACGAACTGTGAAGGATAGGGGTGAGAAGTCGGACT